CTTCCTTATTTGTTTTCGAATAGCAGTCTAACAAAAGGTCAAAGTTTGCTCATTATGATATATTTGATTTTACTTACTGTCAGTCTAGGATTGTTATCCTTCTTTTTCTTTTCGATCTCACCGAAATTTTCCACCAAAGTTTCAGTATTAACGTCGCGACCAGTGCCAGTATATACATTTATTGCAACATCTTCAGAATCAACAAAGTTGATTGTCTCGTCCAAAGTTTTATTGACAACCATGTCGCGTGGGCGCAATTTGCTGATCGTAGCTGTCGGGTGCTTAAACAAACCTTCAAGTTCTTCTAGTTGGTTTTCCATCAATTGGATTTGATTTTCTGCCACTGATCTGAAGTTATTGTAAAAACCGTCTCGAAGCCTTTCTTCCATGGGATTGAAACAACGTTCGAGAAGAGCTGCCATTTGGTTTCTAAATTTTTCTTCAATTTCCATCTTCTGTTGTTCGAATTTCTGATCAAGTTGAGTTGCAGCTCTATTCATTTCGGCTCTGATGGTTTCCTGAATCAAATTAACAAGTGAACTGTTGTCTACCTCGTCACGCGTTCTTTTTTGTGTTGCTTTTTTCATATTTTTGATAGTAAGGTAAGTGAAACAACGTAGTATTACTGTTTTAGTATAATTTATAGTTAAGAGCATCCACGATGGTCACACGTCAAATGTAAAATAAAGTTTTTCGCCTCGAGCAACGACAAAAATGTTTTGTTTGTCTTACCCCAATAAGACCAGTTAATCTTTAATTAATTGAATAAATCATTCCTTCCCCCTTCTTCAAGGAAATAAACATTATTAACTATTATGACAACGAGTAAAAAAAAAACCACTTTTTTATTGTTTTTTTAGACAGATGCGTATGTTTCTATCAACTGCTGGAGTTGATTTAAATTACTGATTGAACCTTGATTAAACCTTATTTGAACGTCAATTGAATGTCCCTTTTTTTTTTCGGATGAAAAAGCATTTATTTTATTTTTCTTTTATTTTTCTTTTATTTTCCTTGTATTTCTCATTTATCTTCCCTATTACATCTATTACATCTATTTTTTTTTTTAAAAAAAAAATTGCTATCAGACTTGCAAGGTAATTATTAAACCACTGTTCTTTTATGCGCTCTAATTATATCATGTATTTTAGATTATGAGGTTGATCAACCATACATCTGTGGATCGAAAGGTGACCTAATATTTTACAAATACTTTTTTTACCGTTCTGTCTATCCAAAGGTATGGGGTTATGATTACAATTGCCAAGTTTACACAACTCATTGTTTTATTTTCAGTGTCATAATAGTTGGTGTAGGGGATATGTATCCTGATGTATAAATGTCTAACATGGTATGTGATAGAAACGTTTGACTGATGTATTTTTATGAAGCCTTCCTTTAGTCTAAGAACGGCTGTCGAGAATATCAAGTGAATAATTATGGCTTAAACATGTATGAAGTTCAGCCCTTTTTTTCTAATGTCTTTTACAAACATGTTCTTCACTTTTGGCTGTTCCGACAGGTAACTAATCGGGGAGGGGGGGAGGGGGAGGTTGCGTAAAATAATCATAAAAATAAAGATAAGATTCTTTTGCAATATAAATTGCTAGGCCCAAACTGTTCTTTAATCGAGGATTACATTTATAGATGCAATCATTTATTCTATGGCTTTAATATTAAATTTTTTTATAACAAATCGTTTATTTATACATACCTAATTTACCCACTGTCCACACATTGAATTTTCAGCGAACTGATATTTGATCCCTTTTTTGTCATCCTATTCATCATCTATATATTTTTATCTCGGAGTTATCTAATCATTATTTTATAAGCAGCAAAGCTTATTCCCAATGCGTCATAGACTACTGATATAAGACTAACAATAAATTCAATAGATGGGTTTCATGTCCAATCGGATGGCCTTAGTATATCGTCATATATCTTTGTTTAAAGTCAATATTAAAGTTTAAAGTTGTCTTTTCCATGAACATATCCCAAAAATTTGAAAAGACAACTTTAAAATTACATGAAAAAAGTAAAGTATCTCTTGGTTTTTTTTGGGAAAACGACTTGTCTTTCATGGTATTTATTGTAATTATTCTTAAGATAAAAGCCCTGTTTCTTGCACTGGATAAGAGTAATTGTATTCGTGGAATTAGGCGTCAAATACGACAAATGGATACACAATAACAATTATGATGAATATACAATTTTATATTTAAATAAAATATAAACGTAAATTATAAAATGATGTGATGTGAATATTTGATGTTTGATCCTTTTTGTATGTGTAATCAAAAATAGTAACATTACCTGGTTGCTCAAGGTTTCAAAAAACCACTTGTACGTTTCTTTGATTTCATCTGCAACCCAACACAAAGCAATAGAATAATTCGTTAGCCCATTATTTTTTCCAGTAATAACATTGTTCACACCAATGGGGTATCCAAAAGCATTGGTTGTGTAGGTCGCATCCACCATGAGAACTTTTGGGCACCTCTTTGCGTTTTCTACTGCTGTTTTGTATGAAAAAAAAAAGACTGACTAAACGGTTGCTTTCATCATGACGAGCGGTGACAGTATATCCCCTTGACTCCATTTGTCGAATAAAAGGGTTTAAGTTCTCTTGATTTTCGCCTTCGTTTAAAGCTCTTCTTAACACAGTACGCATATTCGTGAGATCTTTGGCGATTATCTTTTTAGGAAAATCCATTTTATTGACTACAGAAACAATGGCTGATATTTTTGTTCCTGCAGCAAGATGCTCCAAGGCTGTTTGTTCCTGAGCTGGACTAAGCTTTCTGTTTTTCACCAAACATATTCTCCCATCACCTACAAGCATGTCATGTGTGTGGATAGCAACACACTTCTTTACAACCCACTTATTACCTTTTTTATGGAAGAATGGCACGAATCATAAAAGGGCAGTTCTTCAAGTTGGTCAATGTCAATCTCTTGCGTGCTTCTTCAGAGATGTTTGCATTCCTCTTAATTTTGCTACCAAAAACAAAGGCTAATTGGTAGTAAGGGGTCAACCCATTAGGTCCAAGTGGTGAAATGTCCTTAACGTAAACTTGGAATCCAAGATTAATAGCTGCGAGATCGCAAGCATCAAGAAACTCCTCTGCGGTTTCGAAAGTGTCTTTTTCTTCGAGAAACTTGGCTTTCATTTTATTTGTTTAAAAAAAAAGTATTTCGGAAAAACTGCCCTGATTTCTATAAAAAATACGTTTAAAAAACAGTCAGAAAAAAAAACTCCCATGACGTAATGACACAAAAATACGTTTTTTTGTTTTTTATTTTCATTGTGAACAGCCCAAAAAAAAAAATACGTTTAAAGAAATTAAGGAGGTCTAGACATGTCCCTTTTTTTTTTGTCGTTCTACGATTTTTTTATTATCATTTTACTCCAAACAAATTTTTTTTTTTCTTATTTTATTCGGCATGTCTTCCAAAAAAAAAAAAAAAAAAAAGGAAACGAATTGCAATTACAAAAACATACAAAATGTAAAGGTTTCTTTTATTTGCATGACGATTATCGTTGAATATATAGTAGGGGACTGTCATGAATCACGTACTTTGCACTTTGCCCCTGACCATAAATCTCCCGACTAATAGAATGTTCTGGAATTTCATGGTTAGATTCCAGAACATCAGTGTCCAGGACCTTCCAGGACTATCCATGCAATGAACCCCCGCTTCCAAGTATCTCCGACGCCAAGTAATTAGTAAGCTGAAACCAACACTAAGATTAATTAAGTATGCCAAGACATTCTTAAATGCAAAGATATAAATACTTCGCCTTCCCCGTTCCATGTCGATTATCTTGTATTCCTTTCCCTTCCTCGTATAATCATTTATTGTTATTAAATCGTTTATAAACCACTCTTCCTTTGTCTTTGTATAACTAGTAGGTATCTTCTGATATTATTTCTATAATATATTCCTTATCACATTCCTGACAGGGACAATGACGTTGAACTTATTTCCATTCGGATGAAACTCAATTAGCCCAACTTGATGTTCCATGTCTGCCACATTCATAGCCGCGAATGTTGCTTGCGCTGAGCCTGAAAGAGTCTTGACAATTCGAACAGACATGTCGTCTCGGGTCACTTCATGAGATTCATTGAATTTGACTAGCGTCAAAACTGGGAGATGACATTCGAATGAACATGCTTTAAAGAAACCGAATGGCACTTAGAAGCTCACAGCGATGGGGAACGTGAAAGTGGCTAAGGTAAAAATAGAAAAAGAAAAAAGGAGTGAGATGCTAACTGTTAAAAACAGGGTTCGACTTACTTTTTTGTAGCCGGTGGTACAAAGCGGTGTTAATGCTACTTCGTTTGGTGCTTCTGGAATTGCCATTGCTTCTAGTGTTTGGATAAATAACAATGTTTACTCCTCCAGCATATACCAAATACGAAGGAACGAGATTAGGCGGGCACACCATCCGTACCTTGTTTCCCATTTCTTTTTTATTTCCTTTCAGTCCAAAGAAATGGCAAATAAGAAACGCAAGAGTCTTACTAGTAAATATTTTTTGGAGGACAATATAATTTGTAAAGAAACTCATAAATTGACTAATGTAGACGAAGACATTACCCATAACAAAAGAAAAACAGACAAGGCTGAGGAAGCTGATAACGAGCAGGTACCACTTCATTACCCTGTTTCTTCAAGCAGTGGTAATGATAGTGGTCCTCCCGTCATCGGCTCTTCCAGTGATGCCGAGTCTAGTCAACCACCACTCCCCAAAAAAAGGAAGCCAAACACAGCCATTCTTCAAAAAGAAACGAAAAAGGTAGTAGGTAAAGATACGTGTTATATGACATAGATATTAATGTATTTGCAATAGTATTTTGGAGGATTTCAAAGCCCTTGTTATGGGAAGAAACCGCAAGAACAGTGTTATCTCCAGAAGAAGAAGAAACCGCTTTGACAACGTTATCCCCCGAAGGGAAAGAAACCGTTGTGTGTGCGTTATGCCCAAAAGGGGAGGAAACCGCAAACCGGACAGTAAGTTTATCATATATTTTTTTGTGCACCTTGCTGAAGTCATCTTTTTTTTTTTCAAAGGCACACTGTAATAAATGCAATAGTTGTAATGTGTTTATGGTTGGAACAAGTCTTCTTTTTCCATTGGCCGCCCCAAACAGCAACAACTGTTGTAATGGGTGCAACAAGTATGTTAAAAAACAAAAAGTAAAACGTCGACCATTAATAACTGTTTTTAGGCTGGATGGGTTTCTTTCGTCTGGCGAGAAAAAATCAGATTTTAATATGTGGTTAAAATCCCAGAAGATACCAACGCACGATAAGCCGCCAACGATGTCTCCGGATGTCTTGACCAAAAGATTGACAGGAAGAAGAAAGTCAATGAAAGGTCGAATAACCAGAAAGAAAAGCAACGGAACAAAACTTGCTTCGGTGGATCAGCTAAAAAAAATGTGCATCGAAAGTAGATATAAATGCGTCATTACCGGTTGTCAAATAGCTTTTCACGATCCTAAAAAGCAGAGATACCCATATTGGGCACTCTCCATCGACCACAAGTTCCCTTTAACGCACTGCAGAAATGATCCCTTCGCCTGGACCATTGGCAATCTCCAAGCCATGGCCAGCAGTATTAATGCTATCAAGGGTGATCTGTCTGATGACGAAGTAAAACGTTCGTACGATCAGTACTTCTATAAAAATTGTACATAATAAAAATCCCTCTTAAATCAGTTTTTCTAAATAATATCAATATCATTAAATCGTAATCTTTCCTCGTAAAAAATTAAAAAGCCCGCCGTTCCATGAATAGGGGTGAAGAACCATTCGATACTGTGTGGAGAATATCTTTGATATAATAATAAAATTAATTTCACATCGCATTAAGGATGGATACTTATATAAAAGTTAATCATGAATTACACATTACCCCACTTGTTCTCATTCTACCATTGACTTCTGTACACAGGGCATACCCTGTGGTGAGTAAATATTTATTCTTGTTTTGCATGGAGAACAAAATAAAAAATAAACCAAAAGTGATACTGTTAGGACTTGGATACCACTTTATTATGGACGAAAAAATATAATTAAAAACGTATAAAAAATGTATTCAACAAAATGTATTCAAAAAATGTATTTTTGGTCTATGAGAAAAAACTATGGATATTTATATAAAGAACTGGGATAGTTCTAGGGAGAATAGTAAGAGCCCTATTGGATCATGATGTAATAATCTGGTGATAGTAAATAATCAACATGTCTTTAATTTTAGCCCTTCCATACTGAGTATATTGTGGTGATCTGCTATATTGTTGCTACATTAAATAAATCCATATCTATGACATCAATACATTAAGAATGATTAAGGAATCAATTACCCAATATAGATAGTTAGTACTATCATATCACAAGGTTACAAGAACACAGTGACTAAGGCTTACTAAAGATATGGAAGTACAATGTGTCTAAGATGACAGTAATTCCAAGTGTAACATATTTACAAAATAAGCAGTTAAAGGTAACAGGATACACACTGGGAAAATGATAACAACTTCAAAGATACACTAAAGATAATGGTACAGCAGATAGTCTTTTTTATATAAATACTTGATCATTTTATTTCATAATAAAGACAATCTGATAAACAGTCTCAAATTATTCATAAACTGCCTTATAATTTTTACTTACCTCAAAACACAACAAGGGCAAACCTGCCCGTCTAGTTAGCTCTTAATCAATTTTTATACAAATAAATCGACAAGACTTATAATTGTATTCTTATTGTTTTTTTATCTATTTTTTTCTGTAAAACTATTCTCTCTTAAAGTCTACTTTTACTACAGACAGAGCCAGAATGCAATGGTGTAGGTGATTGAGGTTGAGCTTCTCTCATTTCATTATCAGTTTCACTTCTTGTATACCTACAAAACAGTGAATCACTATTCAAGAAAGGAACCGAACTAGATAAATTAATTGGATTATCTTGGCTTACGTCTCTACTATCCGTAGCAGGGGAACCGGCACTTTTAAGAAAATGTATACCAGTAGTTATCATAAAGTAATTAACAGTACAAATTGGTTTGCATGGACAATGAAATTTTAGTACAACCAAAAGCGATACTGTTATAACTTGGATAAAACATTAATAAGAACGAATAAAAATAAATTAATTAAAAGGTATGATGCACTATGAGAAACAACTATGAATACTTGTCGTATTTGGGTATGATTTATTTGAGAATAAACAAATAAATCGAATAAAATAAAAACATGGAATAAAACATCCTTTAATATTGAGTAACAGCATACACCTGTATACTGCTACACAACGACTCCTACTATGAGTACATATTTCTATACAAAAAGATTGCATGATTGGCTTAAAATCGATATACGAATGACAGTTGGATATAGAATTCTATACTGTGGAGAAACTTTGTTTAACACAGAAAAAAATAGATAAAAAACAGGTAAATAAGATTAATAGTGCTTGTAGGCTTTTATTCTTATTATTAGTTTTAAAACTGAATCCCCTTGTACATTATAGTAGAAGGCAGGGTATTTATAGTTATTGGGATCTGTAGTTTAAACGGTTATCTAATAGTTAGTGAAGGTACCATTGGGTGGTATAATACATGTCCGATGGTGCCTTAAATTTAAGCGGTCATTGCCTTTATGATTGGATTGATTCGTAAACAATGAGCTAGTCTTATTGTTCTGTCAGAATTGAGAGGACGATGGTTCTAAGAAATCTTAAGTCAAACTGAGTTCTAAAGTAGTAACTCAGTTTTTATACCTGATGTTCTTTTCTTTTGTGATATTGTATTTGGTATATGAGTCGACCATGTGGGATCGACGATTTATTTATTTTATTTTATTATTTATAAGTGCGATTTTAGCACATATACCACTGAGTTACGATATCACCGGTCGGGAAGAGAAGCTTCTCCGATCAAATCAAGAAATATAAGAAAGAGAAACTTAATATTAATAGTTCTCTCAATGGATTAGCTACCCATAGAGAGAATAGAACAGCTATTTATATAAATGGTTCATTTACTTATATATTGATAAACCCAACTTATACGACTGTAAGTGTATAAGAGAAGTAGTGCATGGAATATTTGGATGCCTATTTTCTACAACTAAATATAGAACATCGATAAGATGTTCTATATTTAGGATCACATATTTACCCATGTCTTAGATAAAAATAATCAACAGAATGGATAAATGATCAGACATAACTACATGTTCTACCACAGCCAATTAAACACAAAAACCTTATGCATCTTTTAACTAGCCACCGTTACACAATGCCTTACTGGAATTCTGTATTTTAAACAGAACAATAAGAGTGTCCCAGATCGGTTGATTCAGGGCGACGTTATTTGAAATCAATTCTAACGAGTAGAATTCATTTAATGTAAGGCGGGAAACTGAGTATAGATTTATTACAAGACCAGAAAGGTTGACTCAACACAACTACCAGGGGAAGTTGTTCAATATAAAAAGGATCAATTATTTCATCGCAGCAGAGTTCTTTTAGTCTATTTTTACCTCGAATAAAGATATACTTTTTTCTCATTACTTTTTTCATTTGTAATATTTTTGTCAAACACCACAATACTTATATAAAGATTTAGGATAGTTTTCGGGAGAATATTAACCGCCTTATTGGATCATGACGTAAAATCCTGGCGATAGTAAATAATCAACACGTCTCTAAATTTAGCCCTTCCATATTGAGCATATAAATATTAGTCAGAGGAATCAACAGTTACAACATCAAATGACAAGAGTAATATTTGTGCTCACGATCTATTAATATTTTATAGTCCAGGCCCATTCGATTGTATTGTTTTTTGCGGAATAAATATTTACTCGCCACAGGGTATGCCATGTGTATAGACATCAAAAGTAGAATGAGAACAAGTGGGGTAATGTGTGATTCATGATTAAACTTTATATACTTATCCATCCTTAATGTGATATGAAATTAATTTTATTATTATATCAAAGATATTCTCCACACAGTATCGAATGGTTCTTCACCCCTATTCATGGAACGTCGGGCTTTTTAATTTTTACGAGGGAAGGTTACGATTAAATGATATTGATATTATTTAGAAAAACTAAGCTAAGAAGGTCTTTTATTATTTACAATTTTTATCAAAGTACCGATCGTACCAACGTTTAACTTCGTCATCTGACAGATCACCCTTAATAGCATTAATGCTGCCGGCCATGGCTTGGAGATTGCCAATGGTCCAGGCGAAGGGATCATTTCTGCAGTGCGTTAATGGGAACTTATGGTCGATGGAGAGTGCCCAATATGGGTATCTTTGCTTTTTAACATCGTGAAAAGCGATTTGACACCCGGTAATTATGCATCGATACTGACTTTCTTTGCACATTTTTTTTAGTTGTTCGACTGAAGCAAGTTTGGATCCGTTGCTTTTTTTTTTAGAGATACGGATTTTCATGCCCTTTCTTCGGGCGCCCAATCGTTTTGTCAGCGTTTCTTCTGACAACACCGGCGGTCGATCATTATTAGGTATTTTGTGGGTTTTCAACCACATATTGAAGTCGGATTTATCCTGGCCTGAAGAAAGAAATCCATCCAGCCTAAAAACAATGATTAATGGTCGATGTTTTTCTTTTTGTTTTTTAACTTACTTGTAACATCCCATGCAACAACTGTTGCTTTTTGGTGCTGCCAACTGAAACAGAAGACTTGTTCCAATCATTTCGACGTCGCAGCTGCTGCAAATATTATACATATCCTTTGAAAAATAAAAAGAGGACTTTAGCAAGGTGCACAAAAAGATATATGATAAACTTACAGTTCTGTCAAGAAGGGTTTTAAAGTCATCTAAATACTATTGCAAATACATTAATATCTATGTCGTATAACACGTATCTTTACCTACCCCCTTTCTTAACTCTTTTAGCGGAGCGGCCGTGTTGTGCTTGCATTTTTTGAAGGTACCCAAGAAGTGGGCCACCTCCCGAACCGGTCGACTTAATGGTCTCCTTTTTGTTCTGATACGTTGTTTTCATAGTACCATATTTCTCGAGAAGAGCTTTTTCGGTCCTGAAATAACCTTCATTGTTGGGAAGGAGGGCTTGGCGCTCGTTGTATTCCAACGTCAACGCTTTCCAATGCTGATTGTTGATTTGAACTCTGTTTGGTGACAAAATATTGTTGTGAGTATTGATAGCCAAATAGTAGCGTCCATATAATTCTGCAATATGGTACATATCATCTTTTTTTGAGGGGTGGTGGTTGACTAGACGCCGCATCATTGGAAGAGCCGATGACAGGAGGACCACCACCATTACCACTGCTTGATGAAACAGGCTAATTAAGTGGTACTGTCATGAACCACGTGGTCAATACCTTAATGCATACAAGCATACATCCATCCCCGCATAGTTTTGCAGGTGTATGCTGATCAAATTGTACAGCACATATGACCAAACCATCAGACACCACCATGAGACCGATCACGAGTCACCACCATGGGACCACGCCTCAAGACCAAACCAATATACGCCATACCCTCGTTCCATGATACCGCCATAGTACCTCGCCTCAAGACCTTCCCCAAGGCCTTAACTCAAGACCCTTTACGTTAAGAAGATAGTCCTTAAGACTATCTTCCTTTTATTATAAATACCTTGGATTATTTAGACAAGTACAGATCTTTATCTGATATCTTGTATACCCTATTATAATTTATGTAAACCTTTAGGTTTACTACCTTTTTCTTGTCTGTCTTCTCGCAAACCATATACAACTCCGCACATAAAATATTCGACACTTCCGTTTTGAGCCAAAAAAATAAATAAACCTACTCTTTCTTCGTTCAACGATTCTTTCATATTTTATTACACAATTTATCATGCCACTTACTGACATTACTAACAAAGTCTCTAGAAAAAGCAAGGAACTTTCAGATTTCGATCGTGGAGTCATTTGCGGTTTGGCAGAGCATGCCAAATGGACAGGTACCCAAATCAGCAAAGAATTGGGCGTTCCTAGAACAACCGTTGTTACGATTATAAAAAAGTATCGAACTGAAGGGATCACGACTGTCCAACCTCGTCCAGGAAGACCAGCAAAGCTGACAGCAAGAGCTGAGCATCACCTGACGCTTTTAGTTCGAAGGGACTCCTTTGAACCTTTAAGTGTTCATATGCAAAATCTTGCGAAGGCTACCGATCCAATCAGCCTGACGACATTGAGGAATGCACTTCGCAAAAACGGTTTTTATTCTTGCAGACCTTCCAAAAAACCGTTTTTGAGTCTTAGACATAAAAAAACGCGAAGAGAATGGGTCGACGACAAGATGAATTGGACATTAGATGACTGGAAGAAGGTAATCTGGTCCGATGAGTCGCGATTCGCACTCAGGCACAACGACGGTGGTGTGAGAGTTATTAGAAAGAAGGGTGAAAGGTATATGGATAGATTTGTTTTACCAACATTTAAATTTGGTAAGGGATCAGTGATGGTATGGGGATGTTTTTGGGCAGGCGGTTTGGGCCCTTTGGTGACACTAAAAGGGTCTGTCGATCAAGAAAAATATGTCAATTGTTTAAGTCAAAACTTTCTCCCTTGGCTTGAACAATTGACAGAGAAATATGGTCATGACTTTATTTTCCAAGAAGACGGTGCCCCATGCCATACAGGAGGATATACGAGGTGGTGGAAAGAGAAGGCTGGGATTGCAGGCTTTGAGCGATGGCCCGCTCAAAGTCCCGATTTGAATCCGATTGAGAACCTTTGGCGCCTCCTGGGACAAAGGATTGCTAAAAGAAGAGCCCAGCTTCAAAATCTTAATGAATTGGAGGTTGCACTTCATCAGGAATGGAAGTTGTTGGGGGATGAAGTGTGTCATAAGCTTGTAGAAAGTATGCCCGATAGATGCCGGGCAGTAAAAAAAGCTCGTGGCTCAAATACCACTTATTAACGTAAATAAAAAAGTTTCTTTTTACAAAATATATATATATATTGCTATTTTGTCAAGTTTGGTAGAATTTGAGATACCTTTTATTAACAAGTTTTTGGTTTTAAAAAAATGCATGACTAAAGGAACTCAAATTTTTGTGAAAAGTGTCGAATATTTTCGGTGCGGAGTTGTAGTCCTACCTAGTACCTAGCCTTGCCTTGTAAGTATAAAGAAACCTGTCCGGGTACCTAGTAGCATGCGGCTAATTCCTGACAGGTACCTGTCCGTTATCACTTTCCTCAGCCTTGTCTGCTTTTCTTTTTCTATGGTTCATGTCTTGGGCTACATTAATCAATTTATGAGTTTCTGTACAAACTATATTGTCGTCCAAAAAATACTTACTAGAAAGACTCTTGCGTTTCTTATTTCCCATTTCTTTGGACTGAAAGGAAATAAAAAAGAAATGGGAAGCAAGGTACGGATGGTGTGCCCGCCTAATCTCGTTCCTTCGTATTTGGTACATGCTGGAGGAGTAAACATTGTTGTTTATCCAAACACTAGAAGCAATGGCAATTCCAGAAGCACCAAACGAAGTAGCATTAACACCACTCGATCATCAATAATATTTAGAAAGGGTATCTTTTACTCATTGCGTGCTTTGTACCACCGGCTACAAAAACGTAAGTCGATCCTGTTTTTAACAGTTAGCATCTCACTCCTTTTTTCTTTTTCTATTTTTACCTTAGCCACTTTCACGTTCCCCATCGCTGTGAGCTTTTAAGTGCTATTCGGTTTCTTTTAAGCATGTTCATTTGAATGTGATCTCCCAGTTTTGGCGCTAGTCAAATTCAATGAATCTCAAGAAGCGACCCGAGACGACATGTCTGTTCGAATTGTCAAGACTCTTTCAGGCTCAGCGCAAGCAACATTCGCGGCTATGAATGTGGCAGACATTGAACATTAAGTTGGGCTAATTGAGTTTCATCCGAATGGAAATAAGTTTAACGTCATTGTCCCTGTCAGGAATGTGATAAGGAATATATTATAGAAATAATATCAGAAGATACCTACTAGTTATACAAAGACAAAGGAAGAGTGGTTTATAAACGATTTAATAACAATAAATGATTCTATGAGGAAGGGAAAGGAATACAAGACAATCGACATGGAACGGGGAAGGCGGAGTATTTATATCTTTGCATTTAAGAATGTCTTGGCATACTTAATTAGTCTTAGTGTTGGTTTCAGCCTACTAATTACTTGGCGTCGGAGATACTTGGAAGCGGGGGTTCATTGCATGGATAGTCTTGGAAGGTCTGGGAAGGTTCTGGACACTGATGGTGTTGAATCTCAGCATGTGATTTCAGAACATTCCAGTAGTCAGGGATTCAGGGCGAGGGGCAACGTACGTCGGCATTCTGGCCATGGGTGTGTCCAATCAAAACTCAGGGATAGACCATAAGTAGAGCATTCTGTTGGCTGAATTTGAGCATAAGTAGGAAGTTTCATTGGCCAATTTTTCGGCCCGAAAAATTTGGTAGCTGAGCCTGTTGTTAATTAGTTTGTTATTCCGCTTTGAAGGGTTATAAATAAAAACAAAGGAACAAAAACTTTCAGCACTTCTGTCGTATTTACTCCTATTAAACCGAATAATTACAATTTAGCTTGCCTCTTCGTTATAACACATACCATGTTATAACAAGAACTCTGGTGAATATCATTCCTAGTGGTTAAAGGCACGATGCCAGTAACACACAACATTTACTCTGCGACTATATCTTACATTAAATCCAGGTTGTCGTGTAACTGTGGAATCTTATAACATATGTACTTTGATCAAGAACTCTAAAACCCTTAACTTCAAGTAAAGGAACTATGAATGATTATATTTATATAAAGACTTCAAACATACAAAAGCGAGGATACGTTTGTTGAGGATATCATAGATATAATGATAAAGTTAATTGTCACATCACATTATGGATGGATAATAAATATAAAAGTTAATCATGAATCACGCATTACCCCCACTTGTTCTCATCCTACCGTTGGAGTCTGTACACAGGGCACATCCCTGTGGCGAGTAAATATTTATTCTGCAAAAGCAATACAATCGAATGGGCCTGGACTATAAAATATTAATAGATCGTGAGCACAAATATTACTCTTGTCATTTGATGTTATAACTGTTGATCCCTCTGACTAATATTTATATACTTAGTATGGAAGGGCTAAAATTAAAGACATGTTGATTATTTACTATCACCAGATTATTACATCATGATCCAATAAGACGCTTACTATTCTCGCTAGAACTATCCCAGTTCTTTATAAAAATATCCATAGTTTTTTCTCGTAGACCATCAATACATTTGGAATACATTTTTTTTAATACGTTTTTTAATTATATTTTTTCGTCCATAATAAAGTGGTATCCAAGTTCTAACAGTATCTCTTTTGGTTTATTTTTTATTTTGTTCTCCATGCAAAACAACATTACTTAAGTAATAAACTCTACTTTATATTGACATTGATTTGTACTTTAAATGAAGGTATCACCACCTCGTGTCAGACCTTAATTAGAACTGAGCAGAGAAAGTAGCTAAAGTTATGTATAATTCGTACATAAAAAGACCTCTAATTTTATTCATGACACACTCTCCAATTTATAATAAAGGAACAAAGAGTCTCATTTATTTTTTGCTTCCGTCTATAAACACCTACTCTATATACGAAATTAGCACAACTTCTTTACATTATTTTCAAAGTTTTATTTTAAATGGGTGTCGTATTTGGGTACGATTCACTTAAGAATAATTAAGCAGATCGTTTAAATAAGTAAACTATGAAATTAAAACAACCTGTCGTATTTGACGCCTAATTCCACGAATACAATTACTCTTATCTTGTCACTCAATTATAATACATATAACCTATGTATTATAAGTACCATATTGCGAATACATTCCTATTGGTACAACACAGTACCAGCTCCCTCATATGTCAAACTGAGATCAGTTTTCATAATCGTTCCTGGATTGGTCGAGTAGCTGCCGAATCTTCTAGTTTCTCATAAATTTATTTTAGTAATCCAATCAAGGACCCTGTCATTGAATGAATAAACTATAATGCTCTAGAAGTGCCGGATATGGGTCAACTAGCTCCTTGTATATAACAATAAGCTATGTTTCATATGTAACTGATTTCTAAATCTAATTCTACCATTTCCCAGTTTGCGGGTAAATAGTCAATTCGATCTGCGCAGGAAAAATCTTGAAGTAGTAATTGAATATAAAAAGAACCTCTATTTTTATCATGACAAACTCTCCAACTTATAATAAAGGATTATAGAGTCTCATTTCTTTACTTGCTTTATTTTCCAATTTACATTTCCCTTTTTATTCTCAATTATCACAGACCCAAGGTAATTAATCGCAGATTTATAATTAAGTTTTTTTTTAAGTTGATTACTGATACCTAACAATATTGTAGATGTTTTGGAAGTGAGCTCGCTTGTTGCAGTAAAACTGCCTACCGTAAAGATGCTGATGTTAAATTTTATGTCACATAAAAACACGAATCTGCAAGTATTTTCAGATGCATTAAGATCAACCAAGTACAATAAGTACCACTATCTGGCTAGTAGACAAGGAATTAGATTTGCATTGACTCCCGTACACACATATGAGGAGTACAAATTGTACAATGAACATGTCAATAACCGTTTCTCAGCTCAAAATCTAAACAATTATTTTACCTGGGTAGCAATAAGTAAAGCATGGTCTGAAAGAGTAGATGGTGTCTCTATATTTTACAAGTGTCCTGAACACCTTATATTATATTACAACAACAAAAAAAGGATGACAGTAAATACAGAGATACTATTTTGATTAACCAGGCTCAGTGTTATATGATGCGTGGCAACATTCGACATGAATCACGTTTGGCAAATGCTTAAGGACCCAATACTTTCACTATTAGGTTCAAGTGAATTGAGCAGTAACATCATCAGTAATGATCTAAATGTTCCTGTTATAATCAGCTCTTTGCGAACTCCATAAATTACCAGGCCAGCTAGAATTATTGCTCCAACCCTTATGACACCAATCGACAGTAGTAGTTCTTTCGCATTCCAACAGCCTCATCATAGTCCTAGAATGCAAATTTCTCGATTGCAACATAATTTTATGTCTGCGACTACTACTACTACAAATCGCGGAAATTTTTACATTCTTCCACCGAAAGAAAGAAAACCAAGGACATGTAAGAAGTTTAACAGCTCTTCATACAAGGGCAAGATGAATAGAAATTTTTGTACTTCTCAAACTATGTAATAAACTATCAGTTTTAAACCTTTATTTATATTCAATGTAGTCCTGTAAAAATCACATTAATTAAATCAGATTTGAGACAAATAACCACACCTGTGCTAAATCACACATATAGATTGTACATATAATAAATTCATATCTCATCATCACTGATAAATGATAGCTAAATCATGATCAGGCATAAAAAAGGAATTCGCTAAAGCCGGTCACTATTTTAAAGTGTCACGGTATCGTAACACCAATGTCCAAACTTAAGACATGTTATTGTTATTATTTCTCTATTGACTATGCGTAGCACTAATTGTCCAATATAGATATTGTTATTGATAGCATACTCATATTGTTAAGAGTAGTATCCTCAGCCTCGTCCATTCCATTTATTATAAATACTCTTTATTTTTCCTCTTCTTAAATCTTCAGTTAACTTTAACATCAATAAACTCTGACAAGAATTCTAATTGATCCTATTGTTTTTTTCTACCTTTTTTTCTGCAAAACTATCCTCTATAAGCCTACTTTTGCTACAACACCTATGGTCATAGGGCCAACTATGGATATTTATATAAAGAACTGGGATGTAGGCTCTACCCATGTCTATACTGATCTCAAATGCTTCACAAGTATCATACAAACCAATATAATGATATCAACTATTAGTAAAAATTAAAAAACCTGAGTTTAATACGTTTGCTATGTCTTAAATTGATGAATGAAAAATGAGCTTAATAGCTGGAGATACTTATTCATATGAGTGCCAGACTTCATATTCTAAACAGCCTTCCCTTGTTTAATATTTTCTTTTTCGAAGAAATAAAGCCCAGTAATATCTATCTTAAAACTACATAGAATGGTCAAACAAAGAGTAAAACAAACGAGCTTAATCGATATGTTTGCTACAAATACAAATACGAGCTCTCCATCAACCACTTCAAACAACATTGATGCTGTCTATTAACGAACCTCCCCGTGTATGTACAGTTTTACCTTCAGTATTCAAATTAAACATTAACTCTAATGATATTAACTAGAATGATGATCAGTCCAGTGTTATGCCTCCCGTAACACTTGAAGTATCTCATGATACAAGTGTTGCAAGCAATAGCCAAGAAACATCCCGGGACAATGTTGAGCAGGTATTTGTATATGCATGTTTGTGTATAATCACGCATATATGTCGTTTAATATGATATTGTTTAATGCTACCATTTCATAGTATAATCCCGTGTCTGATGAGGCTGAAGAAGAAACTTCTAAACACTCTGACGATATTGTGAATGAATCTTCAAGTCACGAAGACCAGCTTGATCCCAATGAAGAAGTCGAATTCGTAAGAATCTTGGAATCGAGTGCTATTGACAAGGAGTTGAATAAAGCTCAAAACCGTCTGCGTAAAAGTGGTAGACCCGCAGAATACGAACTGAAGACTTGCTGGACTATCAACACAATGCCTAGTAACAACGATCTTAAAAAGGGGTCTACTGATCTCTACTACGGACGCGTCTCTTTTTCCTTTTCGTCTTAGTCTTTGTACATGGCTCCAAATACATCATTATGCCTGTAAATGGCCTGGTTAAGAAAGTTATATGTATTACGAGATGCGGGAAGAGGTCCATTTATTATACTTGAAGTATAAAAATATTAGCATGAATGTTTAGCCTGACTCTGACTTTTATATGGCCTTCAGAAGGTGTTTTTATTGATTGGCCTGAATTTAAAATATAATTTGCATTACAAGCTTTGGTGCTCCGTGAAAAAGAGCAAAAAAAAAAAAAAAAAAAAAAAAAAAAACTTCTTTTTCTTTATTACGTTTTATATATATAAAAAAATGGTTGTAAATAAAAGTCCTGAAGCTGATTCAGACTTAAAATTGGAGTCTTCGCCCGAGATGAAGGCCAAAGAAGAAAAGACTGAAGTCAAGGAAGAGAAAAACGACGTTAAGGAAGAAAAGACTCAAACCAAAGAAGAGAAGGAAGAAAAAGCTCAAGTCAATAAGCCAAAGATTACCGACGGTATGTTTTAGTTTCAAAGAGAAACACAGTGGTTTCAGGTATTAATGCCGTTAGTTAGAAGAGGCCATGTTCAAAGCAATCTTGCCAAAAAACAATGAATTGGAAACAGAGAGTGTCGGTTCCTTTCATTGGCACATTGAGGACTGGAAGGCTTTAGAGACTAAAACACATAGTCCTGTATTCCATGTAAATGGATACCCTTGGTAAACACTTTTCCTTATACATATACAAAGAAAAATAGAAAACGAATACTTACCACTGCTTTTTCTTTTCTTTATAACATAGGCGTATTTTGTTATTTCCTAAGGGTAACAACCAAAAGACAGCTACCTCCATTTATCTCGAAATTGCTAGTCCAAAAGAGAATGGTCTACCAGATGGATGGCACATTTGTGCTCAATTCGCACTTGCCATTTCCAATCCCGAAGATCCCACTTGTTATTACCCAAGCAGTAAGCCGGGGGGGGGAGAGAAAGCGTAGTGTTCAATCTATAAGCTAACTTTTATGATTTAGGTGCTAATCATCGTTTTTCATCTGAAGAGATTGATTGGGGATTCACGCGTTTTTACGATGTAGAAGATCTTGGTCAAGTTTCCGCCGCAGGAAAGGGACCGTTCCTTGTCAATAATAAGACGACCATTTCCGTTTACATCCGTATCGTGAAAGACGAAACAGGAGTTCTTTGGCATAATTTTGTCAATTACGATTCCCGTAAGGAAACCGGCTATGTTGGTATTAAAAACCAAGGAGCTACATGTTATATGAACTCTTTGTTACAATCGCTTTATTGCACCAATAAATTCAGAAAGGCAGTGTATGAGATTCCTACCGAGGGGGACGAGCCTACCAAAAGTGTTGCCCTGGCTCTTCAGCGATGTTTCTACAACCTACAATATGCTTCTGCTCCTGTCGGCACTACAGAATTAACTCACTCGTTTGGTTGGAACACTCTGGATGCTTTTATGCAGCATGACGTACAAGAATTCAATCGTGTCTTACAAGATAATTTGGAAGAAAAGATGAAGGGTACACCAGCAGATGGAGCCATCTCGAAATTGTTTGAAGGAAAAATGAAAAGTTACATCAAGTGCATAAATGTCAACTTTGAATCCTCACGAGTTGAAGATTATTATGATATCCAGTTAAATGTTAAGGGTTGTAAAAACCTGATCGATTCATTTGAAGATTATATTACAGTCGAAACATTGGAAGGTGATAATAAATACATGGCTGAGGGGCATGGTCTTCAAGATGCAAACAAAGGTGTCATTTTTGAAAGCTTCCCTCCTGTATTACACTTACAGCTCAAGCGTTTTGAATATGATTTCATGCGGGATACGATGGTCAAGGTACTACTTCAAAGTTTAATTTAGAAGTGTTCATGTAATAACTTTTTTATTTGTTAAGATCAATGACCGACACGAGTTCCCCGCCGAAATTAACTTGGACAAGTATTGTTCAACTGCCGATGAAGATGGCCCATATGATTATGAACTTCACGGGTAAACCCCTTTTTTTTTATATAGAAGATAATGTCATCATTACTCATGGTTACATTTTTGCTATAGTGTTCTTGTCCATAGTGGTGACATCACGGGTGGCCATTATTTTGCCTTAATTCGACCTGAAGCCAACGACAAATGGTTCCGTTTCGATGACGATCGTGTGACGCCTGTTTCCAAAAAGGAAGTGTTTGAGGAAAATTACGGTGATGAACCTCATCGTGATAACAAAGATACCTCTGTTGCATCTCCACCATTCTTAACAGGCACTACGAGAGTAAACAGTGTTCGTATGATGAAGAGATTCACTAATGCATACATGTTGGTTTATATCAGAAAGAGCAAATTGGATGAAATATTAGCACCTGTACAAGAAACAGATATCCCCGAGCATTTAAGTAAGAAGAGGTCTACATGATTATTTTTATATACTTACCTTTATAAAAAAAATTAGAGCGTCGTTTGGACGATGAAAAGGCAACAATCGAAAAACGCAAGAAAGATAGACTAGACATGCAATTGAATGTCAAAGTAGCTGTAAGACTTCCTATGCATGTATTCGATTAAGTGTGTTATTTATATGATTTTGCAATATAGGTTGTGACGGATGACTCCTTCAAAGAATATCAAGGGTTTAATCTAGCTGCATTCGATGATAGATATTTGGAAGCATCTGACAATGTCGATATTTTCAAGGCTCTCAAAACCGAAAAAATTAGCGCATTTAAACAGCAGTTAATAGACCATTACAAAGTTGAACCCGAAAGATTTAGATTGTGGAGTATTCTTTACCGTCAAAACAAGACTGTCCGAGTAGATCAGCCTCTGTCATTAGCTGACGAAAGAACCAGTAAGCGTGGCTACATCTAATCCCTGTAATTTCTATTCTTACCGTTCTATTTAAAAAAACTATTAGCTGTCGAAAAAATGAGAGAGGCTACCTGTGTCAGCTCTCTAAATAATGGATTCACCAAATTTTATATGGAAATAGCTGAAAAAGATAAGCCTTTACCTGTACTTAAAAACGACCAAATGCTCGTCTTCGTTAAATATTTTGATGTCAAGCAACAAAAATTAAGGTACAGAAAAAAAGGGGGGGGGGAAGAATAGTCAAAATTTTGTTATTAATAATCTTTGATACAGAGGTCTTGGTCACATATTTGTCTCTCTTAGTGATAAGGTTGGCAGTATTTTATCCATACTGGTTGAAAAAGCAGGCTTGCCTAAGAGCACTTCAATTCAGCTTTACGAAGAGATCAGACCTACATCAATTGACCCTTTAAAGAGTGACCAAACCTTCCGTAAGGCAGAAATCCAACATGGTGATATTGTTTGTTTCCAACAAACAATATCTCAAAAAGAGTAAGTTTTCTTTTTCTTTTTCTTACGGCGTTTACTCAAAGGTTTTTTTTTTCAAAACAGAATTGATGAATTGTTAAATGCTGAAAAATACCCTTCAGTACCACACTATTATAAATACTTATACAACAAGGTGTGTATCTTATTACAGCCTGTCCCCGACAGTAGAGTAGGAAACGGCAAAAAGCAGGATATAAAGCTTATCTTGGACAGAACTGCCAGTTATGCACATGTTGCAAATCGACTTGCAAGTCAACTTCATGTGGAATCTACCAAAATCCGTTTCATGTCCTCCGATCCTGCTACAAATCAACCTCGCGATATCATCCATTATAAACCCGGGAAAAGGCTTGAAGAGATGATCCCTACTTTACCCAAACCAAATGATTATGCTCAATTTGTCAGCTTCGAGAATATCAATACACCTGTCATGTACTACGAGATCATGGATCTGGATGTTGCAGAGTTAGAGTCAAGACGGTCAATTGAAGTGAATATCATTGGTCCCACTTTACGTAAAGAGACTAAAGTTACTGCGCTTGTCACAAGAGCAGGATCCGTCCGTCAGCTTCTGGATCAAGTGATTACCAAGGGGAAAATGGAAATCAAAGATCCCAGTAAAATCCGTCTTTATGAAGCTGTTGACGGTAAAGTCACACAGGAGTTCTCGCTTGATCAGACTGTGGACAATGTAGCTTGTGAAAAAACTGCAGTCGTGTATGCCGAGGTAACTTGAAAGATATTGTATATGTTTTTGTTAACCAACTGACGTAAAAAATACATATAGCCTATTCCTAAAGACGAATTAGAAATGGACCAAGATACAGACCGTTTGATTCAAGTTGTTCATTATCACAAGAACCCCACTGAATTCCATGGTATTCCTTTCCGGTTTGTTGCTATTAAGGTAAATAAAAAAATCAAAGCAGACATATATAAAAAAAAAGGCCAAATGTTTAATAAAGGGTTGTTCTTCTAGGGCGAGCCTTTTGAGGAGACCAAAAAGCGGTTACAAAAGAGAACTGGCTTGGGTGACATGGATTGGAAAAAGGTCAAGTTTACCGTTTTGAGGAACTTGAATGCACCAGAACCACAAGTGACAGTTATCGATCAGCCCACATTTGAGCTTCGAAACGCACGTCTTCAAGAAGAGGATGCGCTTGGGTTGGACCATATGGATAAATCATCAAAGGGTCGATTTAGCAGTGTGTTTGAAAAGGGAATCTTTATCAGAGGGTAAAAAAAAAAAGAAATAAAAAAAAAACGAGTCTTTCTTTTTTTCGCCAATTTGAAATATGGTTTTACCTTTGTGTATAAAAAGCCTTACAATGTCTAAAGCGGGTCATCTCAATTTGCCATACTCGCTTTGTCTTTTCTTACAAAGACGTAAAAGGTTACATTTTGTACTAGCAATGTATTTTGTGATATAATTCTATCTTCACTATATTGGCCTCTAGGACATTGCGTAATATTAGGTGATATTTATATGATTAAACACTTTTAAGATTCTCAAGAACACTATTTTCTATTTGCAAGCTTCAATAGAATTATACCAACTACTATGAAATGTTAAAAAAATATACCGATATTAAATATTTACAGCATCTTACAATCATATCTAGAATCAGCTTTAGTAAAAAAAAATACTAGATCTTAATGAGAGATCTCTACAACTTTTAGGATGTGTATGACTTTCATTTAGACCTTTGAGTATCTTTTTTAGTAGTTGTCATAGTTACTTAAAGAATGCCAGATGGGCAAAAATGGGATTTAAATTGGCGCTTTTGAACTCTAAATTGAAGGTCGCACAGTGAGGGCGTTCACTTTCCAAATCGTTTTTACCTCCTTTTTAAATGATGTTAAAATAGAAATCGCATATGATTAATCTCAATTTTTTTTTCGCATCGGTCAATTAGTGATAAAATATATTTAGCATGAACATGATCATCAAATTATTGCCTAATTTTGCAAAATGAAGTAAAATTAAAGCCAAATATACCTTTCTGTGCATGTCGATCAGATTTTCTATTTTGGACCTTCAGGTTCTCTTGTTGACAATAATTTTCAATATACGTGCACAGGTGAATAAAAAAAGAAGGAGGGAGGAGGCCTATTGAACAACTTGAGTTAAGTATAGTTTACCCAGTGAATGGGGGATAATTGCCGAGTGGAGAAATGTATTTACGGTCATTGTACGTTCAGTTACTCATTTGGTAGTGGCTACCACTAATTGAACGATGACGAGTGCTGTGGCTGTGCCAAGTGTCGCCCTCCTATACCCGTTTCTGGATAAGGCAATCCGGGTACAAGTTATTTGGAAAAATAAAATTTCTACAATTTTATGCATTGACTTCCAAGCCAACCCTGCTTAAAGAAATCCTTGGTATCTATTTAAATCCATTATATTGACACAACCGTAAATGCAATAGACTTTTTTTTTTTTTTTTTCGTTCTACCATGCCTTTTAAACAACGCCTATTGACCCGCTCTGTGTTACTGTGGTCTGCATCAGATGATTGGTAATTAAAAAAAATATCTATTTTGGCTGCACACTTTTTTTTTCTTTTCTTCTTTTTCTCTCTTCTTAACTTCTTTTTTTTTTTTAAATAAATCTTTTTACTTTTGTACCGTTTCTTATAAAACGGTTCCCCCAACCTTTCATTAACATATATTCTTGTCTACATCTCGAAGCAAGAATCTCAATCCCTCATCATCTCAAAAACAAGACGATCCCAAGTAGGTGAAAAAAAAAAATGTGAATCAACTAGGCAATAAATTAACCTTTTTATAGCTCAAAAAATACAATGGGACAATTAATTTCTGGCTTAAATCTCCGTCCAGGCGATGCTCTTGTACCTGAGCTGGGTTTTGATCTCGAGAGTAAGTTCAATATTAGTTTTGTAAGCTAAAAATGATTAACATTACTTGTTTTAGGTGCTACACCTTCTAGTGACGAACTTCAGTTGTACAATAAGCTTTCATCTTTATTAGTTAAACCGGGACCAGCTTTATTACATCTCTTGAAAAGCTATGTTCCTGCCTCCGATCTAATTCGTGATGCAATTGCCAAACCTACTCCCGAGAACGAAGCTAAAGCCTGGGAGGCAGTTTCACCTACTGTAGATATTTTGCGTGATATCTATGACTATTCTGCCGATCTTCGTAAATAAGAAATATCCAAACCAGAATATAATATATCTTATTGACTTGTAAAATCTATTAGAGGAAGGATTACCTACATTATTGGGTGTTCTTTGTCAAGGTGATGTTAGCAAAAATTTAGAAAAGAATCAAGGTTTAGCCAAATTATTTGCAGAACTCTTGGATTTCGTTTTTGAATTTGATCATCTCAAGATGCATAGCCCAACACTTCAAAACGACTTTTCATACTATCGACGCATGTTACAAAGAGGACGCAGTAGTGGAAGAGACGACGACTCTTGTGTGTCTGATTTAAGGAGTGCCATGATCGAAGATGACCAAGCCAATCGGATTTCCCTTTTCATTGCATATCCAACTCCTATGTTAAAATGCATCATCGATACCACCACCAAATTCGTTAATAGCAATCAGTTACAAAAAAGCGTAGGAGATTGGCTCGCAGCTTTATGGGCTACATGTTTCAACACCGTCAGTAAAAAAAAGTAAGAGTGGTCTTTATTGTTTGAAATAACCAAAATGTATATTTAACATTTGTGCCTTTAGGAATCAAAGCCCTGCAGTATCTGCTTTCTGTATGAAAGTGATGGTAGTTTCTATTATATTGTACGATCACATTGATCCAAATGGTGCATTCTATAAACACTCTCCAATTAATGTAAGTTGGTCATCATTAATCACATGAATCATGGGCTAAATTATCTTTTCTTTAGATTAAAAATTCTGTCAAAATTATCCAAACAATAACGAACCTCAATGTTTCCAAGGAATATAGCGCCACAAACCTATTATCTGCTTTAAGATATAACTCAAAGCATTTAAATGATGATACTACACCAAAAGGCGTGAAAAACTTGGTTCTGGCCACATAATTCGTACTACCTATTAATTTCTATTTTTACCTTTTTTATCCCCCTCTGCCTCTATTTTTTTTTTTATATACTCTTTCTTTTTTCTTTTTTTTTTATTTACCCTTTTTTTCTTCTTTTCTTTATTGCCGACACTTGTATAATTTTACCTCTTATTCCTAATTACTCCCATTTCACACTATTTTACAAACCAAAAAACCAAAAAAAAAAAAAAAAAAAAAAAAAAAAATTAATGATATAAAAAAAAAAAAAATTCGTTGCATTAATTCCTTGTCGCATCAGTTTCGGGGTAGTATTTATTTTCTTTATTTGGGAACTGTCTTGTGCAACAATGGTAAGCCTTGGCTATCACGCCCCCCTCCTTGACACGTGTAATCCCTAAATTTACGTCAAACGTGCCTTGATTATTAGTAATTGGGCCACTTGACTTACAGAAGATTTACCCTTGCAGAACACCCCTATATGATTATTAAAAGCGAATAATAAAAAAAAAAAAAAAACTTCACTGTCCGTTTCTAAATCAAATGTTGTAATTTTGCAAAAACAATTCTGGAACTATTTATCTTCTAAATCACGATACATTTTGTAATTTCTATCATGAGACTAGTAAGGCGTATTTAATCTATATCAAATTCCTTTCGCGAAGCATGTAACTTTTATGTACACATATCTTACCACTACATAAATTACATAACCACCCGTAAGCATTAATATATATCGCTTGTCTATTAAATGATGAAAAAAAAAAATCAGATCGACTGGAATGTAGAGCATATTAAAATAATTATAAAGGCTTAATTTTTTTCTGAAACGGGGGTGTGATATTGTTTTCTTCAACATTTTTTTTTTCTGTTGTGTGGCAAATGGAACAACCAAGGGCATGCTCACCGGTAAATACAAATAGAATAGTGGCTACAATTACTGGTATACAAGTGGTAAATAAATACTAGAATCCTATTATGCAGGTAGATATTGACCCTCGTTGTTCATAGATGCGAGCGTTATGGCAAGTTTGGGATGCGATTGATAACAATCGCCCTGGTATGTCATTTTTATATATAGATAGCTTTTACCCAAAGTCTAATTGTAATTAGCTTCAATAAATAAATTGGTGATGCCTACAATTTATGTTACGTGCATTCTTAGCGTTATGCTTATGGCCACAGGGGTGATCGGTACCTGGAGTGTATATAGAGTAAATATATTAAACCGAGACATCAATGATAATCTTATCAAACTAAAAAATCTGAACAGCTTCGTATACATACACTTAATGTATGCTGGTGGGTGTTTTACATGTTGACCATATTTAGCTTTCTTAACGCATGCACCAATTTGTCGATTATTTGTCTGGGAAAAGATAGCTTTGTACACGGATGTATTACAGAAAACGTGATTGTAGAAAATTGTGGAAACAACGATGAAATATTAACTGTCAGTGAAAATGGAACAGCAACAGCAGTTAATAACTGTGAACAGACACTGCCGCCGCCTTCTTTTGTCGACTGTAAGCAGCTTTGGGAGGATTCGGTGATATGGGCTGCTATTGTGGCGATTTTGGATTTACTGATCAATGCAAGTATATATGCCTCGAAGTTTTTTAATAGTGTCATTTCAGCTAATGTTTTTTTTTCATATATTAGCTTGGTTTTGCTTATGCCTTATACAAATGCAGAATGCAATGCAGATCGAATGAACGAAATAGTATTAGCCATGACTCTGGAAATCATATCCAGCCTGGTGTATCGCCTCCACCTTACATACATGAAGACTCGGATTCAGAATCAGAGGAATTTGTGGAATTGAAATAATTTATTAGCAAATTAAAAAAGTGTAGTATAAAAAAAGAAGAAATGGTACAGGATACAATAAAGAAGCGGGAAAAAAAAGAATAGTTATTCTATATATTAACATTTTTGAAGAGTTTCCAAAAGGGCTTGCTCGCATTGACGTACACCTTGTTGAGTGGTTACTTGAGAAGTCATGAGGTAGATAATATTACCGAGTGGTCTAGCGAACAAGTTGACGCCAGTTTCGGCTGTACCATCGAAACCATTCTTGAATTTACCTGAGCGTAAGTTTTTAATGACAGATTTTGAAACGGATGAGCTATAACCTGCAGTTGTGTCATCCTTTAACTCAACGGCTAATACAGAACCTAAAGTCATGACACTTTCAACATTTGAAAGTCTGGATAACTGATCAACGGTTTTAGTAGACCACATAGACCAGATTGAATTACCCTTCCATTCGTCACGGAAAGGAGCCCATGAACCTGTTTTTTCAATAGCCATTTCATCCAGCGTTTCAATCGAAGTCTTTGCAACTGCACAACCCATTGGATGAGCAGTGTATGAATGACCGTGTAACAAGCAGTCGGGTTTGTTTTCCGAAAGAAATACGTCATAAATGGATTCTTTAGTGACAGTCAGAGCCAAAGGCAAAAGTCCACCTGTCAAAGTCTTTGCATAGGCAGTGATGTCCGGTGTCTGAAAAAAAAGGGTTGGGGTTTTAATGATTACGATTGAGTAAAAAAAAAAAAAAAAAACTTACCACACCAAGGAATTCGGATGCCGATCTTCGGCCCAATCTATACCACCCCGCAAAAACTTCATCAAAGACGACGGGTAAACCTTGCCATGTGTCTTTGGAAATAAGTTTATCATCAACACCATAGAGCAATTGGGATCCTTCCTTTCTAACGATATCAATCAATGTTCTTTGGAACAAGGGATCCACAAAAATCATACCACCGGCACCCATTAGGACAGGCTCCATCAATAATGATCCAATACGACGTTTTTGTGCTTTCAAAGATAAAAGTTCAGAGCGAATATAATCTTCATAGGTTTTTGCCAATTTCTTATCGCCACCCTGAGTTTCCACAGAATAAATATCGTTGATTGAATTATAATATACTCTGTCAGATCCGGATTCTTGGAATTTAGAGATCTCCTTGGGCAGACGTACATAGGCACGACCTGAAGAAATATGAACAGAAGGAGGCTTTAACCAATGACCCTTAGGTTCGTACCATTGTACTTGATCATTGTACACATTGGGAGAACATGCATCCATTGTACCAATGGTATCGCCGTGATAGCTTCCATCTATACCAAGGATTTCAACAGGCGCCTTAATATCGAAATTGTAGCGTTTGGCAGTAGCACTCATGGCCATTTTTAAGGCTACCTCCATAGCAGTAGAACCGTTGTCAGAAAAGAAGACACGAGAAGCCCAGGTATCTTTATCGAGCACCTTCTCAGCTAAGGACAGGGCAGGTTCATTGGTAGATTCGGGAAAGATGACATGGCCATAACGACCAGCAGCAGCAGCAGCAGATAAAGTGAGATCAGGATTAGCATGACCGAGTCCTTGTGTCCACCAACTTGCACAGCTGTCAAACATTTCCTTGGGTGACATTTCACCAGTAGGATTTTTTTCATACGTTGTAAAATAATCGTGATGAGCAGAGTCAATGACAGTGACATCTTTAACAAGTTCATGTTGAGTAAATGGCCACCAGAAAGTGTCTCGAGATTTTTGGGCCATCGTTTCTAATCTATCGAAGCGCTCAGCATTCTTCAGATCTAGATTCTTGATTACAGGAACTAAATATTCATCCACTTGAGAGTAGTATTTTCTCATAGATTCTTGCTCAAGGATTGGGTCTTGTAAAAATTGGGGTGGGGGAGGAATAGTAGCTACTTGAACACCGTTTTTCTGGACTCTGGTGTTGATTAAAGTGTGATTTTTATATTGAGGCTGGTCAAACAATAAGATGGTTGGAATATCATAACCACGAATCAATAGAGATTCATATGAAGTTAATGTGGTAGAGATGCCACCCAAATTGCTATCCCCAACTAACAATGTTGGTAACCTCAACGATCTGTAAAAATCCACTTGGGGTGTTCCTAAAAAAATAAGGCCGATTAAAAAAAAATTAACCCCAACATTTTTTTTTTTCTCCAAATAAAAAAAAACCCTTACCTGACATGACAGGACTATGAATACCACCAGCAGTTTCCAAGAAAAGGTAGCTTCCATTCTTTTTTTGTTGGCGCACATAATCCAACATTTGTTGTTTTACGCGCGATAAGACCTCAACATCATGCGGAGGCTAAAAAAAATAAAATCACAGTCAGAGGAAATTTAATTTCTCTCTCGATTATTTTTAATCTTACACTGTCAGTTGCGATGTGTGGGCTCACTGGGTCAGGATAAGTGTATAAGGTAGTCGATCTCAACATTTCCGAAGATTGATAGTTCTTGACATGTCTTTTTTTTTTCATGATAGCCGTCAGTAAATATATAAAATGGACAGCACTTCAATTCCTTACCTTTCATCACTATCCACTGGATATCCTGTTTGAACAGGTTTTACGTAAAAGACGTCTCGGTTGGACTCTTTAGCTACAATAGCTGCTGCCCGACATAAACCTGTTGCAAAAATTGTTTTACCAACGTTGGTGTTGGCTGCAAATATTTGGTAAGCTTGGAATGCACGCGTTGGAAGGAATGGTGTTGGCATTGCGAAAGTAGAGAAGGAAGAAAACCAAAATAATAAAAAAAGAATTCTCGGTGTGTAAAGATATGCACCACAAATTATCTAAAAATATGACGTGCAAAAAAAAAAAAAGATCTTTATTCAAAGCAGTTAAAATTATTTAGCCGTATATCTGGGCATCTTCCTCCACTGTAATAATGCTGCCTAATCCTTTTGACGTGAAAAAAAATTAAGTGACACTTTTTTTAGTTAATCGTAGTTGATGGGGTTGATGTTTTATTATCACAAGGAAATCAAAGTCTGAGTCAGGTACCGGACTATGTAACTGAAGACCGATATTATTTCAGCTATTTTTTTTTTGGGACATCAATCATAAAGACGTACCCACCAATTGTTATCTATCTCGCTACCACCTAATGGGTCCAAACCCAATTTTTTGCAGTATTTATTTGTGGGGTATAAGTGACAGTCATTTTTACCACAGAACTGGTGTAATCGGGTGATGACAGAAATCAACACAATATGACCGCATATGCAATTCATAAAGGTTTTATTTGTATACATAATATGCAGTGTAATGTAAGCACAAGTCGCGTTATGTCTTTCTCGTTAAAACGCAAACAAACATAATACAAAACGTTAAGTCACGTAATCTTTCTTTTTTTTTGTTTTTTTTGTTTTTTTTTTTTTTTTTTTTGAAAAAAAAAAATAATAATAATAAAATAAATAAATTCAAAAAAGTTTTGCAGTTGTGTTATATATAATGCTATGCATATCTTTCTTGTAGATGAAAGGACATAAAAAAACGTGGGATATGGAGAAAGTAGAACGATTCGATGTGTGGGAGACTTAAGTCTGTATGACAATAATAAAAATCGCAGAGAGTAGGCCGGGCCTCTTATTATTTTTTTTTTATTTTTCATAGGGTTGGTTTTCTTTTGATTTATATTTGAATGCTATATTTCTTCTTTGAGCGAGTTGGTTATATGTTATATATAAAAAATACCACATTGTTAGGCCTTTCTTTTTTTTTTTTTTTTTTTTTTTTTGAGGCACAAAAAGTTATTTATAAACGTCTTTTTTTTATCCTCCAGCTTGCACAAGGTACTTGACTCGAGAGAAAAATAAAAATAAATAAAAAAAAAAAGAGTATAAATAAACATATTAAAGTCAAGTTATCTTGCTTTTCTTTTTCGAGATATGAATCAGTCATAAAAATGGAATGCGTGATTTATGCAGTAGCTGTTTAAAATTTCGAGCTAATAAAAATAAGGAATACTAAGCAACAATACTGGAGTTTAAATGATAAAAGACGATGCACCCGGTAAATCGTATAAAGGTTTATACCAGTGTCACTGATATCCTAATAGTCGGTCTGCTAAATAGACACACTTTGGTTGTGTGAACACCCCTTTCCCCAAAGGGCTCACCTTTTCTTTCTAATGTTTTTTTTACTCCGATCTCCCCCAACTCTTTTTCGATGAGATTTCCCAAAAGACATCTTATTTTTTTCAATCTAAAACATATAAACGCGTCGTTTCTGTGATTTCCTCTTTTTCTTTTCTTTCTCTCACTCCCAACTCTTTTTTTTTTTACTTGTAAAAATGTCAGCCTTCCGCTTGTTAACAAGACCTCTTCAATCAAGTCGTAGACATTTTACTACTTCTTTACCCACACGTCTTGCTGCCGTAACTGAAAAGACAAGCACTGAAGCTTTATCCGCAGCTGCTATTCATGCCGGTAGTCCTATGAGAAACGATTGGAGCAGAGAAGAGATTCAAAGCATTTATGATTCTCCTTTGATGGATTTATTGTATCATGGCGTAAGTAAAAACCAAAAAAAAAAAAAAAAAAAAAAAAAAAAAAAAAAAAAAAAAAATCCACAGTACCCAGATACATGTGAAACCTAACTTTTTTTTCTTTCTTTAAAAAGGCCAAGGTCCACCGTGAGAATTTCAATGCAAGAGAAGTTCAACAATGTACTTTATTATCCATCAAAACTGGCGGTTGTACTGAAGATTGTAAGTATTGCCCTCAATCTTCTCGTTACAAAACTTCTGTCAAGGCCCAAAAAATTCTTGATTCCGAGGAAATCCTTTTCGCTGCTCAAAGAGCAAAAGACGCTGGTAGCACAAGGTAAACTAATCTTGATTAGATAACAATAATCCAGATGTTAATTATGAACATCATCAATTAGATTTTGTATGGGCGCTGCATGGAGAGATTTGGCTGGTCGTAAATCGAATTTCAACAAAATTTTAGATCACGTCAAGGTGATTCGGTAAGATCATTGTTACCTAAATGGAAAGATAAGATTTTTGAAACCATCTATTTTTATAAATATTAGATCAATGGGTATGGAAGTCTGTTGTACTTTAGGTATGTTGGATGAAGAGCAAGCCAAAGCATTAAAGAATGCTGGTTTGACTGCCTATAACCACAACTTGGATACTTCTCGTGAGTTCTATCCCAAGGTAACTTATTTTCCATCGTAGTGTCTATTTTCGGTTAACTAATTAGTCTTTGTATAGATTATTACTACTCGTACTTATGATGAACGTTTAAAAACCATTGATAATGCACAAAATGCTGGTATTTCTGTGTGTTCTGGTGGTATTATTGGTTTAGGAGAGAAGGGCGAAGATAGAGTTGGATTATTACATACATTATCTACATTGAAGATGCATCCTGAAAGTGTTCCCGTAAACGCTTTATTGGCTGTTGAAGGTACCCCTTTGGAAAAGCAAGAGCCAGTCTCTGTATTTGAAATGATCCGTATGATTGCTACCGCACGTATCATCATGCCCAAATCTATGGTCCGTCTTTCCGCAGGTCGTGTTCGCTTCACTGTCCCTGAGCAAGCCATGTGTTTTATGGCCGGAGCAAACTCCATTTTTACCGGTGATAAATTATTAACTACTCCTAACAATGAGTTCTCTGATGACAAGCAAATGTTTGAATTACTTGGTCTTGTCCCTAAACCACCAAACTTCCGTCAAGGTTCCGATAAGACTGATGTTCCTGTCTATCAAATGCCAAAGTGTTTCAACCCTAGAAAGGAAGAGACTGATACTACCAAGTCTGCTTAATCATACACTTTTATTTAAATAAATATGTGTGCAACCCTTAGATATGACAATATGTTACACAAATTTTCATTTTAAATCAAGCATAATTGATTGGTTCGATTAACACAAGGATTTTACCACGCTTGTTGCACCATTCTTTCAAACAAATTTGGACTCATTAAGTACGGAAACTGCTTAACCTAAACAAACTTTTTAAAGTCGAAAAAACTAGATCAGCAAACAAAAATTTATAAAAAAATCCTGCCATAGCAACCATGTGCACGACAACCCAAATATTTTATAATCTCATTATACTTTAGATGTTAGCCTAATTTTATTGTTGTGAGTTAACAATCGATAAAGAAGTTGCTAATTGTATTAATATGCTATCATGGCATGGAATTAAATCCAAACACCATAGAAAAGTAAATATAAGCATGTTCTATAAACTATTGAAAGATACGACCTCAGAAAATTGAAGCTTTTTTTTTTTTTTTGAGTGCCATGAATTTTAAAGCAGCACAAATGAAAAGGTATTAACATCATCTAAAAGCATAAACAATTGATTCGTACTATAAGTGATCTTGGCCTTAATAGAACAAGCGAAGTGCTACTTAGAAACCTCTAAAAATTGGTGGATTGTATTTTTTTATAAAAAAATCGAATAACTCTATCAGCCTGTGGTAATAATATTTTGGAATCCACATTCTAAAAAATAACGTATCATGGTGGCGAGATGGTAGCACCAGTAAGATTATGATGACGATATCACTACCGATTTAAAAATAAACTGGCCGATCGATATACTTTGAAAGATCCAAATAAAACAATGCTAGCAATAAAACCCACCTTGTACATTGATATAACGTGAACTGTTCATCTATCTTATGACGTTTAAATAAAGGACAATGCTTTTTATGATTACCTATTACGATACATTTAAGCCAGACACTTGTAACACTATTGAATCAACCACACTTAATAGCCACGACAATTATCAGCTAAAGAATAACTATATTGAAACATGAATAGATTGTGTGCCCTTGCAGTATCTAATGTTACAATTTTTTGATGAAACTAACTGAAATAACTAAATGCCTCCGATGAGATTTGTGAATAAGTGATACTAAAAGATGCTTATAGATATATATAACTATTATGAGCCTTTAAAATCTTTAAATCGTTCACACAATATAGATCATGGTAGAGCACTAACAACAACATGGTTATTGATATACTATACTTGGATAAGAACCAGCAGTAAGATTTAAAAAAGATCATAGTTCAGCACACAAGCACAAGGAAACCAAACAAAAAGTCTGGGATTCAAAAAGCTTATTTTTTTTCTCGAAAAAAGTCCCTAATAATCGTCAAACGGGTTTTTTTATGCAAACCAAACTATAAAAATGATAGATGAAGATCCTTTCTTAATTGTTAAAAGGTATAAATAATGGAAATTAACAAGAGAAATTGAATGTTAATAATTTCTTTAGTCAAGTTGAAGATTCATTAAGCAACGCGTATAATTTATTCGAGTCATGGAAAAGAATTCAGCAAACAGTCTCTTCGCCAAAGAATCAAGAATTACTATGGACAGCAGATGAGTTACATTCAACCTTAGAGGCCATTGAACAAGATATTGAAGATTTACAAGAGGCATTACAGGCAGCGCAAAGTAACCCCTCTCAATTTAATTTAACTGCCAAAGATTTAAATGCGAGAAAAAAGTTCTTGGACAACTCTCGTAATTCCATTCAAACCATCCGCAGAACATTAGCCAATCCTCCTAGTAAAAAGTCTCAGGTAACTAAACAAAGTGTGTAAGGACAAAAACACTGGTGTCTAACTTTAAGGCAAAAGTCTGGAAATAATGCAAGTTCATCATATCAAACAGCACGGCAGAATGAGAATAGTTTAATGATTGAAAACGAGCACCAGCAGCAAATGGTAAGAGACATTGTTGATTAATAGGATTGGCGTTTAATATGGCTAGTAGATGATTATGCAAGAACAGGATCATCATTTAGATGCAATGGGAGGTACACTGGTAAACTTAAAGGAAATTGCGGGCACTATGCATACAGAAATCGATGATCAGGTCATGTAAGTGGAATATATTTAAGCTTTTTCAATGACTTACGGGGTAATAATTTAGTCTATTGGATGATTTGGGAGATCAAGTGGATCGTTCAGAAGGAAAGTTAAAAAATGCAATGAGAAGGGTCACTACTATTCTTAGAAAAGAAGAAGGTAATAAACAATGTTAAATTTTGTGCACTATATTTTTTTTTAACCAATGAATAGAATCGAAGTCTGGTTATTGCATTTGTTGCCTTATTATTGTTTTAATTATTTTATTAGTGCTTGCGATTATGATGTGAAATAAAAAAGCTTGGCCAAGTAAATTTTAAAGTCAGTTATGAACAGAGTTTAGTCTGGGCCGTATGTGCCTGATCTTCTAAGATACTAATCAATCCAATCCAATTTCCAACCACCTTGTTATAGTGGATAAGAGGATCTTTATTTTGCTCTTTTTTGTTTCGTTGGGAAAAGAATATAAGCAGTATTTCTCATAGCTTTTTGTTCTTTGTGTTCCCCGGGATATAATTTTAAATCACCTTTTATTTTCCATTTAAAGTGAACTAGACTCTTTTTCTCTCTTCAGCCCCTTTTCACCTTTTTTTTTTTTCATATAAGAAAATGAATCCAGTTGACTCTTCTTCTCAATGGTCAAATACAGATAATAAAGGGCAACTGAAACCACCGTTAAAAACTGTACGCTCGTTTGATACAGGTACGCATGGTGTGTTCTTTACAAATGGCTTGACAATATTTCTATATTAACTTTTTTTTTTTTTTTCTGAAATAGGTACTTCTTCAGACGATGGCCGTACAATGCCAGAAGAATATGAAGAAGGAATTGGACTACTAAACAACTCACCACCACGCAACCAATTTGTACCTGATTACTCATTTTCGGCTTTGGGATCACCCAATTTATATGAATCAACAGAAATGCTACCACCCATAGAACCTAAAGTAGAAACTGACAGCTTCAATCGTCGTCGTCTATCAATAAAGTCAAAGTCTTCGTGGAAATCTCTTTTCAACCGCAAAAAAGAAAATCTAGGTCCACGTATCATTCAGATCAATCAACCAGAGACAAATCAAGGGTTTATACCAATTCTGTTTCTACCGCAAAGTATAATTTAGCCACCTTTTTACCGAAATTTCTATACGAGGAGTTCAGTAAAACAGCCAATATTTTTTTCTTATTCATTTCCGGTATTCAGGTAACATTCATCTTATCTTTTTTTTTTAAAAATTCGGTTTGAAACTAACTTCATTGTAGCAAATCCCAAACATTTCACCTACGTCAAGATATACTACCGTGGCCCCTTTAATAGTCGTCTTGCTAATTACGGCCATTAAAGAAACTATCGAAGATTTTGTAAGATTTACACTGTTCTTGTGTTACAATAGGAATACTGACAATGATATAGGGAGTGCATAAATCAGATCGAGAATTGAATAATCGTAAATGTAAAATATTTGATGGATCACAGTTTATCGAAAAACAATGGAGAGATATAAAAGTGGGCGATATTTGTCGTATCGATAACTCCCAGTTCTTTCCTGCAGATTTAATATTAATCAGTAGTTCGGAACCAGAAGGTCTTTGTTATATCGAAACAAGTAATTTGGATGGTGAAGTCAACTTGAAGATTAAGCAAGCCCTACCAGAAACCGCATCTTATATTTCTCCAGCCCAATTGTCTACTTTAGGTGGTGTAGTACAATCCGAACAACCCAATAATCGCTTGTATAATTATGACGGTACACTATCATGTGATGGAACAAAAAAACTGCCTTTGGATCCTGGAAAATTATTATTGAGAGGTGCTCAACTAAGAAATACAAGTTGGATTTATGGCTTAGTCGTCTTCACCGGTCATGAAACTAAACTTATGCTTAATTCCAGTAAAAAACCATCTAAACTATCAAATGTCGCTCGAATCACAAACAGAAATATTTTATATCTCTTTGGTATGCTGGTCACAATGAGTATTCTATGTTCTTGCGGTAATTATGCAGTATCAAAAAGTAACGGTGGTAGTAGAGACTACATAATGATTCCTGACACCGAACTTGCGAAAGAGTTCGGTTTTAATATCTTGACATTCATGATTTTGTTCAACAGTTTTATTCCGATCAGGTAAAATAAGGCTATACAAAGTCAAATTATAAGCTAACGCATTTATATAGTTTAATGGTGACCATGGAAATTGTAAAGTATATCCAAGCAATCATGATTGACAACGATCTCGATATATATTATGAAAAGACAGACACACCAGCCGTTGCTCGAAGCAGTAGTTTAATTGAAGAATTGGGTCAAGTTGAGTATGTTTTCTCGGATAAAACAGGTACTTTAACCTGCAATGAAATGGAATTCAGACAATGCTCCATCAGTGGTTTATCTTATTCTTTGAAACCTGATCCTGATAAGTTACCCACTTCTGATACGGACTCCAACGGCGAATACTCATTTAAGCAGCTGGAACAACATTTAGAAACATCTCAAGATGCTTATATCATTAATGAGTTTCTTACACTTCTAATGACCTGCCATACTGTTATCCCAGAAGTAAATGAAGAAACAGGTAAAATTGCATATCAAGCTTCTTCGCCTGATGAAGGAGCTCTTGTAAGTGGTGCTAGTGATGTATTTGGGTACAAATTTGTTGCAAGAAGGCCCCACTCGATCACTTGCATAAGAAAAGGTGTAGAAGAAGAATATCAGATTCTAAATGTCTGTGAATTTAATTCTACGAGAAAACGTATGTCAGTTGTTTTACGTGGACCTGATGGAAGAATCAAGCTTTACTGTAAAGGTGCTGATACAGTGATTCTGGAACGTTTAGCTGACGACAATCCATTTGTTAAATGTACACTTGAACATCTAGAAGTAAGTCAATTTAAAATATGAAAAAGTTTGGAAATTTAATATCGCAAGATAGACTTATGCGTGTGAGGGTCTACGTACACTGTGCTTTGCTATGAGAGAAATTTCTGATGATGAGTATGCTAAATGGTCACAAGTTTATGAAAAGGCGTCAACTACATTGGTTGATCGTGCTGAGGAATTAGATCAAGCCGCAGAAATCATTGAAAAAAACATGTTTTTATTAGGCGCTACTGCGATTGAGGATAAACTTCAAGATGGAGTGCCTGAAACAATTGCCACTTTACATGAAGCCAATATCAAAGTATGGGTACTGACGGGTGATCGACAAGAAACTGCAATCAATATCGGCTATAGCTGTAAACTACTGACAGAAGAAATGGATTTGATTATATGTGATGAAGACGATCATGTGTCTACAAAGCGATTCTTAGATGAGAAGCTAGCCCATGTTCTATCTGTAACTGAACATATGCAACACGATGTAAGCATACGAACACACACACGCAAAAAGAACATGTGCATATACTTATCTACATTCTATAAACATAGCCTTTTGCTTTAATTATTGAGGGAAAATCACTTACGTTTGCTCTTGAAAAAGAATTGGAAAAGGTGTTTTATGACTTGGCAACTCGTTGTAAAGCAGTGATTTGCTGTCGTGTTTCTCCTTTACAAAAAGCGTTGGTAGTCAAAGTAGTGAAGAAGTACTCTAAATCTATTCTTTTGGCAATTGGTGATGGAGCCAATGATGTTTCTATGATTCAGGCTGCCCATGTTGGTGTAGGTATTAGTGGTGTTGAAGGTTTGCAAGCTGCTCGTAGTGCAGATTTTGCTATTTCCCAATTTAGATTCCTCAAGAAACTGTTACTGGTACACGGAGCTTGGGCATATCAAAGATTGAGTAAAATGATCTTTTTTTATTTTTACAAGAACGTTGCGCTGTATCTTACTCAGTTTTGGTATGCGATATTCAATGGCTTCTCTGGTCAAACACTGTATGAATCTTGGACAATGTCATGTTTCAATGTTTTTTTTACCTTTTTACCGCCCATGGCAATCGGTCTTTTTGACCAGTTTGCGTCTGCTCGATTATTGGACAAGTACCCTCAAATGTACGTTTTAGGACAAAAAAATGAGTTTTTTAACCAAAAAAGATTTTGGGGCTGGATCATCAATGCCGTTTATCATTCTGCTGTGAGTATATTTATATGATTGTAGTTCTATCCATAGCTAACGTTTTATTTTAAAGTTATTGTTTTTTATTGGAATGGCCGCATTTGCTGACGATTCTGTATTTAAAAGTGGCTTTTCTGGTGGACAGTGGTGGGTAGGAACTACCATCTTTTCTGCTACATTAGCTACTATTCTGTGGAAGGCAGCCTTGATTACAGAGTAAGGATATCGATACGGATTATGTAAGGTTACTAACAATTAATTAAAGTACTTGGACAAAGTATTCATGGATTGCTATACCAGGATCAATGGTGATTTGGTTCTTATTCTTACTTCTTACGGCGTACGTCGGACCACTTCTTCCTTGGGAAATTTTTATGGAATACAACGGTATCGTACCTCAATTATTAGGAAATGTTAACTTCTGGCTGTTTTTCATCGCTGTACCACTTTGTTGTGTCCTTCGAGATTATATTTGGAAATAGTAAGGGTCCATTTTCAAGTTTTAAAAGCATTGTCTCATTATTCTTTATAGTGTTAAGCGTATGTATCGACCTCAATCGTATCATTACATTCAAGAAATCCAAAAGTACAATTTCCCAGATTATAGACCCCGTATGGATCGTTTCCGTCGTGCAGTGAATAAGGTACGAAAGATACAAAGATTGAAACAGTCCAGAGGTTTTGCGTTCTCCCAAAATGATAATGATCAATCAAGACTTATCCGTATGTATGATACTACACAACAAAAACCTTCAGGATAGACATATTTCTTTCCTTTATCTCCATCCCCCCTGTATTATTAATAAATTTGTGTATTATATCTCCTCATAAGTACATTTTTACTTGTGAAAACAGTGTACAATCTATTGTACGACTCTAATAAATACAATACATACAAAAGTAGCGATATTTGTAGCTCTTTGACACAACATGTGAAATAGTCATCATTTGTAAACAGCCATGTGAAGATTAATGGATATGATTTGGCACATATATAAAGACTGGTCATTCATCGCCAAATTCATAAGTCATTCAACTTAAATACCAAGTAAAAACAATGAAACTTACACTTATCGCCGCCACATGTGCCCTTGTCGCTTCAGCTATGGCCCAGGGTAATAGGTAAGTCATAATAAAAGCTGATAATCGCGTCCTAACAGTGGAATCGTAGTACTGTAATTCCTAGTGGTGGAATGGGTGGAACTGTAGCCTCAGCGAGTATTTCTGTTGATACCCCTGCTAATCCTAATGCCGCGAATCAACTTGCTGGTGGTTTTGTAACTATTGCTTTAACATCTGTTGCTGCTGCTTATGCCCTCATTTAAGAATATTGAAATTAACTCATACTACAAATCACTTCTTTCAAACTTTCTATTATTTCTCACCCCTATCCCCACCCCCGGTGATTTTTTTTCCATAACATATACACCTAATAAAATACCTACGATCATCTACTGCAAATGACATAATCCTTACATGCTGTTAAAAATCGTGCAGAGCTCTCCGCTTTAAAAAAAAAAGGAGAACCCGGGAGAAGCTCTTCCAACGATTTACTTCAATTACTTAGCATAGACCCAAACTATGGTTAAGTGATATTATTTCAAGCTGTCCTATATGTATTAGAACTCAACGGGAAGCAGCATAATCTCTTGTCTCAAGTTTATGGACTAAAGTGAAAATGGGATTTTAAATATCCGAAATGAGAATGGGTATAAACTTTGTAATCATCGAGAAATAAAAAAAAAACGTGGTACATGTTACACATAAACCTCAGCAATCAGCTTCGGCATCCAAAGGTTCCTTTTTTTTGTCGTTTCCCACAACAATTGGCGATGAATAAATCAATTACCGAGCACAGGTTTGAGGGTAATTCACCCGTCATTTTACTCATCATGATGAATCAACGCATGTCTGTACCACAATAAACATTGAAGAAATCGGAGATGCTAATAATTTTTTTCTTTAATAAAGCCTCAGCCTTACTTTTTTTTTTTTTTTTAATTTTTCCTTTTTTTATCAAATACATTTTCTAAAAGGTTATGAATTTACAAGATTTTAAGGAACAAAACGACCATTACTGGAAAATCATTGAGAAACAGCGGAAAATCATCCAAAATTTACAAAAAACTGTGACACAATTGACTGCAGAAAATGATTACCTTCAGAAAAAAAATAAGGAATATTTGACACAATTTGACAGTGTCACACATCATCCTTTATCCGTCGTAGAAGCAAATTTGCCTGTTCCGCCACCAAGATCGCCTTATAGGGTTCATAAAGAGCAGAAAAGACCTCCTGTACTTCAATTGAAGACATCAAACCATCGTGTCGTATCCATTCCTTCGCCCACAATTAGTCGTCGCTCATCATTATCCCCCAACGGCAAAAGTAGAACATCACAGTTAGATAAACAGAGAACTTTGAAATCAAGCAAGTCTGAGCCTTCAACCCCGATAAAACCACGTACGCCTCGTTTTGAATCCTTAATGATGTCTAATCAACAACCCAAAATTACTACACCTGTATTGTCCAATTTTTCAAACATTCGATTCAATGTTGTGAACTCAAGTATACATATCGATGATAAAGGAAAAGAAGTGCCATTATTCACAATCGGAATCATTCAACTGAAAGAAAACTATGAAATTTGGCGGATAGAAAAAAATTTAAACGACTTTCTGAATTTGGACGCTCAGGTAAGGGTTTTTTTTTTCTTTTTTTTTTTTTTTCTTTTTTTTTACTTTTTTGCATCCAAACTCACATTCAGGTTACTTTAGTTAAAAGAGGGCACAATGGCCCATTTAAAGAGGTTACCCGATAAAGTCATGACTCATGTACCTGCAAAAGTAGATGAAAGAAAGGTAATTAGGGTTTATCGGGAAATCTGCTTATCAATTCTTAATCCTGTGTTATAGGCTATGATCGAGGAATATCTGCAGCATGCTATCACATTGAGAACAGTAGATTTGAGAATTATAAGCGCATTTTTAAGTACCGATCAGATTTGTGAATTGCCTATTCAGGCAGATGTAAGTTGCGTTTTTCTCTAAACCACTCAATGCTAATATTCTGCATAGAATGTCGTAAAGCATGGTCATCTTACTAAAAGGGGCAAGAATTTCGGGGGTTGGATGTCAAGATACTTTATATTAGATCATACTGGATTATTGAAATATTATGAAAGTGTAAGTGTTGGGTGAAAGCGATAGAATCGTGATTTGTTAATTATTTCTATTAGAAAGATGGACAGTTTCTAGGCACAATTAGTCTCATAGACTCACAGATTGGATGCCAACCCCAAGGCCACGATAACTTTAGACATGCTTTTCTAATCTTGGAACCCCGTACCAATGGCACCAATTATAAGCACATTTTTTGTGCGAGTTCCGATGATGAAAGAGATAGCTGGGTCGAAGCACTTCGTTATTATACACAAAAACTGCATATTACAGAAGACGTTATGAATTCTTTCTTTTGTGAAGATGTGGGTATGACAGGTGTCTTGGAACCTTCATCGTCGACCGAATCAGCTTCTATGGTAAGGAAAAGACCCAGCATGGATAATATCTTTCATTACTTTGGCCGCAGAGCTTCAAAGGATCTGACAAGCCCAAAAGATGATTTCCAAGAAGATACTGAAGAAGTTAGAAAACCCAAACAACGCGCAAGCAAAAAAACTTTTTGGAAGAAAAAAATGTTCAGTAACAGCACTTTCGATGCACACCCAATTGACTATAAACACATGTTAGACGACTATGAAGAAACAAAAGGCGACTCGCAAGTATTTGGTATTCCCTTACAGAATGCAGTTATGGTTGCCCGTGTGTATGACCAATACCAATTGCCCGCTATTGTACACCGCTGTATTGAATATATGGAAATGAAAGACGCTCTAGTTGAAGAAGGGATCTATAGATTAAGTGGAAGTGCTGCTTTGATGAAGAGTTTAAAGAAAAGATTTAACGAGGGTAACTATCTACACACAAATATTTTGGAAGATGTATTAAACTTTTCATAGATGGCGATGTCAAAATTTTGCAAGACAAAGAGTATCATGATGTTCATGCAATTGCTGGACTTTTAAAAATGTGGCTCCGTGAATTACCTGAGAACATTCTTACAGAGTCCCTGCTGATAGAATTTTCTCAAAGTTTTGGTAAATATATGAAATTCGTACACATAAACATTGAACTAAGATTATCTTTCATCTAGACTTTTCTGATCGCCAAAGTAAAGTATCCAAAGTGGGAAAGTTGGTTTCATTATTACCTTTAGTGAATTACACCCTGTTAAGATCACTCTGTGCCCATCTGATTCGTGTAATTGAAAACTCAGACCAGAACAAAATGACCTTAAAAAACATCAGCATTGTCTTTTCTGCAACATTGGATATTCCATCAAGTATATTTAACTTACTCTTGGTTGAGTTTGACTATATCTTTTTAACTGATCGATGCAGCTACCAAACGCCCCCAAATACAGCCAGTAGACTCCAGTATTATTCATTAAAAAGGGAAGAGGACCGATTAAGAAGAAATAGTACTCATTACCAAGATAATACACCCAAGGACTTCATCTCACTTGAAAAGCAGTTAAATGGTATGCATACAAATATTATTAGTTTGCACTCTTTACTGACTATTATTATAGCTGTCATTGACGATATTCCTAATCATGACGAAGAGACTTATTACAGTGACGGGGAGCTTGAAGTTGCTTATTTTGCAACTCGCTATGCAGTTAGTAAACCTGAAGAAGCAGGACTATGCTTTTAACAAACTCAAAAACAAAACTACAATTTACAACCCTATATTATATTCTAATCACTCATTGCATCACTCATATTCTCTACTTTTATTTTTCATACCTTCATAATAATAAACGCTAATTAAACCTTATAAATATATACATTAAAAATTTACCTTACGGGAAAAACGCAGAAGGCCTTTAAGATTTTTATCGATTTAAGCGAAAATGTTATAAGAGACTTTAAATCAGTCAAATCTTCATTAAAAACTGTTGATTTTACAAACTACAAGTGTCGCATCGTCATTAGGGTTCCTGGTAGGAATCAGTGTTGTAATTAGGGTGCGACAAACATGGGCATGGGATTTTTTTATCGAAAAATCAGAGCTTGGTATTATCAATCTATTATTCTCTTTTTACACTTTTACTTGTTGGTAATTCACTTCTACGATGTATGATCCTTTTTGCAAGGGGCTTTACACGGAATTGATGTACACTTGACGCCGTTCTTCTTTCATCTTATATCAATAAAAATCGACCCTGCGATCATGGAGAGGTTGAATTTTCATAGCAATTGACTTGCTGACCAAAGTCTTTGTGGCGTCATTTTTTTTTTTTTAAAAAAAAAATCGATATTATATGGTCTGTTGAAATGAACAACTTATGTTATGCTTTAGCTAACTGGAGTGCGCACTGTAAGCGAGGAGAATAGTTACGCAACGGATAAAAATATCAGTCAGTCAATATGGTGACATTCTCTTTTGTGAACCTGGGTATATCCTGTCTTTATATTTCATAGGCTTATAGCTCAAAAAAAAATGTTGATTAAAAGAACTGAAGCTGTTGTAATATTTAAAGTCATACAAGTCTCCCATTGCTTGCGACTTGATTCACGAAATGTAGCGCTTGAAGCGGTCACGAAAGTCAAATTTTGGAAAAAACAGTTTTTATCGAAAACCAAAACATTACCGATGGATCACGAAGAATCTCAAATATCTAGACTAAACTCTAAACCCCGTGTTCATTTTGGTTCTTTGGAAGGACAGGATACCGTAAAAAGACTTCGCACTGAAGAACCTACTTCTTCAAGTGGGGGTATTGACCTTGATGCTTTGGGTAATGTTATTTTTTAAAAAAAAAAACGAGAGTACTGCTAACGCTTTAACGTAGATGAGAGTATGGAACCTGCTTACTCTATCAATGCTGGCGAGGCAGATAAGCAAGTACTGGCCGAGTTTGAAAGAAGAAAGAGAGCTTTTCAACTTGCCGTACCTACAGACGATAAACGTGTCAGACAAAGACTTAGAGATATTGGTGAACCTCAATGTCTCTTTGGTGAAGGCGTAAGTTATTGAAATATATCAGTGACCTAAGAAGTTAACTTTTTTACAAACAGCCTGGGGATCGTCGTGATCGTCTTAGATACTTGATGTCAAAGAGCCAAGGACGCGAAGTTGAAAGTGAAGAGGAATCTGGTGATGAGGATGACGAGGTATTAACTATAGCATGGACGAATAATGGGAACTTAAGAATTTGACAGATCATTTTCTTTTTTATATTAATAGGAAGACGAGGAGTTCTTTACGCCAGGAACGCCAGAACTTTTAGAAGCTAGAAAATGGATGACAACATACTCACTAAACAGAGCGAAACAACGTAACGAACGACAAAAGGAAGAGCACAAAATTTCGCTTCCTTTACTAAAAGCCAGTCGCCAAGAACTTCACACTAAACTCAAAGCATATACCAACTGGTCTTCACAGATTGCTGATGATCGACCTATTGCTCAATGTACATTTAGTCCTGATTCTAAATTATTAGTCACTGGTTCATGGTCCGGCCTTTGTAAAGTATGGTCTGTACCAGACTGTGAACATAAGTTAACCTTGAAAGGACATAACGATAAAGTGGGTGGTATTGCATTTCACCCGGAGGCAACAATTTCACAATCGTCTAGTGAACTCAACTTAGCTACAGGTGGCGGTGATGGATTAATTCAGTTGTGGAATTTAGAAAAGAGTACGCCTATCGCTACATTGACAGGCCACGCAAGACGTGTTGCTCGTATCGGGTTTCATCCTTCCGGCAGATATTTGGGTAGTGCTAGTTTCGACGGTTCATGGCGTTTATGGGATGTAAATACAACTCAAGAATTACTGTTACAGGAGGGTCATGCAAAAGAGGTTTATTCAATTGCATTTCAATGCGATGGAAGTTTAGTAGCCACAGGTGGATTAGATGCTGTCGGTAGAGTGTGGGATATGAGAACTGGTAGATCAACAATGACACTGGAGGGACACGTTAAGGATATTTTGGGTGTCGATTGGTCTCCTAATGGTTATCAATTAGCTACTGCTAGTGCTGATCATTCCGTAAAGATTTGGGATATGCGTAACCTCAATAATTTATATACAATTTCTGCTCATCAATCGCTTGTGTCAGATGTAAAGTATAGTAAGGGTGTGCCTGGAACAAATAACAACAGTGCCTCCGATCCTCATAATATTGCTGGTCTTTATCTTGCTACATCCGGATATGATGGCTGTGTTAAAATCTGGTCTGGTGATGATTTCCGATTAGTCAAGAGCTTGGATGGACACGAAGGAAAGGTAATGGGTGTGGATATCTCCCAAGGTCAGTACATACCTGGTTTTTTTTATTATTATTATAGTTATTATTTAAGCAGATATGTAAACTAACTCGACCTAATTACAGACAACAAGTTTATCGCTTCTAGTGGTTATGATCGAACCTTCAAACTTTGGGCTGACGAAAACCTTGTGGTGTAAGTCGCGACTTATTTTTTTCCTTCTCGATACAATAAAGTTTAAAATATCCGCTTGTAAATTCTGTTTGATGTGCCTGTTTTGACTTAACTCGACAATGAGGTGGTTACGCCTATTCTTCTCGTATTATTGGAATAGCAGTGTTAGAGTCTCGAAAATACCGAGAATTGGAAAAACAAATTTAGATCATAACTATAATATGCTATGATAGGCACTTCAGAACAAAAGTTATGATTAGAAAATCGCAGTAAAGACTGATGGCAAGAAACATCAAGATTTTTTTTGTACATGCATCTAATGCGATAATTTATTACACTTTAATACTAGGATAGTCCGAGCTCTCTTTTACTCCATTCATAAGTAACATAGCTAATACTAACGGCCGGGACAACCTGGTTCGATAAAATTAGTCTCAAATGTAATTTGATGTAGAGTATGTGTTTTACCTTTAACAATGTTGGTCCCAGTCCCTTGTAAAACCCTCGAAGTCCGTCTGACTTAAATGTCACTTCCACAGCTTCCCAAGGTGATTTGTAAATTCGAGGATGTCCAGATGTGCCTTGTGCTTGTAGCCTAAAATTCGAAAGATGAGCTTCTTTTTTTTACAACTGAGCATGTAAGCCCATTTAGTTACCTTGTTCTGATAACATTTAAAGGATATACACTTGTAGCGCCTATTGTGCCACTAATCATGCCACATGACCAAAGTACAAATATGTTTGGTTGTTTTTGAGTGCCATCATCGTTGTATTCTCCTTGGTTGTACTGTAAATACGATATTTTTAAGGTTTCATATATGCCTGCAAAAATTGGTTAATTAGAAACCTAGATATACTTTGGGTCATACTTCATACCAAGATCCATTGCTTGATAAGGAAATACACCGACTAAACCTAGTGTCTATCAAAGGCATCAGTATTTTAAATATTCGGTGTAAAGGAAATAATCTATTATACCAAACCAGGCCAAAATGCGCGAACACCACCTCGAGCATACATGGTTTTAGCTGTATCAGTAATGATTGATCTGGAAGAAGAACATGCCGCTGTGGAAAAAGCGGCCGATAATTTTGGATTTGCTACTGGGGTTGTAAAAGATTTCTTATTATTATTCGAGACCTGATGTGCCATGATACGTGTTTTCAATGTTTCCAATGGATAGATCGAAAATTGAGAGCAAATGCCAGCCACGCCACCTGCTGCAAACCTTGCTGTTGTGGGTATTGAATCCTTATCCTCACAGTCAAGCAAATTGGCGAATAGCTCTTTACAAGATTCATAAGAGTAAAATTTAATAGCTGATTCAGGAATGATTTTCATGACATTTAAACCGTTTCCTAAAAAAAATGCTTTCCAACCACCATGGTTATAAATTGATCTAACAGCACTCATGAAGCTAAGTGGGTTCGCTGGTGTTCCACTATGTGTTATCAAGTAAACTTTTAATCTATCAAATGGGGCTGTACATGTCCGTGACACAGCACCGGCAATACCTCCCGCTAATAAATAACCCAATGCATGCCTTGCAGTTTCGTCAGTTGTCGGTATAACCACTTCGCCGTCATGTGTTAATTGAGTTGAGGACTCGTAATATTTATACATTTCCATCATATTTGTTTGGGGTAGAAGCTAGATAATATGTTATTATTGCAAATCTCATTTCACGAAATGACGTTACCAAAAGAAAATTCTTAAATTCATTAAAGTCGATTAATCCATTTCCGTCTACATAAAATATTCAGTAACAGATAATGATCAAAATTATGTGTCATTATCTAACCAATGTCCATTAACTGCATGAAATCCACCACATCATCTTCAGCTATTTCCATTCCCGCTATCCTTAAAGCGATTTGTAAATCCCTTGGGTCTAGCTGACCTTCCCCACTTCTATCAAACTTCTTGAATAGCTTCCATAATTCTCGTTCTTTTTCGTTTACGTAGGTCTTAAACTCTTCAAAATCTACCAGACCATCGTGGGAAGTATCGCAACGTGATACTAGCTCATTTGCATATTTAGTGCGAGCTGGAAGATGAGTCATTGCTGTAAATCCTCTTTGAATGGCTTTACTGTCCAGTAATCCTGCTTTGTCTCGGTCAAGTGTATTAAATAGCTCCCTTATCCGGCAGTCTTTTTCTGTAGGAGTTTCTAACAAATAAAATTGGGTCGAGTCTGGAAGAGGCTTACTCTGGACCTCTTTAGTGTCATTCGCACATGTACTTGATTCGTCGAGCATCAAAGACATGTTGTATTTAATATAAATGTTTTAGCCGAAAAGGAGGAAAGAGACAGAGAAATGTGGGGTTAAGCTTGTTTATGGTGTATTTATTGGCCAATCAAACAGTTCCTACTATTCTTCTGTTACTTTCCCAAAATTACATCATTAGTGCATGGATTTTATGAGGCACACATACCGCCAGAATTACGTCACTCTTGATATTGACAATCATTGACTTGAAAAAAAAGGGTCGACCCTTTTTTTTTTCGTCAACAGTTCTTCGTTGCCTCAACAAGATGTGATTTATTATGCGCACTTTTACCAAGTGTCTATTCCAACAGCGTATTGTTTTTTAAATTGTCAGGCAAAAAAAAAAGAAGAAAAAAAAAACAAGAACGTAATAAAAACTACTCTGGCTTATTTCTTGTGATAACCTTTTTCACAAATAAATCTTTAGTTCAAGTTATTGAATGTCGTTTTTTATTTTACCAAAAATGGGAACTTCCGCTGCACCAAGTCTATTTTTAAGTTAAACTATTCCCACAAGGTGCAGGTTCTCCAGAAAAACAAATATACGATTTCGAAGAGTATAACTCTAGGTAAACAGTGTACAGCATATTTGTTCATTTAACAAAAATTACCAAAGGCCTTGAATCCTCCTCCCCCTTATTAAATGATACATTATGTTATCTAACGCTGACATCTACTCACATTTCATCGGTAATAAATAATGTGGTAATATAGTTTTTATTATGTATAAATATAAGAAATAAATAAGCTCTACTCAATTTAAATCTTCATCCACTTGGCATTATACTTCTTGACAATAGCCTTGGCTTCATCAACATGGCCATTTTCGACCAAGATCATGACGACACCACGGATAGAAGATTCAAGGGCAGCGGAAATCCAGGCGTGCTTGATATCAGTATGCTCACCGACAAAGACCAAACCATTGTCCATTTTGAAGTAAGAAGGCATGTACAACTTGTGTTGACCAGGCAAGGGATCGGCCCAAGAACCAGCTTGGAAAGGATCCGTAATCCAGCAGACACGGCTATATTTACCGGTATAGTACTTCTTAACCAAATCACCGTGAAGCTCGGTAAAGTCAGCGAGAACATTAGATACATGTTGATCTTCGGTCATGGCTGCAAATCGAAGACCCTTATCACCACTGGCATAACTAGCTAAGACAACACCAGGTCCTTTAGTACCAATGTTATTAGCGGGATAACAAATTGACCCGGAAGATAAATCAGTAGAATCACAACCACCCATAATAGGACGATCCAAGTGCTCCCAGAAACGAGACTTGAATTTAAGAGCAACCTTACATGCTTGACTATAACCGAGGTGCTGAATGGCGGAATTGAGAGTATAATCGAGCTTGGGAAGATGCCAGTTACGAACAATTGTAAAGGGAGCAGATACAATCACATTGTCATAAGTCTCAGACTTGTACTTGGTATCGTAAGGATTCTTCTTCCATGATACTGAAACCTTCTTGCCATCAAAATCAAGCTTGCTAACAGAGATACCGAATTTGACCTTATCACCAACAACAGGACCAAAGGCTTCAGCAATACGGTTCAAACCACCTTGAACGGTTCTCCAATTGGTGGAAGCGCCGAAAGTGAATGAATCGTACATATCCATCCAAATTTGAGTGGGTTCCATACCGGTAGCATAATCAGTAGCATTCAAACTTAAACCCATCTTGTTGTGCAACCAACCAGCTTCAGACCAATCATCAAAGCCTTCTTCCATGGCCTTTTCATGAGCAGCATACAGGTCCTTACCCAATAATTCAGTCCACTTTTCATCACGGAACTCAGAACTGGCTTTTGAGACCGCATCAGATAAATCGGAAAGATCAACGCTAGCAGGAACAATAGTAGCATTAGCCTTAACTAGACCGAGAGTTGGGATTGAGCCATCGGGGAGACGGAAACCATCCTTGTAGTACAAATTGCTGTGTAAGGTATATTAGTATTTTATCTTTATCTACAAAGATACAGAAGATAAAAAGACTTACTTGTCACGGCTTTGGTACCACTTGATATACTCGACATGGTGAGACTTCTTGTTAAGCTTGTTTAATTCATCAGTTACTTGGAAAACAATTTGATGATCGGTGATAGGAAGAGTCTTGCCCTTATAGTTGTATTCAATTGGGAAACGCATTGGGCCCATTTCTTGATAAGCAATCTTAGCCTTGTCGAAATATTCAGTGTGAACACGACTGAAATTATAAGGTTAGTTTTATTTTATTTTTTCGTGTTATAGCTGTAATGAAACATACCCTCCAAGTCTGTTATTGGCTTCCAAGATTTCATAGTTGTGGAAACCAGCTTGATCTAACAAGAAACCACTGAATAAACCTGACATACCAGCACCGACGATACCAATTTCTATTTAAAAAATGATTAACGTATGATCCTGTCATAATGCTATAAAGACTTACTCTTGTTTTTCTTGGAAGCAGCAGCACGCTTAGCAACCTTCTTGGTATTGTGATAATCAACAGCATCAAAATACATGTCAGCAAGCTCAGGATGACCACGCTTTGAGAACTTCTTGGCAACATGATATTCCTCACTTTGAGCAATGATGTTTCCAGCTTCATCCTTGGCAATTAAGCAACCAGATTGGGCATCAGCGGGAACATGCCAGGCGAATTTTTCGGGTTGGAATTCAGAAGTCACAGCAAATTCACCAATTTCTTCAGTAGTAGTACCGTCTTCACAAGAACCATACGATAAAACCATGTTACCTTCAAAAGATTGGGTACCGTAGTCGAGATAAATGTTGGCTAAGGAGTCAGCCTCAAGGGCTGTCTTGACAGACAGCTTTGCATCAGAAGCGGAAGGAGCAGCAAGGGCTTGCAAAGCAGCGGTAGCTAATAAGAAAAGAGATGTTTTCATTTTGAGGTATTGAGAAGGATAATGTTTTCATCAAAAAGTTACTTTATGATCTCCTTTATATATGAATTGGATATGCTTGTCGATCACAGTCTTATCTGGTAGTGGTAGCTGAATAACTTGCGTATATGTTGTCCCGGGTGATAACATTGATAAAAAAAAGTAGATTGACTTCAGGTGTTTTACGAGTTGCATTTCTCAGACAGCTTCCTATCAAGTAGATAATGATATAAATTGCTATCTTCTGGTGTCACATTAGAACATATCAAATTAAACTAGTCAAATTCACTTGTTTTTAGACATTGTGGGCTTGAAGTTGTATAAAAGTGCTTTATTAAGAGCAATTATTTTTATTTAAGACATCAATGCATGTTCTATTTCAGAGAAACCAACAAACATTGTGCTATTATAGGATATTTTCTTTCTCAGCATAAAGTCAATGTTCCGCCGAAGACCGGATGTTGCACAAGCAATCGCATGGAAGTTTTCTTCCTTCCTTTTAAATATACATATCTATTGTAGGGTATCTAATCAACATGGATTAATAGTTATCTAGTTCTGCATTTCGGCGGATTATTCATGTAGCCTATCTTAATTGACTATAATAAAAAAATTTATGTCAAATTGATAGATTTTGTCTAGATCTGATGAACACCGTACGTAAATGTTTGCATGGCGAAAACTTTGACATGGTTTAGGTTTTGTCTTTTTCCTACAACAATGCAGTTTTATGCTTATAGGCAACAGCACAAATTGAGCTCTGCAAAATATAAAAAAGCTTAAACTTTATTTCGTGATGTGACCAAATGTTACTAAATTGAAACACGGGCATAAATATATTAAAGAATACTAAAGGGTTTACAGTAACTTCCCAATAAAAATTTATTTCTCTGTATTCTAGAACAACTTCTGACTTTATGCAAACGTTGCTTCTGTTTTTATCCATTAAAGAAATATATCCACTCACTAAATATATTCCCGTTTTAAACATTGGTAGTACGAGATTAATTCGTGAGAGGTGACATATAACCCCGGATTTTTGTGTTGTTATGTCATTAAATTTGAGCAATACATACTGTAAAGTACATAACGGGGATGTTCTTCAGAATATCTTGTATTGTTACAACAACATGTAAATCAGGTGACTCGGTTGAATATACAAACAATACAGACCATACAAACAAAAAACAAGTTTAATCACATAATCACAGGCTGTTTTATGTAAATGTGTGAAAAAAAAAAAAGATATTTTTATCGGCTACTCAAATGATAAGCGACAATGCTTACTAAACAAATACACGCCTGGTTGACTCTATTAGATCAGAGGCTGCTTCAAGTATGATCATCTTTCCTTGTAACATGTGTGCTGTGATGTGACAATGGACAGCCCATATCCCCGGATTATCCTAATATTATTATATCTTTAGTTAGTAATTAATTAAATAATTGATACCGGGGTAAAGTTACCGCGAGAATTCGAACTTTGGTCCAACCACAACCAATCGAGCCATTGACAATCGCAGGATAAGCAATACTAACGTCCTTGAGCAATGGGTCGGCAAATGAACGTATATCTTTATCAGTCTCATGGAGATAATCACCTTCGCCTTCGGAAATCAAATAATGAGAATGACCATGAGTGTGCCATGGATGAGCGACACAAACACCGTCTCCATTGAAGCTATTCTGAAAGACAAAGTCAATAACTTCTCCAAAATTTACAGGATATGTTTGATGACTCAATGAGAATCCGTCGGTTACATCCAATGTACCAATTGTACCGAGAGAATTAGCTATAACCTGTTCCAATAAAGAAGAAGATGAATTCCCCCAAGGAACATGCATTCTATTATTATTTCTAAAACGTGTTGTGTTATCAAGCTCAGTGACTTGTTGCATAAAAAGCTTAATTGTACGATCTGCTGTTCTATTCAAAATCATAATGTCCCTTTCTGTTGATACTAAAGGCTTCACATCTCGAAGTACCCATCCAGGTATATCTATGGCTGGAAAAATATCGGCAGGAAAATTTGCAATTACAGGCTTATCCATAATAATCGTTGCAGTGGGAGTTGTAGCATTCACGTAACGTAAATATCCATATCCATTTTCAGTAAAACCATCAGCATTAATTTTCCATCTGAAATTAGAGGCTATGGGAAACAAGCTGCCAGCAGGATAATTACCAGTCTTGACCAAAACAGACATTCTTTGCCCAGCGCCAATTTCAAGATATTTCAAGTTGTAAGGAGCGACATATTCGCCATCAATTTCCATTAATGTCATATTGTGGTCTTGTATAAAAATACCTAATATACGAAAAGTGAGGGCACCGATAAATCGAAAACGGTAAATCTTGTTAGGCTCTACATTAATATAGCTGAAACCAGCGCATTCGCCGTCATTTTGGCTCGCACTACTGTTGTATACGGTTCTTCCATTAAGTAAAACGCTATCAGGACCATTATCATTAATAAAGGAAGAGCCTGTATAGTATTTCTCTCTGTCATAGCCTGATTGATGCCAAAATTCAGTCCATTGCAAGATACGCTCCTCATCATAAGTGTAAATCCCTTCAGTTACAGGTGTCATTAATTCAGTTGCAGCTGAAAAAGAATTTTCATCTTCATGTACAATAAAAGGCCCAGTAATAGTATCATCTTGAACACCCATATGCGCGTGATAAAAGTATGTACCTGACTGATTCAACACCTGGAACTCTTGAATGAATTCCTGTCCGGGGGCAATAGCTAATTGGGTAATAGCGGCTACACCATCCGAAAAGGTTGTACCGTATTGTCTGATGCCGTGGATATGAATACTCGAAGATTGATTATTAGCAGCGTCACTATTCCTAATGATGAACCGGACTACATCGTTTTTTACAACATGCAATGCAGGAGCAGGAAATTGATTATTAACCACCATAACAGCAAAAGACGTATTATAGCAATCCGGGTTAAGATACTCTAGACTGAGGTTAAGTTCAAATGATTTGACGGATCTCCTAGTGCTATCATCTTGTTCTAAAGCAAAGATAGTAACAACCATCATGGCTAAAACAGCGGCTATCATGATGGCTGTCGGATGACTGCGGAACATAAACATTTACTCTTAAAATAACAAATAGAATATGAAGAAATATAACTAATATTTATATAGCATAAAAAAAAGGTATAGTCTTTTAAATCTATTTTGGTATAAGTTGTCAATCGCCATCTTAGAGAAAAACAGGTAATAAGCTTGCTGCAATTATTGCTTTATCACCAGCTTTAATCATATTATATTTCAATCACCACGGCTTCATTGATGCAGGTACTTCTTTTGCGTGATAAAAAAGGTTAAAGCTACACCTGATCTGCCGTAAGGCTACACAATGACATCAACTGTGAACCCCACATATTTTCAGATGCTGTTATTTAGTGAATTACGTTTGAACATAGAATTTCAAATCATGACAAAAGAAATTTTTCTTAGCCGATAGAAATTCCTATTGAGCAATTTAACAATGGAGTTTCTTGAGATCAATAGATAAAAAAACACCGCTGTTTTTTTTTCTACTGTTAATATTTTTTTTTTTCTTATTTATAACCTTCCCATGTTGCGACATTTTGGAAATTTTCTTTGGGAATATCGAGCCCAACCTCTACAGTTTTTTGCTGTAACTGTTTTTGTTGCTTCTTCAATGTTATCAGCAATAATTTATTAAATTCAGACATTTCTTATATATACTTCTAATGCCCTGGTACAACAAATCTGTATATTTACTTTCACCTTTAATAAAAATTATAAACGGTCTTCAAAGTGCTCACACTCTGTTTATCTATTTTATTTCTATAACTTGTCTGAATTACCACACCAGTGTACTACAATTTAACCTGTGGGAATTATTTTATATCAATTTTTGCCTTTCTTCTTTGTTTAAATCAAGTCCCGCCTCTACGAGTATGTGTGGCAAACTAAGCTTATATTTTCGCCTTGGGTTAAATGAATACTACTCGTTAGAAATGTTTCCAGTTAACGTTATCCCAGCTCTGAGGCTGTTCGCATTTTTGTAGCACCATTGTAATTTTTCTCTTCCTTCTTGCAAGCAGAGCTCCCAATTCATCGTTTGGCCATCTTCAGCTCTATTTTCTTTAAATTTTTTTACGAAGTTCATTCTTTGTTGATACTCCGTAATGATTGCTTTATTGGGATGGTGACGGTAAATATTCGCATGAAGTCCATCTGCCTGTCGATTCTGTTCTGTTACAAAGCTTGTCGACTCCGATACATAATTGATGATGCTACTTCTTGGTGTTTTTTCGTCCTTTAAAAGCCTCATAATGTTTTTGTATTGTGATGAGTATATATCATTTAGTTTTTTTAACTCCTTAACATCATGGATATCCTTGTCAAGGATTTTCGTATACACATCAATGAGTATACGGTAAAGGGTGTCCATCGTTGGATCGGCGTGTCTTGGCGCCAGGTCAATTGTTGGAGCTTGAGTTGTCATAAAAAATCCAAATATAGCGAATGGATCTGTATCTGAAACTTGAGAAATATAATCTTGGATGCTGTTCTTGTCCATTAGACAGCATTCATCTGCCCAAAAATCGGAACAGGCTGTATAACATGGCAAACCATCGCATTTACGTGATAATAAAAAATACGTTTGAAGAAAATACGGAGTTTTACATTTTCCCTGCGGCCCTCTCGTGTGATTTTTTTTCTTTTTTTTTGTCGTTCGTAACTTACAGTCTCCCTCTCCCAAGTGTACATTAAATCATTAAATGTTAACACAGCGTGTGTGTGTGTGTGTTTTTTTTTTGCCATCCAGGACTTACAGCCCCTCTCTAACCAATTTATTAAACTCATTCGTCAATTTTTATTGTGTCTGTGAACCTTAAAATGATGACACTTTTAACCACTGTTTTTCGACGACACAGTATTTCTTTACCCTTTTTACTTAGGCTTTCTAACTCCATAAACTACGTGAAGAACGCCAAAAACAGTGGTGTTTTTTATCTATTGATCTCAATATTAAATTGCTCAATAAGAATTTCTATTGGCTAAGAAAAATTTCTCGTGTCATGATAAAAAATTCTATTTTCAAACGCAATTCACTGTAACAGCATCTGAAAATATGTGGGGTTCACAGTTGATGTCATTGTGTAGCCTTACAGCAGATCAGGTGTAGCTTTAACCTTTTTAATCACGCAAAAGAAGTACCTGCATCAATGAAGCCGTGGTAATTGAAATATAATAATATGATTAAAGCTGGTAAAAAACGATGTAGTCCAGTTCATCATTAAGAATAATGAGGTTGCTAATAACCAATCTTCGAGTATTCATATCCCAAAAATTCTATGTAATATTTTAACTTCCGCTTATGTATTTAGTGCCAGTTTTTTCGATTACTCATAGTGAACCCTTCTTTTTTTTTTTTTTTTCTAAAGTAAATTAAATAGAAATGTCTGTTCTTGAAACTGCCCGCGCTGCCCGTCAAGCCTCTGTTAGTCTCCAGTCCATTACCAATGAGCAAAAGAATGAAGCTCTTTTAAGAATCAAGCAGGTCTTGAGTGAGCGTAGAGAAGAAATCTTCAAGGCCAACGAAGAAGATAAAAAGGTAAATGCCTATTCATTCGAATAGACCTTGTAAATTAAACCTATTGTTCTCTCAGGTTGCCGAAGGTTTGGTTAAGGCTGGTAAGCTTTCAAGTTCTCTTTACAAACGCTTGGACGTTTGCCAAGGTGATAAGTTCGATACTATTTTGTCAGGTGTTAGTGACATTACTCAATTACCAGATCCAACAAAGAAGGTGACCATGGCGACTAAATTAGACGAAGGTTTAGAATTGTATCGCTTAACAGTCCCCGTTGGTGTGCTTTTGACAATTTTCGAAGCTCGTCCTGAAGTCGTTGTCAATATTTCTTGTTTAGCGCTTAAATCAGGTAATGCGGTTATTTTAAAGGGTGGTAAAGAAGCTACCCACACCAATACTGCTTTGGCTCGTGTTATTCAAGATGCCCTTGCCAGTTTGCCTGCATCCAACGGTATTCCCAAGGAAGCTGTCCAGATCGTTGAAACCCGTGAAGATATTAGTGCATTATTGGATTTGGATAGATATATTGATTTGGTTGTACCAAGAGGCAGTAATAGTTTGGTCAAATATATTCAAAACAACACAAGGTAATTCTATACAATTAGTTTTTTAGACTTGAGGCGTTCTAGAAACTAAAAAGAAAACTGCAGAATTCCTGTTCTCGGTCATGCAGATGGTATCTGTTCTGTTTACGTTGATAAGGAAGCTGATATCGAGAAGGCGGTCAAGATTGTTGTCGATTCTAAGGTAAGCTTGTAGTGGTGATTAAAAAAAAATCAGGGGTACTTAAAAATTACGTAGACAAACTATACTGCAGCATGTAACTCTGCTGAAACTTTACTGGTCAATGAATCGTTATTAGAATCTGGGGAATTTATCACTGTTGCATCTGGACTTTTAAACGCTGGTGTTACTCTCAAATGTGAGGAGAATGTTCGCGCCGTCTTATTAAAGTCAGATGCTATTTCTCAGGAATTTAAGGATAACAAGATCGAAGCCGCTGTTGAGGAAGATTTCTTTACTGAATTCTTGGATTTGATTATGGCCGTCAAGTCTGTTGCTAATGTAGATGGAGCTATTGAACACATCAATGAGCACGGGTCAAAGCACACTGACGCTATTGTGACCGAAAATAAGGACACTGCTGAATACTTTATGACTCGTGTGGACGCTGCTGGCTGCTATTGGAACGCAAGTACTCGTTTTGCTGACGGATTCCGTTATGGCTTCGGTGCTGAAGTAGGTGTTAGTACTAATAAGACACATGCTCGTGGCCCCGTTGGCTTAGAGGGTTTGGTCATCTATAAGTATAAATTGTTAGGTAACGGTGAAGGTGCTAGTGACTTCGGATCTGGAAAGAAACAATACAAACACGAGACTATCTCCCCCTCTGAGTACAAGATCTAACTTCTTAAATAAATTAAAAACCTTATCACTCAAAAAGTCTGTTGTATATGAAAAGTAACAGGGTTTATTTTTTCTGTGAGATAATCCATTTCCATTTACATCAAAAGCCTGTCGCAGACATGTATCTCGGCCACAAAAATACCAGTGTTAGTCCTCAAACCAAGATGATGAGTATACTGTTTCATCCAAACACTTGAAGGGAGCCGTTTGATGGATTGTCGCTGAACATACAGCATTGCTTTAAGTAACATTACATCGTTTGCTACTGGTAGCTCTGGCCCTCTTTATTATCGTTTTTTGTTTGTTTGTTTTTTTGTTTTTTGCATAATAAGGTCGGTGGAATGCCCAGATATCCAAGTTTTGATAATTGGAACAAAATAACACACAAGATGAAGCCGTTTACATCCCACTTTTTAAAAAAACTTCTATCTAACTGGCCGCATATTATATAAATGAAGTCATCGATCAGGGATTAATGTAATGCGTTTATATGAGATTTTGTAAGGAAATTAGTGCGATTTCAGTACACAGTATACTTTTAAAGGTGGAAGCATTTTACACCGACTTAAAAAGCATCCGCAATCCAAATTTTTAAGATATGGATGAGGATCATTTGGTATTTTGGAAAAAAATTAAGTTTAAGCCCTGAGACACAGCATTTGGTGGAGATTTGCCATCGGACCTCGTCCATTTTGTAAAAAATTGGATTAAAAAAGGTACTCTCCAATTTTTCGTCTGCCATTGCGAGTTAATAGCGCAAAACCTTCCCACTCAGTGTGATACCAGGTATCAGAAATATTAGATAATATCATCTTTTTACACTCTGATATTTTGGTGAGCGGCAGCATTCATGTTTTTTTGGATGCATGTATTTTTTTACAGTTATCTAATCGCTTGTAAACGTCTTGTGAGTCATAAGTGATATTTGAGCTGGAACACTCAAACTTAGTCTCTACAACACTCTTCAAGTAGTCAAATGTTCTTTCTTTTTCTGATTGTAGAACCATTTGATGAACAATCATTCCTTTTTTTTTCTTTTTTTTTTTTTTATGGATATGAAAGACAAGAAATAAAAGACATTTTAAATAGTTTAAAGTACGTTATTTTATTACGATTAAAAAGGAAAAGATACACATTAGCCACTCTAAAAGAGTGTTGCCCGGGAATGGTCACGCAGATGCTTGTATCCATGCATTCCCTTCATCTTTTTTTATTAAGGTTAGAAAAAAAAAGTGAGCGGAAAGAGAAAAAAAGAACCCCCAACTCGTTTTACTCAGGCGAAAACAGATGGAGAAAGAAACCTTTAAAATATAAATATCTTTTGGTATAAAGAGTAAAAGTAAGAACCAACATGAAATACTCTCTTTTGTGTCGTCACAGGCAAGGTGTAAATTGAACCGGTTAAGAAAGCCACTTCAGAGGGGGGGGGGACCGTCCCCTCCAGTTCAATACACTTTACCTATTAACAGAAAAAGGTGCCGCATGTCTCATCAAAAGCCGTAACCCTGACAAAAAGCATCGCCTATACGCGGTTAATAGGCTAAACCATTTGGTATTAACAACGATAAACTGCCCCGGTTAAAGAAGAAAAGAGATAAATAATAGATTGGCGCAGCATTTTATACTCTTACCGCAAGCAAAAAAAAAAGATTGCTTCTCGCAAATCAAGTGAAATTATGACATAACATAAACAAAAAAGTCATTTTATACTTGAAGAACGTCGTAAAAGCTATCGCTAGTAAAGCTCTTACGCTTTAAATGATAGCACTCCTACACTTGTATCTTAATATGTATTCCTCTCTTTTATCGACGATATGTTCCTTGTGAGACAGGTTCATTTTACTTGGGAATAGAAATTTCTTTGTTTACGCTATTTTCGTTTATTTTTTTTTGTTTTTTTGTCAATTAATAAAAAGATCAATATAATTTACTTTCGGGACGCAATTCCGAATATGAACCATCAAATGTACATCCTAATAGAAAGAGAAATAGTCGAAACCATATGTGATTGCATGAATAGTCAACAAAAGTCGATAATTGACATGACAAGTATATGAGCCTGTTTTGAAGACGAAGTGTGTAAAAATTAACGCCAAATACATCAATAGTAGGAGTAAAACCAATAATTTGTTAGGATGATAACTTTTATTTGAAGGTACCGAAAAATGGTAGCCAATATGTTTCTGTGAAACATGTAAGCGCTGGAATATATAGGAGTATCTGGTTAAATAAGCATCTTGATTCATCAAGTAAACGCGCCTGACAGACTTTTTTTTTTATTCTATTTTAGCTTTAGAAATATTATAGGCACCTTCTAATACGATCTAAAGCTTCACTGATATTCGCTCCCCGACTGTGCAAAGACGCCCCCTATAAAAACCCAGTCTAGTTGAGTATAATTTTTACTGCTAGCTTCAAAATAAGAGATCGAAGTAAAGATTACGTCGAAAAAAAATACTTAAAGATTGTTGTAGATATGCCTGGTCTTATACATGAATTTTATCAAGTAATACACTTGACTATTCTCAATTTTTGGTTACCTGGATTAAAAAGAAGCAATAATCGCGATCAATGTCGATACTATGGGAATATAAATAACTCAAACTCTGGTACATTTAATCATCCATAAGCGAGTTTGACAGAGGGTGAGGTTTCGTTACGTGCGCACCACTTGGTTAAGTTTTTCAATGTATCTTCAATGTGTATAAGCCCTTTTTGTATGTAAAAAGGATCGATTTTATCAAACTTTAGAAAAAGTGATTATCTTCATACATACTAACAATATCAAAATTTGATTATTTTTCAAAGCATTGTCAAGTCATCTACATAATCATGTTTATACACTAAGCAATGTTTGGCAAACGAGGGATGATGTTTGAAATTTGGATGAAGGTTTTTTATATCAATTAATTGGTATAAAGCAGCCTAAATAGTGTTATGATTGATTTATTACCTAATGGTGATGGCGTAGAAAAAAGGTTGACTTGAAGCCGGATATTTAATATCCCGAGCCGTATGAATTCTGCATGAATTTGTTAAGGCTGTTATTTGCGTTGTAATATTGCCTTTTTCTCATGTATGCGTTTGAAACCGACATTTAGTGTTATGGGTTGAAAACATTATCAATGGGTAATTGTAAAATACAACACAAAGAGCACTCAGTTAATACTTTGTGGTAAGGTGAGTCCAGACAAAGTTTTAGGCAAACCGGAATTATGATTAATAATTCAATTTAACCGTCTCAGTCAAGCTACAGCAAACATAGTGAATAAATGAACAGCTTACCCGACCGAGAATAAAAGGGTCTTGCGATCAACACTTACGATATATTTTACAGCTAAATACGACTGATTTTAATATCCATGGTTACGGATTGAATGGTTAAATGTATTTAAAACAGTGTTACGCCAATGTGATAGTAGATGGGCTCGAAGGGCCAATGAAATGTTATTTCAATAGCAGACATAAAAATTTCGTTACTTGTTTTTTTTTTCTTTTTTCTCTTTTTTGTTGAAGTAAACAATGGATACTTTAATGGATGAGGTTGAAACAGACCAGAGCGTCTCGCGAGTATACGCCAACGCTAATCTGGAAAGAACACCAGATTACTATGAATACGATCGACTTCAGGTGCAATGGGGGTAATTATAAATAAAATAACAGTCGACAAAAATTGTTAATTCTGTTTCCTAGCGAACAAGATGTATATGAAATATGTAGAAAAGTAGGCAGAGGGAAATACTCAGAAGTGTTCGAGGGAAAGCATGTGAAGACGAATGAACGATGTGTTATCAAAGTATTAAAACCCGTCAAGAAGAAGAAGATAAAGAGAGAAATCAAGATTTTGCAAAACCTGAACGGAGGACCTAATATTGTTAGCTTATTGGATATTGTTCGGGATCCTCAAGTAAGTTACCCCCGAATAAAATAGACGGTTTAATAGTACTAACCCAATCGTCTAGTCAAGAACACCCTCATTGATTTTTGAATACGTTAACAATATGGAATTTAAGATATTATACCCAAGATTTACAGATTACGATGTTAGGTTCTACATGTTGGAATTGTTGAAGGCTTTGGACTTTTGTCATTCAAGGGGTATAATGCATAGAGACGTTAAGCCTCACAATGTTATGATTGATCATGAACATAGAAAGGTAAAAATCCAGAAAAAAAAAGCTGTCCCTGAAAATAACGTTCCGTTTCATCTTCATAGTTACGATTGATCGATTGGGGGTTAGCAGATTTCTATTTGCCTAAAACAGAATATAATGTACGTGTTGCATCACGTTGCTATAAGGGCCCTGAACTATTAGTCGATCTTCAATTATATGATTACAGTCTCGACATGTGGAGTTTTGGTGCCATGCTTGCCGGTATGGTGTTTCGCAAAGATCCATTTTTCAACGGCCAAGACAATTATGATCAACTGGTTGTCATCTCAAAAGTTTTGGGCACGGCTGATCTACACGCTTACTTGAAAAAGTATAACTTGACCCTTAGCAGACATTATGATGGTCTTATTAAGAGGTAAAGACAAAAAAAAAGAGTTGTATTTGTTTCCATTCGTACTGACCACAATTTAAATTAGCTTTAAGCCCGTTCCGTGGTCAAAGTTCATTGGCCCTCATAACAAAAAATACATGTCCAATGAATTGTTTGATTTGTTAGACAAATTGTTAAGATATGATCACCAAGAAAGACTGACCGCTAAAGAAGCAATGGAACATCCTTATTTTAAAAACATAATAAACTAGCTTTATTATTTTGCCCAGAAAGACATTTGTCAAACCCTCCCACTCTCCCCCCCCCCCAGTTCCCTTAATATTTAAAGTGCGAACAGTTTAGCGTGGTGCCGCACACAAAAAGAGTCCCAGGGGCAACGCGTCCTTGAAAAAATTTTCACGTTGGTTAATAAATAAATGATTCCTTTTTACGCAGAAGAACTTGGCAACATTAACGTACTCCGTGCCTCTATATCTACAGAACCTTCTTGCAATGTGAGTGAAGTTCTCTCAGTTAGCAATAATGCAATCATGCTCAAGGACCAGTTAGTAGCTGACTTGAATGCCGTGCAAGTTGAAATTACTACAGATAATCTAGTGGTTGCTCAACCACCCAGCATCCAGCAAGACAAGAGTGGCCTCTTTCCTTGGGAAATCAAATTATATCTAGCCAAAGCGCCAGCACCTCTAAGATCACAACAAGCCGAGGTTAAAGAATGGTGGACTTCTAAACTCTTACTAGGAGGTGCTGCAACGTGTAAAAAGGAAATTCATTGTCAACACTGTGATGCGTCTATCTTGGACAACTCTGTGGAATACAAAATTAAGGATTTACCTTCGGAGCACTGGTATGAACTGGTTGAATGTTGGATCTGTCACGAAACCAAACCTGAAGAGCATCAAGCTCGTATGAGACCTATTCTTGCAAGGCCTAATCTCTTGTTGGTGGGAACTTCGTATTTCTTGATCCACCCTGATAATCTTTTAAAGGATTCTGTTCAAGTCGACAAAATGGTTTTGGACCGCACAAACGTAAGAACCTTTTCTTTTTTTATCTTTTACTATTTTCAAAAGGATTTCAAGAAGGTTGATGATGCGTTAGATATCATCATCAACCGATACAAAAATCCAAGATTATTCGGCATTCAACAGTTTGATAGAAGCAAGCTTTACTTTCTATAAACTTCATTGTTTTACAACAAACTACTACCATGTCACATATTAACCAACTTTTTATTATTTTAGTGGGATCGTGGTACATTTACAAAATGGATTGCTGTCAACTGTTCAAAATGTAAAAATGTTATTGGTGAAGGTCAATACTGTGTAGAAGATGATGCTTTGAAACTGCTGGCAGTTAAAATTTTCAAGTATTGCATCACGATCGTACCTGCATTGCCTGAACACCCTGAATTCACGGATTACCTTGTATCCGATTTGATCAACACAGCAAAAATTCATGCCACGCATCGCTTTTTAATACAAGGTCGCCAAAGTCAAAATATTTATGCGCTGATCTGGTTGTTTAATTGGGATACAAACATTATTTATAATAACGGATACACACACGGGTCCAGTAGTCTGAAAAGAGAAAGAGGTAACCTTTAGGATAGCAAATGTATAGTTCGAGGGCTAAACACATTACATTTAGTCATGAAGGTGATTTATCTGGATTGCACCAAAGAGAATGAACAAACAACCCGATCCATCGGTATGTGGTCGAATGATAAGTCGACCGATCATTTAATCTATCCTGATAATGTGTGTAAGGAATTGGTAACAAAGTTGAATAAATCGACACTTATATTACCGCCCTTTATGAGAACAATGGATCATCCCGCCATGATCTTTACTCGGAAGTTTTCAATTGGTTTCATTCATCGCTCTGACTGATTGCCTTTATCTTTATTTTTTTGACAGGTAAGAGGTTTATTTATAATGTTAAAATAAAATAAAAATCCGTTTTTTTTTAAAAATACGATTCTGTTGTTGAGTGAGTTTAAAGTTTTCCGTGTGAATAGGTAGCCCAATTCATAATGATGTTGTGCACACAGCCAAAACAACTTGAACTGAATCGATCAGGAATTCACGATTTGTTACAAATTAAAGTTCAATAGCGATAAATGTTCCGACGCATATCAAACAAAACAATGTTTACATGCTGCTTATGAATATGTGTATGGAGATAAAATAGGCTACAATTGCTCTCCGGGTAGGAAAATAGGCTATCTGTGTTTATTCACACCAAAAAATCAGGAGCTCAGGAGTCTGAGCTTTTTTTTTCTTTTTCTTGGGCAGTTTAACTTGCTACTCCTTTCTCCATCATCGATTATGATTTCATACTAACCAGATCATGTCTTCATGTCACACTATTGTACCTGAAACTGGACACGAGTTGTGTCTCTATTCACAGAAGTATTGTGTTTGAATGTGTCTTAAATTACCCGTATATCTCCGTCCTTGAAAACAGCAAAAGGATAGAATACAAGATCGGCAGCAATGGTAACACGCTTATGCGGATGATCAAAATACTTTTAACATAGTTACTCGGTTAAATTGAAAAAGGCTTTATAGGTAGCGAGTAGCTATGCAAACGATATAACAGATTATCATGTTTTTAATCTAACGATGATCTAGACCAATTATAGTAGGTTTGTTGAGGTAAATAGTAGTAGCAGATAAACAACAATAAAACAGATTGAATTACAATTATGAGTGCAGTTTGGTTTTTTGGTTTTTTGGTTTTTTCATGTATAGAGCAGGCGATGAAAAATAGTATCAGGATTTATTTTTCTGTGATAAGATAGTTACCGTTCACCTGGTCATGTAACATCAAACTCTTATATTTTCTGATTTCTGTACTGTTTGTTGTTACCGTTTACATTATTCTACACTTTGTATTTTTATCTACGTTTTCAATTATAACAGGTAAGCGCACATGGCAATTGCATAATTCTGCACTAGTACACTCAGAGCCTATGAATATTAGAAACATAACTTGCTATTGTATAAAATGATAATAAATGTTATAATAAAATTGCCGACATTTTCGGTTTGGGAGGCACGCCACAATTATAGATAATTTTATTCTTTTTTATTTTTTGCAAGGGGATGTTGTAATTCATGCTACCTAAATGTTTGTAGTGAAAACAAAATGCAGTGTTAAACACTATCACATATAGTCAAATTTGATCCCGAGGAGTTTGTTTTAGCGTAAATTTAAATAGTTTCTTTTGAATCGAAAAAAAAAAGGACTCCATCATAAATGCACCTAATTTTTATTCTTTCCCTTTCTTTCGCACTTCTATAACATGTCACAAGAAAAATGGAAAGCTTCAGAAGAAGAATTAGTATCACCCACAACTGTCATACCCACCATTACCTTTCAGGATGCACCACCAACGCTGCCAACCTTACGATCGCAATCTTTTGAATTACCGAGAGGAAAACAACAAGGTGTTCATGCTCACTTCGATAAAGCATCTACAATTAGACCCGGTATGAACAAAAGCAGTATATCACACAGTGAAGGATATTCTCTACGTAGACCATCTGTGGCATCCCGTAAATCGTTCTCAAGATCAGTATCTTCTTTCTCACTTTATTCACATTTTGCTGGTGAGAGATTCAGTCATAACAAGAGAAAAGACAGCCGAAAGCTATCTATGGACACGTCAGATGTTGAAAAGCGCAAACATTTAAAAGAGTCTTCCAGCACAATGGATGATAACAGTGCCAAAAGTTTTGATTCAGATAGTGGGGAGTCCCCTAAAGCATCTGTTGGGAAAGCCATGGTCATGTTTTTAAAAGCATTTATTGGATCAGGAGTATTATTTTTGCCAAAGGCGTAAGTTTAAGATATGCACAATTACATACTTGTATTAATGACGAGTTTTACTACTGTTTTAGTTTTCAGCACGGGGGGTTAGCTCTGTCACCTATTTTAATGATCATCATTGCCATGATTTGTTTATTTGCCTTTTTAAGATTGGTGAACACCCAATTAATTATTGGTGGTTCTTATGGTGATATTGGCGGTATTCTCTATGGCCAGTTCCTTCGTTTCATTGTATTATTTTTTATCGTCATATCCCAAGTTGGCTTTGTCTGCTCTTATTTTATCTTTGTCTCCGGTAATCTTGTCAGTGTCGTCGATGTACTTTCAAATTGTTCTGCCGGAATCGAACAGAAATATTACATGTGGATGCCATTAATTATTTTAATCCCTCTAGCTCTGGTACGACACATTGCTAAACTGTCGTTCACTGCCATCATTGCAGATGTATTTATATTGTTTGGGTTAGTTTGTACACTTTACTTTACTGCAGAGCAGCTGAGTACACATGGCATTGGTCCCAACGTTGCAGCTGTCAATCCATCGAATTTTGCTCTTATGATTGGAACTGCGACTTTTTCATTTGAGGGAATTGGCCTAAGTAAGTAAAAACAATTGTGCATCTATTTTTTCTTCGTTTATTAATTAAATAATGTACACATAAGTTATACCTATCGTCGAATCGATGCAACGTCCTGATAAATTCCCCTTTGTCCTGACATTGGGAATGATCATTGTGTGCGTCATCTATATACTCATTGGTACGATCTCGTACTTGGCTTACGGAGACACGATTCAGTCTGCAGTAATCTATAACTTTCCAGAAGATAACATGGTGACGGTTACAGTTAAAATACTGTATTCTGTAGCAATCTGTCTCACTGCTCCATTGATGCTGTTCCCAGCATTGAAGATTATTGAAAAATGCTTGTTTCATAAGTTTAGCTCTGGTAAAGATAATGCTGGTATTAAATGGTCCAAGAACATATATAGAATTATTCTATGCATTACTTGTGCTGCGATCGCGTTTGGTATTGGTGGAGACAATTTGGATAAATTTGTATCCTTGGTTGGGTCTATAGCTTGTGTGCCGTTATGTTTTATCTTTCCGGGCATGTTTCATTTAAAGGTGTCTAAAAAGAGACTTGATGTTATTTTAAACGTTGCACTCATCGTGTTTGGAGTTGCAGTCATGATATTTACACTGGTAAGCTTCTTGCACTTGACAAATGTTTCAACTGCTATATTAATATTTTGTTTCGTAGTACGTCAGTTTTGATTCTTTTGTTCATCCACTCAATGGTGGGATTCCAATTGTTCCATTCTGTCCTGTTGTTAAATAATATATTACGCGACCACTACCAACACGACTACTATTTCCACTTTTGTAAATAAAATCTTTTTCAATTTGTATGCACATGAATTGGCTCTCATTGTAAAGTATCTTTTTTGTCTGATCAATCCTACTACATTAAAGTTGGTCAGTAACAGCTGTTTCTATCTCGCTTAATACTCTTGTAAAAAATGCTGCAATAGATGTAGATTGAGGATATCGCCAGTCATGTCTGTACGTAGATATACAATCCTACATTATGACTAAGTGCACCCGGGTGACCCTATTAGACCCGTACTTAATAATATCTAAAGAGTAAGATGGATTCTAATTTATCGTTGTTCAATGTGTTGAAGTATGATAAATGCATAGTACTGAGTCTTATTTTCTGGTTACAATCTTGGTATTCGTTGATAGCCGACATATCTTAAGCTATAGATCCTAAAGTTAAATCTGATGCGTAATAAAGCGTGATTCGGCATTAAAATTTATATGATTAATCATTATTTTAGATCTGGTATAATAAAATACTGTCTTGACAACTTTTTGACAATAAGAAATGGAAGCTCCGGTGTTCCATCATATTTCCTTCTATCGTGCATACATAACAAAAACACGTACTTTTATTCAGATTATTTTATAAATCCTAATTATTCCACTAACGTGCACGGCTTCTCCCATTTACTATGTCAGCGGTAGTTTAAAGCATCTGTTTCAGCCATTTTTGACAACTTGATGCAGTCTTAAAAACTATTGGTTTATTCCCTTGATCGCTTTTTTTTTTCATCTTTTTCAGTTACACAGCCTATTTGTCCTGGAGTGGAGCAATCTATGGTTTTCAAAAAATAATAAAGAATGCCAATATAGAAGATGTTTAATCTTAAGTTGCTAAGAGGAAGCAACATCTAAAAATAAACTCTGTTTCGTCCGAGAAAAAGAAAGTGTGATGTCAAACAAGAATGGCGTTATTTTTATCACAACAATTCGGATACGAATGAACCTCCGCCCGGCATGTCAAAAACCGCATGATGTTTACTCGGTCATGCGATAATATTAATTTTCCCAGGTATAAATAAGATACGGGTTTACGCCCATATTTTTTCTTACTCTTTATCAACCAATTGATTAATAACAAATGACTCGTACCAAAGATAACGTAAACCGCCACGAAAAACACGTAGCTAGGTAAGATGACATGCTTTATTCAAATCTACTATCGTGTAAAGTTAACTAATTAAGTGTGTATAGAAATGGCCAGACTGAAATTCGTTTTGGCGTAAAAAAAATGGGAGCTGGTGCTGCCAACTGGGGAGTACTAGGAGAAGAGGTACTTGACGTACAAGAGATTGCCCGAACGGAAATGGATGCCACAGTGACTGATACCAAAATTAAGCTTGTTGATTCTGAGACTTTTGAAAACATGCGTCATGAACAAGAATCATAAATATACCAAATAAAAATTTATTTTTTTATGCAACAATAGTAGTCTGCTTTAATTTCAAAACGAGTTTCTCTTCCTGTAATTCATGATATCTTTTTTCTATATATTTCAGTTGATTAACTCTATTCACTTGATGGATTAATTGTTCAGTAGCTGTCTTGAAATGGTCCTGTGAGGTTCTCAATGAGGGAGACACAAACAACCCAAACCAATGTAAAGGATCCCCACTCTTTTTAATCTTTTTCTTGTTCTTTTTTTCATCGAGCTCGATATCATCATTATCTGAAAAACTGTTATCTTCAGTCTGAACCCACTCAGAGTTCTTTTTCTTGGCTGGTTCGTGTCTTTTTCTTAATCCCTCATTCTTGTTATCTGGTACCTTAATAGGTGGTAACACATGTTTTAACGTAATGTCGTTGGAATCTTCAATCTCACTATAATAGTTTGTTTGATTAGTAAATATTAAAGATTGGTGTGCCACAACTAACGCTACACTTGTAAAAGAGCCTTCATGCGCTCATCGTATGAGTAATGTGAAATAGTTCTTGCTCCCATCGTATACTTTGCATGTGCTAAGTCAAGGAATCCCTTTAAAGTTTGTAAGCTTCCTTATTTATTTATTTTATTAATCTTTTCATTCTATACCTGCTGAAACTCATTCCCAGCATCTTTCCATTGATGTGTATATTCGTTGAGTATATTAAGGTATGATAGCGCTAAACCATCCAGCTCTTCGCAGACGGATTCATAAGTCATGGTAAAAAGAACTGAAAAAGAAATATTAAAAGAAGGGGCCTCTGCTGGTTTTGCAAAATCTTTCTATCTCCGGCTTCTTTTTTGCTATTTATGCGAAAATTATCCATAATTTTATTTAAGAAACGACTGTTTAATCGCTCAAAGTAAAAATGTGCTTAAGCTCTGAAGATATGTGTACAGCCATCAACACATGCCTTACACTAAACCAATTTTATCCATTTTTTTAATTTGATAGTCATTTAAATTACAATTTATTCATTACTCAATTTAACTTGTTGTTGCTCTTCATCAAACAATAAATCCCATTGCTCGGGAGGAACAAGCGATCCGAATAGCTGAGTCATATTATCACCCAACTAAAAAAAGTATGATTAGCAAAGCATATTTTTGGAAGAAAATACAAATAAAAAATTACCTTGTCTAGTTCACGAATGATATCCTCCATTAACGTAACATATGCATAGTAGAAGACGTACGCATTGTCCTTTTCCAATAATCGCTTTGATTTGGCAATCGGCATATCCGTTAGTTGTTGCAATAGTGATTTCCAAGCTTTTCTTGCTTGTGGTAAGAAAGGGGGCATAGGAGTTTTTAAGCGAAGAGCAGAGGCCAGGAGATAAAAATACAGTAAAACATTACCCACCATTTCACGCCTTTCTTGTGCGACTGGTGTCATAAAATCATGCTGTACCTCTTCATACCACGCATCTTTCAGCATAACGGTTCGCATTGATAAAAATCGATCAACAATATTCTGACAAGAGAGTAACATGTTTCGATAGGTGTCTACAGGGAAGGGACCCTTGAGACGTGGCTCATTAGGGGTTTGTGATAACAGTGACTGTAAATCTAGTAACGCACGTTGTAATCCTAATTCCAAATCCATGAAAGATTTCGTTGCTAATCGCTTTTGTGCCTCAAATGTTAATATTTGAGTTTCGGATGCATTGGGGCCTATTTCCATCAAATTTACGATATGAGGTTGAGTTTGGGTCTCACCGTTACCTCGGCTCTTGACAGGATAATCGGCATAAATCGATACTAGTTTTTGATAAAGCCATGCCAATCTTAACAGGAAGTCAGATAATCCTTTACGCAATTCTACACGAGCTTCATATGGCCAGACATAAGCGGTTGCGAATAATCCGACTACAACACCAATTAAAATAGCAAAACATCTTTGTGTGGCCAAAACCCATACTTCAATACTGTTTGTCTCCTTGTCATTGAACTTGTTAAGCATGACGAGATTATAAGCTAATAAGGTAAACTGGCCAAACTTTCCGTGTTTGTTGTTCAAGATCATCCAGAAATTGGGAATAGAAAACAGCCAGGTCAAAACAGGCAATACGTACATATTGCCTGGGAAAAGCATGTAAAAAAACATGGCTGTGTAACAACCGAGAATGGTAGAGAAAATACGATAAATTGCGACCAAGTTAGTTCCACCGACTGTAGGTGTCATAACCACCATTAACTATCAAAAAAATGAGTCAGTGTATATCGTGGTTATTTGTTATGGTATCGACATTACAGTAATCAAAGCCCATTCCATGCGATATTCACGGTATAATTCCTTGGTCGGTTCTAAGTATGCAGGAGTCGCTAGCAATACAGTAGCAATCGTTGCCTTGATTGCATATCTGATCTTTTGTAATTTAAATAACGAAAAGGTTCTCCAAACACGAATAAAGAATCTTCTCCAAGTTGTCTTTGGCTCTGGTGTGTGCAATGTGTTGAAGGTATTCCTTTCATTCGGTACAAATGGGGTGATATGCAAATGGTGATGTTTCTTTTGTCCTAGATTCTTAGAAGTCAATTTGTTCCAACCACATTTGACACATGAAATTAACCAAGTGTATAATCCAGTACTGTGCGCCTTTTTTAAATTTTCGACAGACTCAACCAACGTAATTAATTCCCTTGCAAATTCAGTCATATTGAAAACAAAGAAATACACAAGGATGACTTCTTCGCCAAGAACACAACCAATAGCTTCAGATTCAACGTGATCACCTGATTCATCCCCTGATGATCTATTCATAATATATTCTACGCGAGTTTGGTATAACTTTTTGATGGCTTGCTTCTGAGCAGTTTCAAACAAGGCGATAGCCTTTTCCAAATTTGCTTTTAATACTGGTAACGAAGGCGAAGATCTATTTTTACTTAATCGAGGTAGCCATGTATTGGTTGTAGTGGTTGTTGAGAAACTAGTTTGTAGATGATATAATGTTTGTTTACAGGTGTAAGCAAACGATTTAAGTGGAGGTCGAATGGTTTGAATAAAGTTGATTAATGAAGTGCCAGTGTACTCGGCCTCTTCTTCTTCGTGAGGTGTATAGGATGAGGACGAATCCATATATTTCCCTTGTCTATGTTTTTTCAAAAACTCGTCGAAACGATCGTCAGATTTACTCGCAAACGTTTTTTGTTTACGCATTTCATCTTGAAGTTTTCTGCGACGATAACCTGCTCTTACATTCCAATTCGTATCTTTTAAGGTTGAAGGTGGTACATAAGATTGTGATAGTTTTGCTGTACTACGTTTCTTATCACTGGTGTTGGTTGTGCTTCCATAGTTCTTCGTTCCAAATAAAACGGCTGAAGCATGAACCAGAGGCGATTCAGACAGCTTGGAAAGTTGTTTCTTGGTTCGTTTTTTACGAGTTGTCTCCTTGTATTGTTTTGTAGCTTCACTTCCCATAATTTCAAATTGGATACCACAACTACTGCGTAATCCACCCATATGTTGCGCTAAACGTTGCATACTTTTAATGACCTCATCGTACTCTTCTGCTCTTCCTCTAACCTCACTATTCCAGACTGTCTCCAATTTAGCTTCCTTAAGTGATTTTTGTAAGGCTGTAAAACTTGCTTGATGGGATTGGATGGCAGTCTGCAAAGTTCTATTTGCTTTAAATTCTGGTAAATCGTCATCCAATAAAAATGTCTTCGTTAACAGCTTTAATAACACGCGATAGGAAGCCAAAGTAGCATCGACATCCTTCTTCAATTTCTTTGCAGCAGAGACAGGCCAAAAGATGACACAGCAGGCAACTGTAATTAAAGTACCAGTGGCAACGGAGGTAGTGATTTGTTCAATACGAGTGGTATCAAAATCTCCTAAATTAGCAGATCCTTCACGAACAACAATAACAAAGATTGTAATAAATGCAAGACTTGAAGCTGTAGCTACAGGTGGTTTGTTCCAATGTGCTTTCAAAAACGATATGATGAATGTAGCTCCGGAGAGCCAAAAGAGTAGAGATACTGAATGTGCAATGACATTGTAATGACGGTCAACAAAAAAATCAGTCGTCACCATAGAGCCTAGACAAATAAATACAGCAAACAAAACATACGCCCAACCATATGCAGCAGCTTCTACCATACCACCCAATGTTTTTGCGGGATTAAAAAAAACAGTAGCAGTAGCTACTAAATGACTTGATGTATGATTGTAACCGATCATTGCATTTAAAGCAGGTACAAAGGTAAAAAGCGAACCTAAAAAGTAAGCGAAACTACATTTTAAGACGAGTCTCTGTCTTGGAGAGAACGTACAAGAATCATATAAACTTTTGATTGTTGTTTGGAACTGGCTCCAACAACCAGCCGAGCCTTCATCATCCTCGACTATATGGCTTGATTTCCTTTTTGGCTTTGTGCTTATAGGAAAGAAAGGCTCATCTGAATCACTATCTTCATCATCAGATGAGGATGAAGATGAGCTGGCATCGTTATATCCAATGCCTTGGTATGTATCTTTGTGAGACTTCAATAGTGGTGTGGTATCTTTTGGTGGGCTATTTTTGGATTAAAAAACAATCAAAATCACAATAAAAAAAAATTACCTTTTATCTCCTTTATAATTGGTTGATATATAATCATTACTGCCTTCATCTTCATCCGGTAAAGTACTGAGAGAGACAGTTCTTTTTTGTACGGTGCCATCATCCAAAATGACATCAATTTCACTGAATGAAGAGGGTGATCTACCAAACAAATCTTGACTGAAATCCTGTTGATCTTGTTGCTGAAAAACATCAAGTGATCTCGTTCTTTCAATGAAAAAAGATTGTGGCGAAGAGGATAGCGAAGGTAAACCGGGATCAGACAATGGGGATCCTAGTAAAGGAGCTGCATTATACGGTCGCCTTTTACCCTTTGAGGAGGATTCATTGCTCATTGAGGAAGGAAAAAAGTTGAAAAGGAAAAAAAAAAAAAGACAGAGCCGAATATCCAAGAACCACTCAATTTTATATAAGTGGTAATAATGATGTCATTTTCGATGGTAGATCAAAGACTTTTTTTTTTCCTTTTTTTTCCTTTCTCCCACAGCTTCAATTTACTTATTTATTCGCACAAGCAATGGGAAGAGAAGCAATGCAGACAGCTAAAGTAGCACTTGTATTATGCTCGTGTTTCTTTTCATATGGTGTAAGTACGTATAACGATCTTTCATCGATCTTATTTAACTTTTATTGTAGACATATTGGTCAGACTGGGCATTCGACTATTACTTATTGTGGGCGAATCCACTTGACCACCCAGAAGCTATTAGTCGAGCAGCAGTAGGTTTTATTTTAATTCTCTTGAGAAAGTATAAACTAAAGTATAAACCAGTTTTATTATGCAAATCAAGCACATATTCCTTCAATCTTAAAATATGTGCCAATCGCAAATTTATGCATTGCAACTGCTGGATTTGTCATAGGCCTTTTCACAATGACCGACGGTAATTTATTATTTGATGGTGCATCATTAGGTAAATGGGTTATAAATATATCAACAAATGTGCACATCTCTAAGTTATGTCATAGTTTTAATGTTTTTTGGATTATCAACCTATGTGACATCTGTAAGACCAGGTAATAGAAGTTGACATTGGATAACGCATTCCAATACTTACATGTTACAATTATAGCTATTGCTACGGTGAATGAGTCGTCAGATTTGAATGATATAACGACATCATTAAAAAATATTGCTGCAGCTCATTTTATCATTGTCTTATCCATCACCGGTAAGTTTCAAACTCATAAAAATTGTTCCAAATGATTAAAAAAAAAAATAGGCATCATTGGCTTGCAAATAGCACATTATCTAATCATGAAGAAAACATCAAAAGATGATGAAGATTCTGATGAGGATGAGGATGAACAGGAGGAAGAAGACAAAAAAAATATGTGAACTAGTTAAATTAAAATATCAGTAATAATTTTATGTAATCAGTAAAAAATAAATGTAATCCTTAATGAATAAGACCTTACTTCTTTTTTCATTGTATGCACTTCAAGTTGTGTGTTTGGAGTATGGCATATGAAATAAAATATCAAATAATGCCTTCTTTAGATATTTGTAAACTAATCAGTTTTAGACGATAAGAACATTTTTCTTACAGGATAAGGCGTGTTTTATTATCCTTTTTTTTTAAAAAATTGTCTGACATACGGATTCAGCCAATAGAATTTCTTCCACGTGTATATCACGTGATCTTTTATTAATTTTTGTAATCTATATATTATTTACAAAATAGCTAAATATATCTTTCCTTGATGGTCTAGTGGCTAGGATTCGTCGCTCTCACCGACGCGGCCGGGGTTCAATTCCCCGTCAGGGAATTACTTTTTTATTATTTTTAATTGTGTGGTGCATGTAGCTTCTCTTTCCAAAAACTATGTCGGACCGGTACCACTGTTCATACAGAGGTGGAATCGATGGACCAAGCCAGCAGGAAGATTTAGGCCAACCATACCTAAAAGGTTAAAGCGAGTGAAGAAGGATGCTGCATAAGAGCATCGGTGTTCAAATTGTGTTTTTGTATTTTTAGTTTCACAGAGTATTAATAAAGATGATCTTTTTCTCGCATAAAAATAATATTGGCCTGTACAGCTGCGTCGCAAAGACTCAATTGCCAGACACTAAGACAATTGACAACTAGAAGGATGGCTATAATTTTTTTAATAAGAATTATAGGTACTTTTTATGGCATCGGTCTCTTCCTTGAATGTGGATAATTATTCTACACTTCCTTAAGTATTTTATTATCAACAAAAATACAATCACGTCAACCTAGTTGAATTTTTTTATCTGTTAGTAGATGAGTGGTCTGATAATTTGTAGTCTTTTTTTATGATATTTTACAAATGTAAATATTCTGATGAATATAAAGAGGAAAAAAGGTATTTATTTTTTAGTAAAAGCAAGTGTGGTATCCGTTTTAAATGTCTTTTCTGGCCTCAACTGGAGTCGAAAGTCTTTCCAGCTTGTTATGCTCATCAGCCAATCTGTTATATTCCTTTGCCTGTTGATCAGCCTGCTTTTTCAAAGTCTCATAGTCGAGGTTTTCACGCTTCAACTCCTTAATTTGCACATTCAATACATCAACCTTCTTTTTAAAGTCGTCTTCCATGTCAATCAAACGCTGTTGATCCTTGGTGACATCAGCAGTCTGGTGTATGCATATTGAATTAAAAACGTGCAATCTTATATATCATCAATTTTTATGTACCTGTGTCTTTGCCTTCTTCAATTCTTCCTCACGTTGTAATAATTCTAATACAAGCGCACTAGTTCTTTCCAAGATTCTAAAAAAATAACATGTGAATATTATTATAATTAAAACCCCTATACGCTCAAACTTACAAGGATAAAAAGAGAGTGAAGCCTGTAAGATAGAGGTTTCTTTGAGCATAAAATTTCTTGGCCTTGATACTGGTTTCATAGCTATAGTCATGATGATGTTGTTCCCCTTCTACTTCAGAATCAATACGTTGGAGTCGACTAATAGTATCTATTGTACGCGTCGTATGTTAGCATAAAAAGTAAATGGTAAAACGCGTCTCCTATTATTTGTTTTTTACCAATGAACAGGACAAAAATAAACCTAGTTACAGAGAGTAAGTAATTTTTTTCTTTAAGCAGCCTCAAAAGTGTACTTTACCCGAAAATGATCTTGAAGAAATACATGGCTTTTGCCATCTAAAAAAAACAGTAATTGTGTTTAAAATCCTGCAAGCTTTACTTAATCTCGGTAATACTTTACTGCTGGAGAGCCTAAAGCAAACTTAAGCATAGCATGACGCCAGCGAGAGGGTAAAGGGAGCTATAAAAATAAATTGTTGTCGAATAAAATTATTGGGTTGTTTACTCGCTTTTCTTTCTTTTCACTTACAACAAGGAGACCAAAGGTGACCATCTATAAAAAATCATTAGCACGTATAGATTTATCTCAATTATTCCAGTATTATTACCTCAGTAACCAATATACCAAAGGTAAGTGCGTAATAGATTGCCATTATTCAGTAGTTTAACTGTTTTGATTTATAAAAGAACAGTAAAATAAAACGATTTCTTGGCACATTGGACTATATCTGTCGGGTGTCGGTACTTTAAACTTGGGCGAATCAGCATCAGGTGATACTTTTTGGAGTTCATTTTAGTTGACATGTACAGTATAATTCCAGTTTCTTTTCATATTTGTAAAAAAAAAAATATCTTACGGCCTGTCAAGGATCGAAAAAAAAACGTATTAGCAAAGAAAGTAACAGTATATCTCCTGATTTGACGGTTTTTTTCCTGGACTCAATTATCTTGGTACTTGACAGTGCCAGGGTTGATAACTACAAAGAAGTTTAAAGTTATATCGAGCGACAATATCACATTGATTTTATGAGCATTACCAACGGTTGATTATTTCTGTAGTTAGATCCGGCCAATTTTTTAAAGATTAGATATAACGTGGATTATATATTGATAAATGGTTGCGATTATTTTTGTTAAAGATCTGATGGCTTTTTTTCACTCTAATTTACGGTCGGGAATGCTCAAAGCGACATGTATTTAAGGAAAACTTAGGCCAAGGTTTTTGTGAATTTACTCGTAAAACACCTCTAAACAAATGTGCCAATAAAGCCTGCATAAATCCCTTTAAATCATTTGCTGTGTAATCATATACGGCTTCTACAGTTTCGCTTTTTATTTAGGCTATATTTAGCTCACCAGAAACGTATGATTGGAATTGTGTCCCGAAAGTAAATTATGTTGACAAACAAAAATAGCTTAAACAAAGGAATTTATAGCCCTAGTAAAACGGGAAAATGTCACTGGCAAAAGAGAGTTGTATATATATCTAACTACAAGTGTAAGAGAGTTATTATTAAAAGCATAAGACTTCTATTATAGAGAGCTTTTACTCCTAGGTATGAAACGCTTACACTTTTTGTTTGCGTTATGTCATAAATTCACATGGAATGAGAGAACCAATCTATTGTTTTTCTCTTTAATTGAGGCAGTTTGTCGTCATTAATACCATTTGGGTCTTTACTTACGACTACGGCTGTAAACACAGTGGCGGACTGGGTGGTAAAAACCCGCAACATGTGGTAAAAACCCGCAACATTTGGTGGTAAAAACGTCCATTTTATACCACCGAATGTTGCGGAATTGTGGTTCATTTACCACCGGATGTGGTAAAACTCCAAAATTATACCACCTAATGTTGCGGGTTTTTGCTACATGTTGCGTGTTTTTACCACCTAGTGTTGCGGGTTTCTTCCGCATGTTGCGTATTTATACCACTTCTAGTAGCTACTAAATTCCACTTGATGCGTCTTTTTACCATAATATAGCGTCCTTTCACTCAAAACGTAGTACGTACGTTATTACATCACTTTAACTATATTATTATTGATGCTGATGAACCTTTATACTGTTGTGCAATCAAGAAATACATTATATAATAAAAAAGCAGGGTTTAAATGAAAACGTTTTATTTTATTCAATTTTTATTTTGTATTTTACTTTATTTATTATAATTTTTGTACATATCATCTCCAAATTGATAAGGTACACTTACCTCCATAATACTTCTTGCGCTTACTATTAACGGGCCCAATTAACACCATACTAGCCAAACAGCCGCCTATAGATACAGGTAACATTCGAGAGTCCCGCGAGATGTAGCAGTATATAGACCAAATCATTTTATCAGCCTAAAAAAAAATGCAGCCTAAAAGAAAAAATTGCAGCCTAAAAGAAAAATTTATAGCCTAAAGAAAAAAATATAGCCTAATTGAAAAATTTTCACAGCCTAAACCTGCTTTTCAAATCCAAAGACGGCTCAAAATCTATACAACTCTTTAGAAAAACCGTATTGGAAATTCAAATGATAATTACCTTCAGCATATGACAATGTATACACACAAATTCTTGGTACTTTAAAGTGTAATGACATAATAATAATTTGTATTTCATATGTCATATTTACCTAGTTTGTATAATCTACGGTATCTATTACTTAAATAACAGCACTTACAACACGAAGCAGAATTCCGGGCTGCCTTAAAAAAAGTTATAAGAGAAAGAAAGGGAGAAAACTAAATGATCAAATTTATTAATCTATAGCAAATTATTTAAAGTGCGAATCACGCTAAAACATCTTCTACAGTAGCTGATTGTAACACTTTTTTGTAGAAGCACATCATCCATTTTTCTACGGATTTGCTCCTTATTGGTCAAAGAAGAGTTATATTTTTCTTATAATGCTTGTTTGCCTTAAATTAACTATACTCATAAGGTTAATCATTATCCTGCTGGTTCTTTAGCTGATTTGTAAGTTGGTCGTATCTTTCTCTGTAATGCGTAGACAAGTTTTATTATAATTAAATTCTTTTCAACAATTGATCTAATGACAGTGCTTGTAAAAGAAAAAAATTTAAAAAGAGGAAAGGAAGGAAAAATAAAAATAAATATAAATAAAAAATTATATGCCGATGGTTGCGTGTTTTATCCACCATGTTGCGTTTTTCCGCAACATGTCGTGGAATTACGCAACATGTTGCGGGTTTCCGCTACCGAGTCCGCGGCTGTGAAAGTTAGTTACCTGGAACCATTTGTTGCTCTATATGGGTTTTATTGATTTTATACAAATTACTAGATAAGCTACACACGATATTCATTGAACTGCATATAAACTGGAAAGACAACTCAGATTGCATAAAAAAAACTCTTATCATTTGTGTGTTAGAGCAAAAAAATATCACAGTCAACGTACAACGTTATCAAGTAAGAATTAAAAAAATGATTTCTGCCAGACTTGAACTGGCGACCGTCTGCGTGTTAAGCAGACGTGATAACCGACTACACCAAGAAACCATATATTTAATACGAACCAACAACAATTATATGACGGTAAATTAAATGTAACAAATCACGTGATATTCACGTGATGTCTAAATTTTGATTGGTTAAACAGGTCGCACATGAATATAATTGAGGAAAATTAGATACGTTAATGAAGGGAGGTTAATGAAATTGTAATCTGCAGCAAGATAACACGAAGAAACCGAAATACAGCAACCAGTAAAATTTTGAATATATTTGTCATGATAACAATGTAAAGGTATCCATAACAATTAAGGTCAATGTAGTCTTCAGAGTGAAGCAAAGGTGAATTATCTCAACTTGAGACCATTCAGCATCATAACACAAACCAATACCGACAAATTATCACTTTAGCAATTACAATGAATTTTTGGGAACTTCAGTCTAGATTTTAGTTCAACATCATCTAGTTGGAACTGCTTTCTAAACTATATATTAATCACGCCATCAACCTAGTTCAACTCATACCAGGAACACAATGCCTTTCCTTGATAATTTTCGAGACACCAACCTCCCAAATTTAAACTACACGTTCAATACCCAATACTCAACATCTCAACAGAATTGAGCTAAACTCAACTCAACCCACTCTATCTTGTTACAAACCACTCACTAGCACTAAAGAAAACCTGAAACTGTAAATATCATCCCTTAAACTGAATTGGATAAAGTGCCTATCATAAATTTTACCTAGAAAATCCATTTTTATATTATCAAGTAATTTAAGTGTTTTATAAGTAACGAGTAAGTTCGTAGTCCATTGGATTCCATTATTACAGAAGAAAGCTACCTGCTCAATATCACTTATCGAAAGCTCGGCTACATTTTTTACGTCTATAAACGCACACGACCCCGCCCATGAAATGTCAAGTTTGTTTGCTTCCATATTAGAAAAGAATCATGGCAGTACCAATTTGACATGCTCATTTGGCAAAAATTCTCTATTTTTTATGGAGGACTGGCCAGTGCCAATACCCAGTATCAAGATATAAATAGAAAGCTAATTCGTAAAATAACTAACTGACACCTTTAGGACACTCAGATAATGTTCCGTGTGGCTGACAGTAATGTTCGTATCTTAAGACATAATTTATTAATCTATGTATTATTTAACTTCGATGGTGATATAACTTAACTAGTTGAAAACTGAACAGCCCACGTACAAATCTAATTTTTTAAGTATTTGTTATACCGATGTTGTAATCACTCAAAAATCTACCTACTTCTTGTTAAACTGGGAGACTGCTCAAATATAATGAATGTTTTCTACGTTTGGAGCAAAATTTGCTGACTCAAAATATAAATGTTTGATTTTTTATAGAAACCTCACAATCGAACCAACTACAACAGTTGGTTAGCGGGAAATACACACTTTAAAATCCAGACAATATGACCCTTTTTTAGCAGTACGACAATATTTGAAGCTTTGTACGTTAGTCAATGGAATTCAGATTTTCGTGAGGGAATTTGTCGAATGCCAGACAAGACAGTACTTTAGTAGAGGTTCTTATGGGGGTTAAAGTGAAAACCCCTGCTTTAGCAAAGGCTTTTTACAAAGCTGATGAATGCTGAGGTTTACCTTATTTTATTTTATTTTTTTTTAAAAAAAAGTCAGCTTTTCCTTTTAATTTATTTTTCTCTCATTTTAAATTCAAAGCAAGGCATGCCGTCTACCTCATTGAAACGAACAAACAGCTTTCGCGATAGCCCGGAGCCTGTGGTAGAAAATTATTAATTATTAAGGGAGGAGGGAGGTTCAAAGGGACATATTCTGACGTTTTTTTTTTGTGTATGGCAGGGTGACAAACCCAAGAAGAATCGAAGGATTCAACGGGAAGTGATAGAGGAAGAAGAGGAAGACGAAGACATGGATGCGTATTCTGAAGAAGAAGAAGAGGAAGAGGAAGAGCAGATTCAACGATCTTCCGGACGAACACTTGAAGATAACGTCGACTTTGATAACATGGTAATAGGAAATAAAAAAAAAGGCACAGGCACTTGCAACATGTCAATTGATTTTGGTTATTTTTTTTTTTTTTTTTTTTTTTTTTTTTTGTTGAAATTTAGGCAATTAATGAAGGTGGCACAATTGCTAGAGTTGAAGTTGTCAATTTCATGTGTCATAAATATTTAAAGGTTGATTTGGGACCAAAGATCAATTTCGTCATTGGCCATAACGGAAGTGGAAAGAGTGCCATTTTGACGGCCATTACACTTGCTTTGGGTGCCAACGCCAGTTCAACTAATCGTGGAAGGAATATTGGGTCCTTTATCAAGGAAGGCATGAGGTAAAAACAAGAAAGAACGAAAACAATACAATCGCTGACGAGTTTGGAATTTAGCGTGGCTAATATCACGATTCATCTTACCAACGGCGGACATCGACCTTATAAACCAGAACTATACCCTGGCATCATTGTCGTTGAACGTCGATTGAATAAAGAGGGTGCCTCGCCTTACAAACTTAAGAACGCGTCTGGTAAAATAGTATCGTACAAAAAGGAAGAACTTGTGGCCATCCTGGATCATTTCAGTATCTTGGTCAACAATCCTTTGACCATGCTGACCCAGGATATGGCCCGAAAATTTCTTAGTGATAGTACGGCAGAGGATAAGTATAAGCTCTTTATGCATGGCACTCAACTATCCCAACTAAAGGCAGACTTTGAAACGGTGCGCGAGAGTTTGGATACTGCTCATATCACCTTGGAGCGTAAAAAGGAAGGCCTTCCCATATTACAGGAAAAGGCGAACGAAGCGCAACGTCGATACGAGGATTTACAACAAGCTAGAGATGTCACCACTCAAATTGATGAATTTAACAACGAGCTGGTGTGGTCACAAATCATTCTTAAGGAAAAAGCTGCTGAAAAACTTAAACGCGATGTACTTACTGCCGAAAAAAACTTGAGCGATATGAAGGAGCAATACGAAGGTCAAAAATCAAAAATTGACGATGTTGTAAAGAAGATTGAAGATGTACAGAACGAATGGGATATTCATAAAAATGTGCCCGATCCTGATGCTGACGAAAAGAAGGCATTGCTGGAACAAAAAGTAGGCATGGAAATTCAAAACAGGGAGTTCAAGGTATAAAAAGCGAAAGAATTGTACATGTATAATATAAAACTTATCTTTTCAAACAAATAGGATGAACTTACCGATATTAATGAGCTTATCAAAACTACAAAATTAGCCAAAGAGAGACAGGAGGCCAATTTAAAGATCCAAACAGATAAACTTGAAGCATCCACTAAAGTTAAGCGTGACGAGATTCTTGAGGAGATCAAAGGAGCAAAGGCAAAGATCGAAGAAAAAACAGAAAAGGGTAAGGAGCTCAAGATCCAATTTAGCGATCTCGAAAATCAAATCAGGACAACCAAAGATAGCCGTGGACGTCTGTTAAACGAATCCAAGGATATTAGAACAAAGATCGAGGATTACCGTAGACAAGTAAACCAATTAGAGTCGCAACGGGGTGATAGTATGAAAGCATATGGTTCAAATATGCCTCAGGTTTTGGATGCCATTCGTCGTGAGACACGGTGGAAAAAGCGAAAACCTGTTGGTCCTCTTGGATCTACGCTGAAATTATTACAGCCTCAGTATGCCGAAACATTGGAAATCTTTTTTAAAAAGACATTAAATGCATTTGTCGTGGAGTGCTTCGAAGACAAACATTTATTGTTTAGTATCCTGAAAAGAGCAAGAATGGAACAAACCCCAATCATGGTGTCTGGATATGACATATTTGACTATTCTTCCGGTGAACCAGATTCTAAATACATGACCGTACTTCGTGCACTCAAGTTTGAAGATGAATGGGTGAAACGTCAATTAATCATTTCCAACAAGATTGAAAAAACACTTTTAATGGAAGATCGTGCAGAGGCTGACAATGTTATGTTACAAAGACCCAGAAATATCCAAATGTGTTTCACGAGTTCTGGCCACAAGGTTGGTGGCCAATCCGGCATGAAGACTGAATCTCTGGATTCTTATCGAGGTCCTCCCAGATTCCAAACAGATATCGATTCACAAATTAGAAAATATAAAGATGACATCGAAGAACTGCAACAGATATATGAAGAGAACGAGGCGAATATGAGAAATATTACCAATCGTATCGCCGAACTCGAAAGGAGACAAAGGGCTTGCCGTAATGATGAGAATGCCATTGAGACAGGAATTAGAAAGTTATACCGTTACATTGAAGATAGGGAAGATACCCTCAAAGAAGAAGATCCTGTGGATTTATCTCTATTTGAGGAAGAGATCAATGAGTGTAATGAAAAGGTCAAGAATTATGTTCAACAATTCAAAAGCATCAGTGCACAGCGTAGTGTAGTCGTTGAAAAATTAAAGGAGGTAGTCAAGAAACTTCGATTGATCGAGCAAAAGGAAGCAGGAAGAGATGAAGTGTCCCAGGAATATCGTACCAAAGTCAATAAGTTGCACGAATTAAAAACAAAGCTCACTGATAAGTTGGAGGAACTAAACGCCCAAAAACTAACAGCAAAGTCTCGTTATGAAAGTCGCAAAACGCTTTTGGCTGAAGCTGAAAATCTTGTGCGTACCTGGATCCAAGAATGTCAAGAAGACTATCCTGACCGAGTCGATACTGAAAGAGAGCCCCATGTTATTGAAATGGAAATCAAGCGTTTGCAAGGTATCGCCTCTCGTATTGAAGACCAAGTCGGCATTAGTGTAGAAGAAGTCGAAGCTTTAACAATTTCTACATGTTTTGCTTGGGATGAGGCCAAGGTAGTGATTAAAGGTATGGAGAAGCTATTACGTTCTTTACGAAAAATGCTTGAAAAACGTCTCCTTAAGTGGGAATCTTTTCGTGGTTACATGTCACTTGCAGCCAAACAGTATTTCAGTTATTATCTTCATTTAAGAGGTGATGAAGGTACGCTTCGGTTTAATCATGTCACAAAACGATTGGATATTCGTGTATCTACAGGCGATCAATACAGTAAGGGCTCGCGTCAAAAAGATTCAAGATCTCTCTCTGGTGGCGAGAAATCGTTTTCTCAAATCAGTTTGTTGTTATCATTGTGGCAGAGTATTTCCTCGCCTATTATCTGGTAGGTCTAATAATAACGTATCAATCAATTTAAATTCTAATTTCAATCGTTAGTCTTGATGAATTCGACGTGTTTATGGATGCTGTGAATCGTAAACAAACCATGAGCATGATTGTAAGTATTGTTATAAAAAATGAGTAAAAATTAATCTATTTAACCCTCTCCCACTTAATTTTCGATGAAACAGATGAACGCAGCAAATGATAATTCCTCGCAGTATATTTTAATTACCCCACAAGGTAAATCGATACTATTGTACACACACAAAAATTCATTAATTAACCTGTAAAAAAATAGATGCTACTGGTATCAATCCTGGTAAATTCGTAACAGTGCACAAGTTGGCCGACCCTGACCGCCGGGATTGAGGTTTTTAATCCCTTTTATATATACGATTTTAAAAATTATATGTTCTCTTTCGCCATAACCTACTGACTAGTCCGTTTGAAAAATAAATAAATACCATAAAAACATTTAAATGATGATTTGGTTCGGCATTGAAAAACACGGATAAATTAAACTATGAATATTTCATTCCTTAGCCAAACCATGTAAACAGATAATCCTTGATTCTTAAAAAATCAACACTCTATCAATGTTGATCAATTGCTACCAACGACAGATTTATAGAAACGAAAAGTAAGAAACTTGGCCAATGCGATGGATGATTAATTTTTTTTTTTCGCTGTAATGTATAGGTATAGCATGTCATAAAAGAAAAATAATACATTAAAATAGCTATGGCATCAATAATGCTCCTCCCACAGTTGTTGATGTATTGATCCAGAAAGAATAACCACAATAAAGTTCATTTGATATTAAGAGCCTAATAATAATAACAATAATAATAATAATAACAAAAAACTTTATTCGGTTGGAACTGGTACAAACCCTGCATGAGGGTTTGACATGACAGCAATCGTTAAAAAAGTTTGGTAGTACGAGTTATCTTTTGAGCTGTATCCATAAAATAAGCTCTTCTATTTAATATGAATTTTTGTACGAGCGATTATGATTAAATGTAATGCGCTTAACTCTAAGTAAAGGATTTTCATGCTTATAATACTTGTGATCACACGCACAGCTATCTTATTATGAAATAGCTGCCATAAAGGGGGAGGAGGCGGTATCTTAAAAAACAAGGTACACGATTATTTAGTTGATGATTTATTTCTCGCACGTATTGGATACAGCGAGGCGATTTGTGTAAAAACCCGCTGTCAAGAGAATGGATGCTGTGAAAAGAATTTCATCAGATAAAGAGCCATTGTGGTCAAGTCTTATAGTGGATCCCTACTTTAAAAAAAGAAAAAACTTTTAAGAGGTTCCTGTCCTCCAAAATAAAATTCACACATGTCAGCATAAAAACCCCACAATAATAAAAAAAAAGACCGGATTTTTAAAAATATAATGCCTTTTAGTCATCTTTTGATTTTCCTTTTTCCTTTCTTAAACAATACTTTAAATGATGAATGGTGATGACTCTTGCGGTGGTGTAAACCCCATGGCTCAAATGCTTAAACAGTTTGGTCAAGATCGTTCGCTTCAAAGAGTAAGTTCCCTCTTTCTTAACACCTTTTTGGCAAATTTCTAACTTTTACATAAAACAAAAGGATCAATTCGCAGGACCTTCTCAACACAATGCCGGACCTTCATCCGTAAGTATTACAAATAAAGGAGGGGGGGTTGATCTGCACAAGAAACTCATGTCATGGTAGATGCGTACACAAAGACAGCAAGGTTTTCCTCAAGGTGCCGGAGGAGACATGGTGAACGAATTCTTTGGCCAAGAACAACAACAACAACCTCAAAGAATGGGTATGCAGAATAATTTTGAATTCTCAGCATTACAAAGAGAGTTGGATGCAGTACGACAGGTGCCTTGGGCCAACGAATTTGGTCATGCAACACAAGCAGGTCCTAAACTTTGGGAATTGACACCCGGAGAAGAATCCGCCATGGAAAAGGCCTTTTTGGAAAGTAAAGCTGCTGCTGGTCCAACCCAAAGCGCATCAGGTAAAGTCATATGTGTTTATGTAAGAAAAAAAAAAAAAAAAAAAAAAACTGACTGTTTTTTTTTAAAAAAAAAAAGTATGGCGAGATGAGTTTATGAAGCATCCTGAGGTCAGTAACATGAATCCAGCACAATTGGCTGAATTCGAAACTGCCTTTGAGAAACACTTTGATTGGGCCAACGAATTTGATCTTCATCAAAATAAGGGTAAAGGACGCCTTGAATTAAACAACAATGCTCCCTGGGAAGAGCAATTCGCTGCATTTGATCAACTCTCTGAAGAAGAAATGGCCCGCAAAGTAGAGGAGGCTGCCGCTGCTCAAGATCCTGCTTTTGACCAATTTGAAAACGTTTGGCAAAACATTCGGGATCAAATGGCAGAGGATAATGACTGGGAGGATGAATTTGGAAACTTTAATAATACAGGTGTCATCTATAAACCGGATTTGGGTGAGTATGTATTTGAAGTTGGGAATCCATACTTGAATCATCAAGATCCTATGGCTGTTGGTTTGCGTCTGTTAGAAGAAGGCGGCTCATTGAGTCAAGCTGCTTTAGCCTTTGAAGCCGTCGTGCAAAAAAATCCTGCTGATTCCGAAGCTTGGATGCATTTAGGTAATGCTCAAGCTCAGAATGAAAAAGAGGAGCCAGCTATTCGTGCTTTGGAAAGAGCGATCGAGGCAGATCCAGGAAATCTACAAGCTCTCATGTCGTTGGCTGTCAGTTACACCAATGAATCCTACGATCATGCTGCTTATCAAATCTTAGAACGTTGGATCACCCAGAAATACCCCCATGTGGTGGGGCATCAACCATTACCAAATGCTACGTCTCCCTTTGAACTTCACGATAGAGTTACGGACTTGTTTTTGACAGCAGCCAGACAAGCTCCAGATGGACAATTGATGGACCCTGATGTACAAGTAGGATTGGGTGTTTTGTTCTATGGAAGTGGAGAACTTGATAAAGCCGTTGATTGCTTTGTAGCTGCATTAAAGGGTCGTCCTAATGTAAGTTTTTTTTTATCGTGAAGATGCCAAGTGGTATACTAATGTGTACATTTTAGGATTATCTATTATGGAATCGTATGGGTGCTACCTTGGCTAATAATGCCCGTCCTGAAGAAGCAATTGATGCATATCACAAGGCACTTGAGTTACGTCCCTCTTTTGTCCGTGTTAGATACAATATTGGCGTGAGCTGTATTAACATTGGCTGTTATAAAGAAGCCGCCGAACATTTCTTAACAGGTCTTTCCATGCATAAACGAGGTAACGGGGATGCGGAAGAAGGTGTGAATGTATCAAATAACTCTTGGGAAATGTTACGAAAGGCTTTCATTCAGATGGTAAATAAATATGTAATAGACATGTCAAAGGAAACACTAACTTTTTTTCTCTTTAGGATCGTCGTGATTTGGCGGACAAGGCAGTGGTTGGAGCAGATCTGAATCAATTCCGTCCAGAGTTTGATTTTTAACTCGTGTTTTTTGTTGTGTATTTCTAGGGAGGAAAGCCCAAATAAATAAAATAAGTTGTAATCCAACATGATATAAAATCTAGCCATCAAACAATGGTTCAAATTACGCAATACTGCGTTTGGATCTTAGATGTTTACGCAAATTGATTGCAATATGATACCAGGATTATACTTACAAAAAGGAGGGGGATGAACAGATCAGGTTTCAAATATGCATGTTGCACAATATTTGTCTCCTTGGAGACAACAATCGAGATTACTATTGATCAGTCAGTGCTCTGATAAAGTCGGCATCCCGGACAAACATTAGGGGGGATATATATTTTCCCTGCTCAGATCAGAACCAATTTTATTTTCCACCCATTTGAATCCAAGCTTTCCATCCAAGAGTCACATGCGACGATCTTTACCCCCCTTCAAGGTTTAAATAGCCCCAATTTAATTGAGCCTGATAACTATGGCTAATTTACATGTCAATCAACACTGGTATTCTCATCGGACTGTCTGGTTTTAATATTAACTTGTAATTATTTATCGTAGCATAACAGTTGGCTAACCATTCATGTCGTACACTGCTGTTAAAGCAACAGCAGTTTATATATGTAAAAAAAAAAAAAGAATATTACAGTCAGATGCCACAGGTATAAATTAGCTAGGCATAGTAAGCAATCGGATTATATTCGAATCAGGGAACTATTCGATATAAAATGACTATTCAAGGAGAGGAGGAGAGTTCTTTCCCAAGTTTGAAAATACATTGCATGATAAGTGATTGTAATACGAACTGTGTCGTGTTTTTGCAATATTGTATTGCCGAGACCAAGGAATACGTTTGGGGGAGGGGGGGGGGATTTAGGGAGAGGGAGAGTAGCTATTTTCCAACTGATTACTGGAAATCCAGACAAAATTACAAAAATAACTTTTTTATTGGGTGATAAATCCTTTTTTTAGACTTTTTTTTTCTCCTCAATGCTGGGGTTCTCTCAGATGGAAATAATGCAAAGGTGAATGATAATCAGAAACAGGCACGTTTTTTTTTCTTTCTGTAGCTCTATAAACTATCATTCTGCTTTGACTCTCTTTCATACAACATGTAGGATTTAAGAGGACGGGATAATTGATGTTTATAGCCGCGCTTTTTAATTACTTCATTTCAGAATTTTGAGTGGCGAATGTTGGGGTTAATATTCATTTGATACTCTCGCGCGTTTGAAAATAATTTTGGATCAGAAAACATGGTATTTGTATGAGAGCGATATCATTTTGAGCAAATGTTAGTATCAGATTCCTTATGATTAATATTGAAGATTTCTTTTTTATGATTTAATACTGTTTGTGATTATAAAAAACAATTGATTGCAGAAGGAGAAAGATGTCAATGTATTATAGTCAACAGTAATTAAAACTGGAAAGTTTTTTTTGAAAGAAAGAAAGACCACCCAATTGAAAAAAAAGCTAGGCATCTTTATTATTGATGGAGGATTACAAAATTTACGTACTCAGAGCGACCTGAACCGCGGGTGACAAATCCACGTTATTATGCGCTGATTGGTAAAGAAAAGCGCATGTTGTACAAAAAAGATATTCTTTTCCCAATAATCATGGTTACTTGTAAGACTATCACCACAGTAACTGATTGTTGAAGCATTTGTATACTTTTCTAATAGGTACCTGGTTAAAGAGTTTTTTTTTATTTTTTTCGGGATACAGCCCAATATAAAATACGAAATTTTATTTTGTACATGCAAGTGTTTAATTCATGACTGCCTGTAAAAAAAAGACAATGATTGAATAGGATGTCTGGGAAATAAATATAGTTTTGTCCCACGAAAAAAGAAACTTCCCGAATTTGAACTCAAGACACTGGTACATCTATGATTTTTTGATCATCCGACAGATAAAGGAGAAAGGTGTCATTTAATACCCTTCTTATTTTCTAGTTTTTACACTAAAATAAAACCCAGCATTAAGAAAATTACCATCAGATAAAAATTTGGAGCTTTCTCCAGTTTAAAATATTGACTAATCATTTGGACTCGTGTCCCAAACAATCCTAGTATGACCCAATTTACTCAAGGAGTGGGGGGATAGGAGATATGTGAAGCAAAAAAAAAAGACGATTTTCCTAGCATTTGCAGCTTTTTTTCGGTCCGTTTTTGAATGGTTGTAGTAATTAGTGAGGCTTGACAATGTCACTCCTTAGACCAATATATTCTATTGGCAAAATACGAGTATACACAGAGACATGGTCCGTATTACAAGAAACTCATGTAACATTTATTCAAACTTGGAGAAGTAAAAAAAAAAAAAAAAAAAAAAAAAAAGCCCCCCGTAAGATAATCATATACATACAAGGGCTCCCTGATTCCAATACAACCCAATATTTTATTATACCGCCAACCCTACTAATTATCTTGCATTTGACTGAATTTCCATATATTTCTTGTTTGTAATTTATGACATGTTTGGTGTCAAATGGACACCAGACAGAGCAAGACATTGAATGAATAGGGCTGCTAGATGCAAGAGATTAATATGATTCATTTAAGAGATTAAAAAAGTAATTTCAGGACTACGGTTACACGATACAATCAGATGAAACTTCTCGTATTACACGGGTGTCCCCTCACTCTTTATTTTTATGACCCCAATATGCTCCTATTCTTCTGATTTTATACTCATAGATGGAATACTACTATCGATTATAATCGAGCCCATTAAACCTTGAGGGGATCATCATGCTTGACGTTTTGATGGAAGCTTGGTTTTGAACTCAAAAGGTGGGTGGGTTGGGTTGTGTGAAAAGAACTCGCAGACACAAAAACTCCGTTTAAATAATTTGAAAAACAATTTTATCAGATCTTTTTATTGTAGCACAACCCTTTCCTTCTTTTCCCTAAACCTTCTCTTTTTTCTTTATCATCTTTTTTTCTTTTCCTCTTTTTTTTTTTATTTACAAAAAACTTGAAAATCAATCGATAACCGGACACTTTTACTTATAATCTTTACATACACAACTACTACTTATAACAACAATGTCAAAAATCAATCATTACAACTATGTCCCCGCCTGTCCAGATGTTGAATCTGCTTCGAGGTATTATTTTATATTATTTTTTTGCAAGGGTAGATTTATTGTGATATCTAACTTTTTCTCTTATTATTATGCCAACCAGTTCTTTCTCTTTGATCACTCGTCAACAGCCTATCCATGCTCGTATTAGTACAAACAACGAAAGAGGTAAAATATTCAAACCTTTTTTTATTTTTACTTTTTTCCGTTATTACAAGGCTGGGCACTCTTATTTACACAATTTTTTTTATCTTAGATCGTCGACCAATAGATCCACCTCCCATCGTTCAAATTAGATTGAATAACTCTACTCCGCAACAAACTGAGTATGTACTACCCTTGATCATCTAAGAAATTTTTGTTTATCTGATTTTTTTTTTTTTCTTAGCACATTTCACCAAAATTCTTATTTTTATATGTGCGCCAATTTAGCTCATCCAATCGATGACGATGAAATTTACACACCCACTCACAATGCCCTGTCTGGTCAAACAGTCTCTTCCATGTACAAGCTTAAAGATATTGACAACCATGGTATGTTAGCTTCATTATATTTTTTCTTTCTTTCTTACTAACTCTTTAAACTTAGATGGCGCCTTCTTTATCTTTGGTGATCTCTCTGTCAAGGTGGAAGGAAACTTTCGGTTAAAGCTTTCGTTATTTGAAATTACTTCTACAGGTGCTGTCTGCCTCCAACACTTATTCACTGGTCCATTTACTGTTTACGCTACCAAAAAGTTCCCCGGTATGCTTGACTCTACCTTCCTGTCAAGATCTTTCTCTGACCAGGGTGCTCGTATCAGAATTCGTAAAGAAAACCGTGCCCAAGTGTAAGTCATACCTTATATTTATATTCATCTTTCATTTGAACTAAATGTTATATTTAGTCCTAATGCCTCTTGTCGCAAAAGAAAGCTTGAAATCCATACTGAACAGTACATTCTGGCCACTCCTTCTCAGCCTAGCCCCATAGCCCCTTCTCCTCTTACATTTATTGATACCTTAAACCCTGGCGGTTCACCTTCTTATTATGAAAGAAGAGGTAGCATTACCAGTAGTGGTACAGAAAGCACAAGCAGTAGTGAAGGCAGTCCTGTGATGGCACACTATTCTCCACCTCGAGTATCTTTGCACTCACCCCAGCAACAATCCTATGATAAATTATTTGCGTCTCCTTCTTGTTACTCTTTATATCCCTCTCCTCCTCTTTCCCACGTGACAAGTTTCAACCCCACTGTAAAGCTGCCACCTATTCGAAACCTATTTTCGCTTGATAACCATAACAATAAGCGACAGAAGACAACGACGGAAGAAGACGCTGTTCTTGCCATGATGCAATTATCTCAGGATTCCCCTCAAAGATTCATCTAAAAACCCTCTTTCTTTTTTATTCTTCCCTTTTTATTTTTTCATATTAGAATTCTTACTTTTTATTTAATCTTGTAATATCATTCCACACCCACTTCCCATGTCAACTATTTTTTTCTCCTCAAGAAGAAAAAAAAAATTACTCCCTCTCACAACAACTCCATATCCTTCATTTCATTACTTGTATTATAACCTTTCTTCTCAACTGCACTATTCTTTTTTTTTCTCTTCTGTTAAATATATTCCCTTCTTATCTCAATTAATTTTTAATTTTTTTTTTACTACATGATTAATTAAAAAAAGCCGTAGTACATAAATTTAAATAGCTCTATTATTAAATTTCTTCGATCAGGCCTTGTCATTTTGCATTGATGTGTAGCTATTGTACAAGGGACACACTAGTCCAAATGCTACATTTTTTTCTTTAAAAGGTACACGAAACAAATAAACAATCCTCTAAAGAATGGTATATTTGCAACGTGATCTCCCAATTATAGTAATCTTTAGATGCTTTTTACATATCAATAGCGTTTGACAAATTTAGTAGGTATAAATATTCGCACTTTTTTTTTTTCTTACTTCTCTTTTTCTTTCTATCGTCTTTTTTTTCCTAAAATACACACAGCAACAAAAAGAATGGCCGTACCCGCTCTACAATTCTACTGGCTAACTGGTGGGTTCTTTTTGGGCATGTTCTTCATGTATAACTTGATGCCATTCCGCACCAATGTTCAAAAGGCACATGGTCGACATCACGCCCGAGCTGATACCAACCCTATATTAAAGTTCGGTAACCCAGGTAATTACTCATTTTCTCCTGCTTTTTTTTTTTTTTGGCTGTTCTTTTTGTCTTTTTTCTAAACCTAAAAGATAGGTCCTGTCGCCGATCTACTCGAAAGAACTGCATACACCGCCTCCTTCAACCGTAAAGACCGAATTCCTCATTGGGTGGGAGAACACCTTACAGCGCAAGGTATTATCAAGGGCGATGGCGTAACAAGAGATAGTTCCAGTTTTGTAGGTGATCCAGCTATTCCTGCCTTGTTTCGTATCACCACCAAGGATTACACTTACAGTGGTTATGATCGCGGTCACATGGCACCTGCAGGCGACGCTGGTGCAACCCAGGCAGGTCTTGACCAGACATTTTTATTAACGAATATTGCACCTCAAGTGGGTGTTGGATTCAATCGTCAATACTGGGCTTATTTAGAGACTTTTGTTCGTGACCTGACCAAAAACTACACTGACGTTTATGTGTATACCGGTCCCTTGTTTTTACCCACCGTTGATAATGCGGCCGGTGCCACCGGTAGCAGTGCTGAATATGCTTTTGCCGGTGCCAAAGTGACATTTGGAGACGACGGAATTCAAAAGAGAGCTACATCTAACAGCAACAAATACACCATGACATACAAGGTGATTGGGGATACGACGGCCAATGTAGCTGTACCTACGCATTTCTTCAAGATTGTGTTGTCGGTCAAGGATGGCAAATACACCTTGGGTGCATTTGTGTTGCCGAATCAGGCCATTGATAATTCCGTCCCACTTACAAGCTTCCAGGTGGATTTGCAAGCGATCGAGAAGGCATCTGGTCTCTTGTTTTTTGATACATTAGATAGAAGTACATTTTTAAAGTTATGCGATGCTGTATCATGTGTTGTAAAATAATTTTTTTTTTTAAATTAATTTAATAAAGAAATAGATAGTAGCGCGCATATTATATTTACTGCTGCTGTTGATTATGATTAGCCTTATCTTCAAACTCTATACGTTTGTTGGGTGAATTATATAAGGTAGTAAAGATACAAATAGGAAATGAGACACAAGTGGCAAAAATAAGTCCTCGGCTGTACGTATCATCTGGGTTACGAAGTGCGTCCATGACCGTCAAGATAATAAGTCCTAATATTTGGGAGCACATCCATAATAAAGAACTAGAGATAGCTTCACTGATAGGGTATGATGCTATATATATATACAAATATTGTTAGAAAATAGAGATCAATGAAAATTTGCGTTGCACGTGCACTTACATTCAACTGAAAGCTCGAGTGCTACAGGTAAAAGTGAAAAGGTAAAGAATCCCAGGATACAGCAAACGCCCATCATAGCGCTGTAGTTGGCAGATTTGACTAAAATAACGCATCTCTCTTTTTTTTAGTACCTTATATATATAGAAAAAGATGATAAAAATCTTACCAACGAAATAAAAGCCCAAGTAAGCAGCACCAACAATAGGAACAAAGACCTTGAGTACAATCTTGTGACGACCTGTTTTATCAATAAAGATACCAGTGACTATCGCTCCCACAAGACCAGCAATAATAAAGGCAGCACCCAAAAATCCTGCATCGTCCACAGATACACCATACGGTTGTACAATCTGTGTCAAGAGAGAGGTCAAAGCAGATGCCATACCACAAAGAATACCAAAGGAAACCATAATAATTAAATAGTTCCAGTTTTTAGCCAACTGGCCAAGCGACCGACGAAATGGAATAGCAAACTTGTCCTTGGACGAAGCGCTGTGTGAAGGAGGGGTCTTGGGTTTCTTGGGTACGAAAAGAGCGGGTAGTGCAACACCTGTTGTGACACAAGCGATGACAAGGAACTATTTTAAATAATTAGATTACATTAAACCCATATGATAATTTCCTCTTTCAAAACAAAAAAAAAAGTGAGCTTACACCAGTATGAACACTATCAGCTCCAGTGACAATAGCAGGAAGAATAAGCGATGCAACTGCCATACCAACCGAATTTGCTACATTTAAAAGAGACATTTATAAATGGCCGGACAGAAAAAGGGTGGTATGTACCATGTTATACTTACTGACACCAGCAATCATACTAGCGGTACCTCGACTGCCCGCGCTGAACCATAACGCAGAATACTAGATGTCCGAGGTTAGGAGATCTATAAGTCTGTATTTCAATCATGTCATACTTACAGGAGTACAAATATTTAGAATAAAAGGTTGTCCAACCGCACATACCACCTAGACCCAAAATACAAAAAAGTTAAATCAAAACAAAAACGTAGGGTTATGGTGGTGTGTCAATTCTATACCTGACCAAGCATGGCTAAAGCAAATCTACCTTTGGGATCATGAATAAATGATGAGAAATATCTCAACCAAGCACCAATGGCCTGTAACACAGCACCAATGACCAACTAAATAAGCAAAAAAGTTGAATTAAGTAAGCATAATATATAAATCAAAATAAATCATGAAAAAACTTTACACCCATTTTGATATTCCAATGCTCATAAACGTAACTGGAAAGTGGACCAGCCACAAGATAAACCAGCATGAATACGTTGGAAAACCAATTGACAGCCGTTAAGCCAATACCGCCGAAATAACTGTTAGAATAATCTGGGATAGGTGCAACTGCGAGCCAATTTAAGGAAGAAGCGATATTACATAAAGCAATCACGGTTAGACCAAAGAAACGGATCTTGTAAGTCTTGAATCCCGTCGGCATGGCTTCTACATCCTCATGCCATGATTCATCGTCGATTTTTGTTCGAGATTCCATTTTTCAAAAAAAAAACACACACAAAATAAATAAAAAGGGAAGCGGAAAAAAAAAACCAAGACTTTTGCATTTGACGAAGTACAGGATCATAATTTTATATTTTTTTTTAAAAAAAAAGCATTCACACAATAAAAATATTCTCTTTTTGGGTTTTTTGTGTATCACGCAGTGTGAATGTTTATAAAATTTTAAATCAGCGGAGATCAATGATATCCAATGTGCAATGTGAATCCAACCTGATATGCCCACTGTTGTCCTATTTTAAAAAAATAAATTAAACATTAGTAACTATGATACTGCTTTATTCAAGGATTCACTTTTACTTGGTAAAGTATCGAACTATCTGAATGTGGATGAAAGGATTCCTGGATTCTGCAATTGGTGATCTCTTGTAAACCATCCGGACTTGTTAAACGGAATATACCAAAACTTTAAACTTTATAATTAGTATCACGGAATAGACAGATTGACATATGTTTCTATTTACTCAGGGGTTTGCTTTGGCGCACAGACAATGGCAATAGCCTCTGGTAACATGAGCTGATAAGAACAATGAGTATGTAAATCTACCGAACTTAAAAAGCATGTTTGGGATGGATGCGTCTATTTTAAAAAGGGGAAATGTTGAATACTCGTTGAAAGGGACTATAAAACTCTTTTTTTTTTTAAAAAAAAAAAAACCTACATGGATCCAGCCTAGTGTCAGTAATCCATGATTGTCTTGGTACTCAAAAATCGCTTCTTCATTTCTTGTAATGCATGTATCACTCGTGCCCTCTTGATTCGGTATTAACAAAGATGTCACAAACAACTCATTATTTTGCTAATTTATCAATCAGTTTACTAAAACTAAAAAAACAAAACAAAAAAATAGCCACAAACCAATTTTCCACTAAGTATACCGCAAGTCTCGATATTTAGACTGGTATTATACCTTGCAACATTCAAAAAGTTTTCTTTGATACATACGGGAACGTGAATATTACGTAACATAGCTGTCAATTCATTAGTTTTAACACCCTGTTCTTTTTAGAAAAAAAAATTATTCTTACTTGGCTCGAAAAATGTTTGAGTATCCAAGTGAGGCTCTTGATTTGAATATTCTCGAATTTTGGGTGGCAGAGGTGGTGGTATGTCATGATTTAATTTAATTTTAGGTGGCAATGGTGGGGGAGGTAATTGCTGCTCTTGCTTCTTATTTAATCTATGGGTATCAGTGAATTGCTGTTGAGATGAGAATCTACAGGATATATAAAAAAAAAGGTTCAATAATTACGACATATACATTTTCATTTTTTATAAGAAAATTCAATATTACTTTCTAGGTACAGGTGTATACTCCCATTCCATTGGGGTTGGCCTAGAAATTCACGCTTAAAAAATTAAAATGATATCTGGTGGAGCTCAACCCGTGTATATGCACTTACTCGGTGTAATATGTAACATTGTATTCTGGGACCTTGTGAGAATCAGGGTCAGGTTGCTTCGTTGAATGGAATAATTTATAGCTTTCATGAACCGCTTCGATGGATGGTTTTAAGGATTCAATCGTATCTAGGGCCTCTATACATGTCTTTGAAAAGAAAGAGAAAAGAAAGTGTTAGATTTTCAAAGTAATGCTTGATCAGCGATCTACCTTGACCACCATTTGATCGGAATCGTTGAACCCAGGACGTAGACTTAGTTCGTTTAACAGCAAGCTTAATCGTAATGTTTAGTATATAAGTAATGTCAATTGTATACATGTATTGCTCACTTGATATATTTAAGGTAGTAAACATAGGCCTGTTCCTCATTCTCCTCTTTGAGGTATATGCGTGCTTGCTTCAGTAACAGGTTTGCTGAATTGACATAAATGTCGGTGGGTATACAAGGATCGGTGTGTACTCTTGCCAATAAATTCAATTCGGTGATAGATTTCGGGGCTGTCGACGATGATGAGGATGGGGACATTTCTAATTTCTTCTTTTTTTGGAGTAATCTAGGGAAAGAGAAAAACCAGTTGCAGCCAAGAGATCCTTTCTTCGTCGTCAATGCACCGCCGTCTCGAATTTCAACCCCGCCAAGTTTTACTGGGCTAATCATGCTGCTACTGAACCGGCTGAGTGTCACTTTGGCTAATGCTGTGGTAGAGTTTTTTCGAACATCCATGGAGGGAAGTATTTTATCCTGTTTTTAAGAAATTATATAACCCCTCTCCTGCCCTCCCCACATTGACATGCAAATTTTTTTCTTTTTGTTGAAAGGGGGGGGGGATGCACTGCAAATATTTGTTTGGACGCCCGTTGATGCTGCAATTAATATTGCCAAAACTGGTGACAGTCTCTAACTTGGACACTTTAGCTAGCCACTTGTTTATATATATATATATATGTAATTAATTATACATTGACTGTAAGTTATAAAATGTAATAAAAGAGAAATGTAAGGAAAATTGACACAGATTACAGTTGTATTTTATCTGAAAGCTAATCGGCATTGGTGAGATTTGTATCACTTCCTTTAACAATATATTAATATTACGGGATTATAACAAGTCATCCAAGAGACTTGATTGATTAGAAGCAGTTTTTTTTTTTGATATTGATCTAAAAGTAAAATCCTCCAAAGAGAGAGGAAATCCAATGTCAAATACCTAAAAGTATATATTTATTCTTAAAGGCGGCTGCTGGATTGAAGTGAACGGCAATACTAAAACTTGAAAATGTACCCAGTGTTTAATTCTTTGTTTTCTTTCTCTCGTGCTTTGATTATTTTCCATGACTTTTGAGACCACATAGGTAATTAACATCAAGATTTTTAGTATGAGTGATCAAAAGAAGGTTATTTATAAATAATTTTACGGGGGAGTTTTGCTTGATCAAAATCTTACATTACTTCTTCATACTCACTGTCTACTTTTGCTTGTTAGCACTGCATCGAGACGAGACTTTTTCTTATTTTGTCAGATCAACAAGTTGTTCAGGTCCATTCATTTTATTAGAGTCTTATATGATGAATAACTAGAACAACAATAAGAGGTCATGGTATATACTTTATCATTCGTTTTCACCCATTACATTGTAAAGCTTTGAACTCCCAAAAAAAAAAAAAGTTTATATTTACATAAAGCTTTGTGTTTCAACCCACAGATTCAGTTGTTTTACATGTAGGGAGGATCGATTTGGTTTCTTGGCTAGCATCATAATGTGATGTATCTTATGAGTAGCACTGTAAAAGTTGTATATTTTTAGTTACTATCTATTTTATTAATGGAACCTTATTAGAGGTAGAATGTTTTGCGTGATGGAGAGCTCGTCATCTTAACATGAAGGCTTTCAAGTACTTGCGTTTACAATGCAAAAAAATCCCTATTAAAAAAAAAAAAAAAGAAGGTAATGTATTAATCGCTTCGTATAGAGATTCTCAGTGGTAAAGAGTAAGAAAGAGCCAAATGTGTTTTTTTTGAAAAATAGCCAAGTGCTACGCAAAATGCTGCAATTACCATAGAAATTTCATGCTGACATCAAAATATGCAAGTAGCACTGATTTAAGAAGAGCACACACAGCCTATCAAAAAATAGACTCATTGTTATGCATGTTTATATTTTGTTCAAAAAGGGGAAATAGATGCTTCTTATTTTTGCCACATTCTTAATACACCGGGGGTAGGGGGGAATTTTGCTTCATGCTTCAAAAAAAAAAAAAAAAAAAAGCCACCCTTTCTGGGTTTCCAAAGTATCGGTAAAGAGTAGATGCATGGGTTGACAGCAATGATGGAACTGTAACTCTGTTGTCTAGATGTTAAATGCAAGATACGACTTTAGCATTACATGACATACATGTATTGACACGGGCATGTGGAAAGAAAAGGTAAAAAGTACAGAAGAAAAAAGATTAAGAAGTAAAAGCTGTAATCAATGGACAATCAAAAAGTAAATGGTTGCACAAGAATAACACATGTTGCACCCGAAGAAGTCTTACTGAACAACCCCCTTTACACTAAGAGAAAAAGAGGGGGACTATGTTTTCTAGAAAAAAACAACAACAACAATGCACGAACATTTCGTTATGCAATGTGATATTTGGTGTAGCATGTCATGAAAAAAAACCATATCAATGCAGTGAAAAGTCAGGTTGTATCTCCAAGTAAATTAGGTGGGGATCCAATCCAGCATGAATCTTAATTCGTTGATAGACTCACTTACAAGCTAATGCTCCCAACCACAATCGATGGTGAATCAGGTTGGTCTTCTCTAATTTACTTACAAAGAACAGTCATGACTGTGTTTGGTTTTGAGTTTTTTGTATTATCTTTAACCATCATGGCTAAAACTACATATACGCCTAAACATATATGTATGGTTTATAACTCCCTTTTTTTAGACTCAAATGTAAAATCTACCAACAATTGTTATTAGATCAAGATATTACACGCAGACAACACAGCCACGCCCTTTTTTTATTTATTTATTTATAGGCAGCAAGAGAAACTAGTGACGTCCCAATTTCAGAATTTTCTTGGCCATCCTAATCAATAAATATCTTGGGTTGTAGTCCAAACCTATTTTCGTTCATTGTCACACGGCTGTGGTTGCGGGTTTCAACATGGCACTTCATGGCAGAATTCCAAAATTGGGCAATGTACGTCATCTTGACACGCTTAATGGACAGTAAGCCTTAGTCGCTTTATGAATATAATTTTTGTGCATATTTTATATGCCATATGCTGTTTGAGCCTTTTTTTTTTTTTTTTGTCAGTAAAATTCCAATACAACCTTAAAAATAGATTACAATAAGATGCAGCACGAATGACCCGGAATATTTATAAATACTTGCTTTTTTTGTTGTTCCTGAAAAAATAACATGTTCTCCTATTGTTTATGAAAATTTCTTATGATTGTTTGTGTTGTACCAGCTTTAATAAATATTTACATGTTTTTTTTAAACCTCAGCAAGCCTTGCTCCAACCTGATTTTTTTTTTTTTTTTTTTTTTTTTTCACTCCTCTCTCTTTTCCATTCATTCATTGAGCGCTTAATTGATTTCATATTTGTTGTGTGTGTTTTATTTTACACTCCACAAATAAAGTTTTTTTTTTTTATTATTATTATTTTTTTATATTAGACACATTTAATAATTATTTTTCCGTAACGACATAAACTATGACCAAAGAAGGCGGCCAGACGACAGCCGTACAAGTAGGCAAGTAGAGTTGTTTTCTCCCCCTTTTTTCTCCCTCTTTATGAGTGTTGTGTATATATATAAAAAAAATAACCCAGAAAAATAAACCAAAAACCCCAAACCATAAAAACAATAGCACTACGAATTCGACCATTAACAGATCGTGATCGAGCTCAACCAAGATTTGCAAATCTTGCCCATGACGACGTTTTAAAAATTCATGAAAGTACAGTACAAGTTGTACCTCAAAATAAACTATTTACATTTGATCATGTATTTGGAACAACAAGTACCCAAAAAGAAATCTTTTCGGCACTAGGTGATAATCTTATTCGAAAATTCGTTGAAGGTACATTTTTTTTTTTCAGGCACAATAAAAAAAAAAAAATACTTATATAGGAAAAAAATAGGTTACAACATCACGATTCTTGCCTATGTAAGTTCGAAATTGTAACTCACCACATGATTTTTATATATATATATATATTTATAAAGAGTATGATTAGGGTCAAACATCCTCTGGAAAAACCTATACCATGGGCACAGCAGCGGATGGCGGACATAATACAACAGACGAAGGCATTGTGCCTCGATCCATGGCACTTTTATTCGACCTACTCCATAACAACGACACCAGACCTCTCTCACCCACTTCTTCCATCTCCTCCTCCACCTCCGCATCCAACAAAAGCAGCAGTCGATTATTACGACCCAAATCCAAACTAGGCAATCGCAGCAGCCATGTACCGCAAGTCGTGCCACAGCTACCCAACAGCCCACATAAAACAAAATTTACTGTCAAAGTTTCCTTTATTGAAATTTACAATGAGGATTTGCATGATTTATTAAATTCGGCTCCTCTGGAGGAATTACCGCCTATCACTATTCGGGAGGATACAAAGGGACGAATTTATTGGACAGGTGTAAAAGAAGTAACTGTCCATAGCACGGATGATGTTCTTTAGTAAGTCCCCTTTTAGCCCAACTTTTTCCTTCACTATTCGATAAACTAAAAAAAAAAAAATGCATTCCTTTTTTTTATATATATAATTATTATTTAATTAATTTAGTTATCTCGAGCAAGGTACCCAAAATAGAGCTACAGGTTCCACAGACATGAATGAGAAATCATCACGCTCGCATGCGATTTTCTCAGTATCGTTGAAGCAGGAAAAATGGATGCCTTCTTCATCATCAGGAGCAGCTGAGAAAAAACGACCGGCCAGTTCAATGAGCACACGATCGTCCATTACACCCAACACATCCCGTTTACTCACGGGTACTCAAGACGACGGAGAATGGTTGATCACCACCTCCAAATTTCATTTCGTGGATTTAGCGGGCAGTGAAAGGGTAAAAAAACAAAAAAGATTTGAATCCATGGTTTTTTTTTTTTTGGGACATCAACCTCATATATATTTCAATTTTTTTTTTATTTATGCACTATTTAGTTGAAACGAACAGCTGCAGAAGGTGACCGTCGAAAGGAAGGAATTAATATCAATGCAGGTTTACTTGCGTTAGGCAATGTCATTTCTGCACTGGGCGATCCCTCCAAGAAAACTAAAGTCCATATCCCATACCGCGATTCTAAATTAACCCGACTTTTACAAGATTCCTTGGGCGGGAGTGCAACGACTTTAATGATTGCTTGTGCCAGCCCTGTTGAATATAATTTGGCCGAAACCCTAAATACCTTACAATACGCAAACCGAGCTCGAAATATTAAAAATAGGTCGGAAAAGAACCAAGTGGAGGAATGGATGACGACTGAAAATATCGAATTGTTGCGTTCCTTGATTGGAAAATTAAAAAATGAGCTAAATTATGTCAAATCCAATGTATCACCTACTACCGCAGCAGCTCTCATGATGGAAAAGGACGACGACGATGATGATGAAGCGTATCATGACCAACGCATGCTGATTGCCGATTTGCAACGACAAGTAGAAGAATTGGATGGAGAAGCGTCTGTGACGCGTGAACGCAATCGTATTGTCGAAAAGGAATTACAACGTGTGCGACGTCTGGAAGCCATGGTGGAACGTAAACAGGAGGAAGACGATGTAGATTTCCAACATTTGGTGGAACCCGTGATTGAAGAATACGAAAAAAGCGTGTCCAAATTGGAATCGCAATTAGCCTTGACGAAAGCCGCTCTCAATCATTCGGATATGGGATATGAAGAACAACAAACGAAATTAGGACAGTTAGAAACCTTGATTCGTTCACAGGAGCAGACCATTAGTGAATTAAGGTTACGTCTTGGTAAAGTGCTGGAACGGGAACAGAGCAATGAAAGTTATATTCATGAACTGGAAACCAAGTTGATGAAATCCGCCAATGAGACGACCAAGGATCAGGAAATGCTTAACGATTTAAAAAACAAGATTATGAAGTTTAAGGAGACAGACGAAAATACGGAGCAATATATTCATAGTTTAGAGCAACGATTGGCTTCGGGCGATGCAGAACGAACCCGTTTAAGAACATGCGTTGAAGATCTTGAAGCTAAAATCGAAGCCAAAGAACGAACCAATGTTGAGCTTTTGAAACGATTATCCAAAACCACAAGTAATACGAGTACAGAGAAACTCATGCTGAAAGAATTAGATGAGGTGAATGCCAAAAATCTTGATCTGACAAGAGAGCGTGATGCTCTACAAGAAAAAGTCAAGGATCTTCAAGAGAATCATCGTACGAGTTTATCCTTAAAACAAGAAGAAGGATCCAATAAGGTGGATAAGACAGGTTCAGGTGCGACCCTCGAATCCGAATTAGAATCTACGTCTATCGCCTCCCCCACCCAGTTCAAGAACCGTAAAAGCTTCGCAGATGAAAAGGAGACCCCCTCTTCTATCGCTGCATTAACTTTAATTCAGGCGGAATTGCGCGCCAAGGAGGAAACTGAACGCGCGGATCGCTTACAAAGAAATTTCGATGATTTACAATTTGATCACGCTGAAACCTTGAAGGAATTAGAAGAGGTGTTACAACGTTATCATGAAAGTTTGGAACAGCTCGATTTTCTTGAACGCGATTCTTCTTCCATTACTGCTCATGAAGAGGATGTCGTGATACCCGTACCCAAATCGCTGGATCTCAGCAAAGAAATTGCACAAGCCAAAGAAGATGCCCTGGTACAGGAGAAGCAGGCCTATCAAGCACAAATCGCCACATTGCAAGAAACCTTGGCACAGCAAAAATTAGTGGAAGCAGATACACATCACCAAATGCAAAAGTTACAAACCGAATTAGACGACATGAAGACACAACAAAGTCAAAATGATATCCAACACGCAGCTTCGCTCCAACAGGATCAAAGCTTACTCGATTTAGAAAAGCGACAAACGGAGCAATGGAAAGAAGCGCATGCTGAATTAAAAAGAGATTTAGAAAAGATCACTCTTGATTTAGACGAAAAGGAAAATTACCTTGTTCAATTAAAGCAAGATTTGGAGCAACGTTCCACCACCCAAAACGAATTACAAACGAATCTGGAAAAGTCCAATCAGCAATCGACTTCCTTACAAAAACGCTTAGCCGAGACCTTGGCTTCCTTGACGGTCTTAAAGATCTCCCATGACGGACTTTTAAAGAAACAAACCACGGCTCTGGAGGATGCGGAGAAGGTTGCAAAGCACAAGCAAGAAAGGGAGGCGTTGGTGGACAGACACCAGAACGAACTGATTAGTATCCAGGAGACCATGGAAGACATGGATCAAATTTTAAAGCATGCAACATTGGAAAAAGAGCAAGCTTTAGAGCAAATGATGGAGTTGGAAAGACAATTGAAGGAGCAAATCGAAAAGGCGCAGCATACGAATTATTTGGATCAAGAGAAATTAATACAAGATTATGAGGCTCAGATTTCCACCTTGACTCAGCAATTTGAGGCTCGGTCCAATGATCAAGCCGAAACCATGGCATCGCTTCAAACCGAACTGGAATTGGCAAAGAACATTCATCAAGAAACACTCAGTATTCATCATCAACGATCGCGTGAGGCTACTTTACAACATGATGATGCTATCCATCATTTAGAAAAAGAAATCCTTCAATTAAAATCTGAAGCGGAAAGACATGATGCTCTAGAGGATGCATTGGCTGAATTAGAGGCGTTACACGCAGATGAATTGCAAAAATTGAAATTGGAGCATCAAACTCAGTTAGAAGGCCTCATGTCAGAAAATGAAGGACTGAAGGAATCACACAAGAACGTGCGAGAGACGCTTCAATTAGAGTTGAATGAAGTCAAGATATCACATGAAAAGCAATTAAAGCAGTTGAGCACAGAACATCAAATGTTGAAGGCCGAAGGATTGGAGACAAGTCTTGCCCAAAAGGATTGGGAGACCGCTCTCGAAAGCAGTAATGAACGCATCCACCAATTGCAGGGGGAACTAGAAGCTTGTCAAAAAAGGACAGTTCTGGATGAGCAAACATTGAGAACTGAACATGAAAAGACGGTAGGACAGTTACAATCGGTTCATGCGACGGAATTCCAACAATTACAGTCAGATGTACTTCAAAGGGAAGGCGGACTCACGGAAAAGATAGCTAGGCTGGAATCTGAGTTGGTACTTGCCAAGGCCGACCATGTCACACTTGCACAAAGGCACCAAGTGGACCTGACTCGTTATGAACAGGCTATTTCCGAGCTAAAGTCGGTGCACGAAAAGACGATCCAGGAGCTGAAGGAAATACATCAAGACGAGATCCAAATGTATGATGTGAAGGCACATGCTAGTCAGGGCGCAGCAATGGATGAAGCCAGACAAGAAAGAGATACACTTTTAAAAGAGATGGAGCAACTCAGAATGGAGATGGAAGGTCAAGTTCAGCAGATAAGTGAGAAGGAGAGAGCCATTGTGGGTCTTGAGAAACAAATGCATGATTTGAAAGAAGAGAATGTTGAATATACCGGCTTAGCACAAGAATTGGAAAAAGAAATGAACCGTATGACAGAAGAAAAGGAGGTTCTGGCCGAAGATCTGGATATGATGGAAGAGAATGTCCAACTTTATCAAGAGCAGATGAATGACATGAAGAATATTCTCTGTGTGATATCAGATGATGCGGTTGTACCTAAAATAAAGGAATTAATAATGATTCAAGAAGAACGATCGACTCGTAAAATGTCAATTGTTGATTCGTCCGAAACACAAGGTGACCGGTCATCTGGTAAAAACAATGACATTTCCAATAATAACCAAAACGGATCGGGAGCCATGCCACAACAACCTGGTCCTTCTCAATCACCTCGAGATTCTTTAGCCGCTGTTGTCCGTGTTGATGCCGGTGTTGATGCTACTTTTACTGCTGCTGATACTGCTGCTGCTGCTGCTGCTGCTGCTGCTGCTGACGCCGCTGCTGATGCTGCCCAGGCCAAGATTGACCAACTGGCGCGTGACAAGAACCGATTACAGGAAGAACTCTCCAATTGCCAGGATCAAATGAAGCTAGCTCGTGACGAAATGGAAAAGGAATTGGCTGAACAAAAACAGAAACAAGAGAGATCCGAAAAGATCATAAAGAAGCTAGAAAAGCAGTTGGATGAACTGTTAAAAAAGAAATCTTCCTTCATGTGCTTTTAAATTATTATTTTTAAATGTTTGATAATAATTCAAACATTGTGTATATCTTATTTCTCTTTATAACCTACTTACATACTTATATATATATTAAAAAAAAAATAAAAATAATAATAATCCCATTTTATATTTTTATTTTATTTTTCTCTTTTTTTTTTTGACATGTTTGAGTTAAAAAACTATAAAGTAGTATTGTTCGGACGCCAATTTTTTTTTTTTTTTTTTGATTGACATACGCCCATCACTCTTTTAATAGATAGCATCTATCTCTATTTTAGATGTGTAATCACCCTAAAATAAATCAGCGATCAAAAATTGAAAAATATCGCAAACAAATTAGAGCGGAAATAACGATCTTTTTTTTAAAAATATCGCGATTGGCGATATCGATAAATTTTTCCAAAATATCGCGATTGGCAATATCGATCAAATTTTCCAAAATATCGCGATTGGCGATATCGATCAAACTTTCTAAAATATCGTTATTGGCAATATCGATCAAACTTTCCAAAATATCGCGATTGACGATATCGATCCATAAATCAAAAAAACAAAAAAATATCGTTGGATGGGGTAAAAAAAATGGGGTAATCGATAATCGATATAATATTACTTTTACACCCCTGCTAAATCAGGATACAGGCTTAAAATTGATACGTTTGTATATATTGGAAAAAAAAAAATTTTATTTATAAAAAAAAACTAAATAACGTCGAATCTGATCATGATAGACCTCTTCAAATATAGAAAATGACCAGTAAAATATGACCAGAGACAGACATAATGAGAGGAACTACGATAATGACCATACGAAGACCTCGGAAGAGCAGCAGTATTCACTTACCTGCATAAAGATGGTTTACGTTAATAAGAGAATAAATTATCAAGTTTAGCAATGTGTACCTTTACAAAACCGTGGGATGTACGAGCCTCAAATAAACAGCGATAGTAGCTAGCTTTAGGAATTTGGGTTAACTAATAATGAACACATAAACCAAAGTCGAGATATTTACCTTTTCACAAGCGGTGAAAGTAGAGATGGCTTCAGCTATACAAATGTGTTAATACATATAAAAAGAGTAAGTAAATTTACTTTTAAAGCAAAGAGTCTTGGTTTAATCCGTTTGGAGAGTGTCAGCACGTTTAATGTTTAGTCACATAACTATATCTTCATTTGTAAACAAATGGTTATGATAAATCATATATTCACAAACTATACACATATACAAACCTTAAGTTTAGTTTTTATTTGAAAGAAATAGAAAGAAAAAGAAAAAAATAATAAAAAAATCAGAGTTTAAATAAGAAAAAAAAAAAATTCAGGCTCAATTCTATTTTTGGAAAGCCCTTGAGGGTCGACTATTGGTCCCAGATGCTATTTCATCAGCCTTTCTTTTACCTTTTGGACGGGTAGTACTTGGGGTGGAGAGGGCAGGTGCAGAGGTGGGAGGAGGAGAGTCAGAGGTGGGAGGAGGAGAGTCAGAGGTGGGAGGAGAGTCAGAGGTGGGAGGAGGCGAGTCAGAGAGAGGAGGCATCTCAGAGGGAGGAAGAGAGGTCAAAACAGGATTTTGTACCGAAGCGGAAGAAGACGATGGTACAAGAGGTCTGTTATCAGGGATCGAAAATAAATTTTCAAACAGGCCCATATCCAAGTCTTCGTACCTCTCTTCAGTACCCGAATTGACACCAAGGTTTTCCAGGCCAGTCAAAAATGAACCCGAGGTATCATGAGCAATGTCATCTGGCTAGAGTTGAGGTTTATGTTAATGTTAAAAATTCTTAATTTGATATCTAAACTTTACTTACTCTTGCTGAGTTCCTCAACATTATCTGGATCATATTTTTGGATATCCAGTTTTTATCTGCGAGGTGCATGGGTAGCATAGGATTCTCGGCGTCAATGACAGAGATAAGGTCTCCAGGATATGCCTCAACGGGTGTACCAACGTTCAAGCCAGAGCGCTTGTTCCAAAAGTATACAATTCTTTCGAACATATACAATACTTCATTCTGCTCGTTTGCAGGAATCCCCCTCCAAATGACACCATTCTTTCCAAATCGTTCTTGGTACAATGCTTTCAAGAAATGTTGGCAAATGGTGAAGACATTGTTGTAAGCTGCTGTCGCCCTTTCTTTAGCTTGATCCTCAGTATAGGTACCTACCAAAGATCTCCAGTACGCAGCAACCTTGTCTATAACGGTTTTCTTTGTATAAGTACATACGGTGATGGATCTTACACCGAGAGAATTGCAAGAGGTGTGAATACCATTGGGTATAACTTGCTCCTTGTAATAGGCGACAGCCTTGACCACGAATTCGTACATTTGTTGAGCAGCGGAATTTCTTGCTGAAAAGATAGGGCAATTATTAACTTAATTCGTCTTACAAAGTAAAATAAAATAAAAACGTACCAGTGATATATCCAGATCGAGAAGTAATTGCAGAAGTACCATTGGATTTGACCACTTTCTTAACCTTGCTGCAGCATTCACAGTGTTGACCAACTGGCAGGTAGATATATTCTTTCATTGTGGCAGGCATTGCATCAAGCTTTCTTTGCATATCGTAAATGACATTAACGAGTTTTTCAATGACTTCGTCTCGAGAATTTGAGTTTTGGGTACCGTTCATTGTGATAAATAGAGTGAAAAATCGATGTAAATGAGAAAATAGGTGTAAGTATTGGATCTTATATAGATGTTTTAAAGATACATTTTTTTTTCATTGTCATTTACCTTGATGTAAGTGGTTCAACTTATTTGCACCAATCACGGTACAGAATTAAAAAAAATTTCGCTTAATAACCTCGTTACACGAAAATCTAACAATAGATCAAGCTTGAAGTCCCAAACAACGATTTCTAGTGGTTTTGAAAGGTATCCATAGTCTACACAGAATTACCATATCCTCTCTATTAATAATTATAAGATAAATTCACGAGTAATTCCAATTGGTTCTAAGAACGGTCAGTGACTATTAATAAGCTGTAAATAAGATGTAGCAACATGTATAAAACTACGCGCAAAAATCGGTTCCCGACTTACCAAAAACAAAATTCTTAAAAACTTTTCAAAATGGTTTACCCCAAAATTCAAAAACCCAAGAACCTTAGAGCTTCTCGAAACGGCGCTAACCAACGTCTTTTAAGAGGCACATATGAACCCTTGGCCGTTACTGCTGCCTCCATTATACCTGGCCCAACTGACACTTCTGTTTTTGCTGTATCCTCTTCAGTATCTACTGGCTTCCCAACTGCTATAATAACCAACCGTACACCTTTTGACTATGACGAAGAAATGGATTTTTACGATGATGTTGATATGGCTGACCTCGATAACCAAATCGCTCTTCCCTTAATTGGACAAATGTCCATACAAGACGTAGATGCTGAAGATGAATCCTCTGATGATGGTTTTGTTGTAGACGGTGAAGTAGACGAGGATTTGTATGAATCCACGGACGAAGAGAACTTCGAAGGTAACTAAGGATGCTCGAGTTGTTGACATCATGACAACTTACCGGATGTATTATTTTCACTTTTAGAACCATTGTCACTTGATCATAATGTAACAATACAGGACAACATCAAGGATATCATTGTCCCCATTAACGTATTTAGCACCAGCGAGCTGAGTAGTATTATGTTCAACTATCTTACATTTAGTAGAAACATGACCATAGAAGCTGTGCGCGTTATGAAGAAATTTTTTGAGAACACTTTGAACCAAAACAACAGTATGTTAATGATTTGTATTTACAAAGTATCATTATTTACTAATTTAGTTTACCTTTTAGGCCTTGATAAAAAGAAAAAAGTACTCGCATTGAAGGAGTGTCGTTCGTTGATCAAGAAGAAACTTCCACTTTCTTTCAGTCAAAGCCATGAAATCTGTTCCCGAAAGGGGTGTTATCTCTTTGATCCTGTCGATGATGCCGATAAAACCGCTTGTCCTCACTGTAACGCTGTTAGACATAAAGAATCTGTGGTAAAAATGATTGATATTGGTGAACATTTAAGTCGTATGCTAGCTTGTGACGAGTTTCGTGATGAAGTCGAAAAATACCGAAACGTAATCGATTCCATGACAGACGATGATCCATATACCGATTTTTTTTCTGGAGCCGCGTATAAAGAAATGAAATCTAAAGGTCTCTTCACTGGTCAGCACGATTTAGCCATCGTTCTATGTGTTGATGGGTTCACTTCGAAGGTATCAAGAAAAAGTATGGTGATGGTACACGTTATAATTGCTAGCATTGATCCGTCTATCAGGTAAATTTTGGCTCTATATACAATACATCCAATCTTTTTACGTCGTAATAACACCATTTGCAGATACACCGATGAATATACTTTTCAAGTTGCAATTCTTTTTGGTGACACTAAGAAAGACTTTGACTCGTATCTGCGTCCAATTATTGAAAGCCTTGATCGTTTGAGTCGTGAACCTGTTGTTGTTCGCAAGAATGGTGTTCATGTCACGTCGGCTAGAATTTTCAATTTGGGTGTCATTGCAGATGGTATAGAGATCAACCAGCGGTTGTTGATGTTTAGTGGTCATACCAACTGGTGGGGATGTAGATTTTGTATTGGTAAGTCGTCAGTTACTAAGCTATGACCGTGGACACTAACAAAATGACCCTTCTAAATTTAGTTAAAGGCGGTCACCCAGTTGACGGAGGAAAAGGTGGTATGTACTTCTTTGGCAGAGACTCGGCTATCAGAACCAAAGCTTCTTTATTACTTGAGAAAGACGCAGTAAGTATTAACTTGTGTAGCCTTTTTTACATATTTTAATTGATTTACCTTTATTAGCCTTCTTGTCCCAACCACAACTATGGTATTAAAAGTGCTTCTCCCTTTGGTCAGTTGAGTACCTTCCTCTCCATCGACTTTTTCATGTGTGACGAGCTACATATGTTTTCGAATGTCAGCAAGCTTTGCTTCGACATGCTTTCACCAAAGCTCAACACTCGGTTCAAGTTTGATGGTAACGAAGAC